AAACACCAAATCCGCCCCTGTTAGAACCTACAATTTGTATTCACAATAAATCAGAGCCGACCCTTACTATTAGCGAATTAAGCGGCTGGTTAGAGCCCCGCTGCCACTAAGGGGCCCCCACTGATGGTACGAGCCATTTCTTTGCTGAAATCATTTTTATTTGCATTGTACAGATTATCTTGATTGACTGCTTTAGTACTTAAATGTTTATAAATTTTCACTGGAAAGAAAAAAAGTCATAATTTTATTAAAGCAGAAATAGTTTTTGTGTGAATGTCATGTGATTTCTGAGTTTTTAATGAGTTCAGAATGTATATTTTATTACTAAGTAATGCATTTTCACTTTTGGATTAGTATTGTTGACTGTCGACTCATAGCAGAGTTTTTGCTTTTGGAATTTATATATAAAAAAAACAAAAAAAAACAAACACAACCTTTTTGAAGCTGCTAGTTGAACAGTGCTGTTTTAAAATGTCCAAATCATTCGAACAGTTATTAAGTAGTAGAAATGAGACTTTACTTTTCTGTGTCATTGATTGTACTTATTAAGCAATAAAATCATTGTGGGCTGGTTTGCAATGGCAATACTCCACTATTTAGAGCAAGGTAGGGCCCCAAAATTATTCTGCTTATTGCCCCCAAATGTACAGGGCCGGCCCTGCATTCAATTAAAATTCACTCACTGTAACAATATAAAAGAGATTAGCACAACTAATCTTTAATGTTTACTGCAGTACATTATTTGTCCTTGGCGTTGAGTCAGACTTAGTTCTAGTATTAGTACCCAAATGTACATAAAAAGTACCTTTGAGGTAGCATTATGGACCCTTCAGGTAAAAATAAGTACCTTTTGAAAAGGTACTGCCACAGAGAAAGCTCCTGTACCTTTATTTCTGAGAAAGTATAAGCAGATTTTAGAAAATCACTGACAGCAATGTCAGGCCCGTAGCCAGGCTCGGGTTTGCAAGACCCACCCCTCTCTAATAAAGGTCCAGAATTTGTCCTATACATGAGCTCATTTGTCCTGTCTTAACTGCTATGCCATCATAAATAGTAAAAATAACCAATCGAAAAAGGCTTTAAGACCATGCGAAATTCTTGTGTGACTTCAGTTTTGGCCAATGCAAACAATTATTTTTCATGAGTCCAACATCCAGCTGTGCAAAAAACATCTGACACAAGCAAAGTCATCTTTCACTACTGTATTGTTTTTAAATGGAGAAAACATTTGACAAGTAACTTTTATTCTTTGACCTTATTATAGAAAGAAAACAGGACCAATTAAAAAAAGTAAAGCACTTTTACAAGAGAGGCTAGATAAATTGTGAGTCACTAAATTATTATTATTATTATTATGTTTTAATTTCTATTCAAATGGACAAATTTAAATTTAAAACAGTTTTTTTTCTAATGACATATGATGTAATAAATTTGTATTTTTTTATATTATTTTAATAGTCCTTTCTACTGCTTCTTTTTTTCAAATGTATAAAGTCGTTTCTCTTGGCTTATTTTATGTTTTTATAATCTGTCTTTTTATTTTACTTTGTCTAATGTACAGCACTCTGGTCAGTCTTGTGGCTGTTTTTAAATGTGCTTTATAAATAATTGAACTTGAACTAGTATTTCAAAAATAAACATGTCATATTTCTTTTTTCTAATTATATAGGAAATGTTTTGGTACAACAAAAAGTGTGGTTATGATGATTATCCGACAAACTAATCCAGCTAAAAATAGGTGTTTAAAATGTGTTGAGGTTGGTTTTACATTCACACATTCAGAATTTCTCCTCACAAATATCATTTCAGAAAAATATTATTTGCAAATTCTAAATAGTGGAATCATATTAGCAGCCAATGACTATCACAACATACATAGAATCAGCGTCAAATAACGTTAAATGTGGCTTTTATTGTTTAGCAGTCATACGAACACGTGTTTTCAGATTGAATATTCAAAGTACCATGGTAAACAATATAGGGAGCATGTCACAAACTGTCACTGATCAACAGTGCGAATGTAAAACCAACTTTACCTCGATTTAAAATGTCACCTAATCTTATAATTAAATAAAAAACGAGGCGAATAACTGCAAAAGGTCCACTTTTTGAGAAAAAAGAACCACCCTTTCTCCAGGCTGTCCACGGGCCTGAATGTCTATGAGATAAAATCATTAGGATGATTTTGAGGAAGCCCAGCAACTGATTCGTCGATAAAGACTCGGTTCAAACGAACGATTCGTTCAAGATTCGAATATGAACACACACACACATACACAATATGATGTAAAAAACACAGGGCCTAACCTACACACAGAACATAACTGCACAATAAACTCTATTTCTAACAGAAGAAACATAAAACCGAAGTAAGAACTGCTTAATGCAAAGCTCTTGTGAAATACGAATCTTACCTTTGGCGTAACAATCCGCGCAAAACTTGTTTTCCTCTAACGTGAGAAGGGATGTGAGAACCGCCTGATAGCGGTCAATGTCTTTGACTGATCTGCCTGTCATCTTCAGAAATCGCTAATCTAACTGCTTGGTAATAAATAGTCCAAAGCCGTGGAGGAGATGATGAGATGTTTGTCCGTTATTGAGATACACCGGGAAGCGAATCGCTGTCTGTCACAACCGGCTGCTGCGGATGGAGAGAGAAAACGCTACAAGACTGCTGGCTTCCGCTAATCTTACCAGGAAGAGGAAAAAAGCATTGAACCACTGTTCACATGAAAACACCATATTCCCCGGTGCACATTCGCTGGTTCTTGACAGCCAACTTTCCTCCCGCAGAATCAGAGACACACATCGAGCTCAATCTCTACACTTGAGTGTTTACTCTTATCAGCTGCGCTTGCTCACTGCACGGCCTCTGTCGTGTACAGACATGTGCTGGTTAAAACATTGAGCATTTAAAAGATCACACAACTAAATCTAGCATCAGATGGACAATTGCGGTCGTGATGTTCGAGGTCCAGTGATGTGAATTACTGCCTCTTTGTGTATTTTCCAGAATGTGGGAAATTGCGCCCTCGTGCGGGGAGAAACGACACTGCGCACATCCGCTCGTGTTTCTTGTTGATGTACAGGGATGTCTCAAGGACAGCATCATATATTTTGTTGTTGTTTATTTCACTAAAAGTGCAATGCTTGAAACGCCTTGAACAATCTTTAAATAGTCTATATGCACACAGACTTTTAATTTTCAGCCATGCAGCCCAAGGGCCTCCGGTACACTGTCTACAAAATTGCCATGTTTTGATTTCTTTACAAATCAACAATATTCACTGCCTGTTAGATATCCGATATGAAATGGGTCTCAGATCAGACAAGAAACACTGCATTAAATTCCATTTCACCCCACCATGTCCTAAACATATGACAGCTTATTTTACCACAGAATTTTCAATGGAATTGCTGTGCTAGCCCTGTTGCTACTGACGGCACTAGCGGCTACACGGTCTTTCATCTCGTTTTAATCTTGAACAACTAAATGAATGCTTAAGTCTATTTAACAGAATGTATTGTAATTACAACATCGATACTGTAAAACAACCTTGTGAAATTATAAATAGTCAAATTTACCTGAAGTTTCGGCTATCATTGGTTTTAACACTCTAGCTGTGCATACAGAGCCCTAGCTGTAACCACTAAAACCAAACTGATACAGACAACATTCATTCATTCACTTTCTTTTCAGCTCAGTCCCCATTTTTACCACAGTGGAATGAACTGCCAACTTTCCAGCATATGTTTTACAGCAGATATCCAAACTCCACACAGAAATGCCAACTGACCCAGCCAAGACTCGAACCAACAACTTTCTTGCTGTGAGGCGACAGCACAACCCACTGCACCACTCAATACAGACAAAAGTCAGAAAATGTTAACAAACAGGGTGAAACTTGTTTTCAGTATTTTTAAAAGGTAAATAAGAGATGTTTATTATGTATTAATGTAATAACTTTAGGCCAAAACATCAAAATAATTAAAATAAATTTATCAGCCTTTTAAATTAATGTTTCATTCATTCACAGACCTTTGATTAAAAATAATAATTACATTTTTATTTATTTGTTGATGGAGCATAACCTATGCCTCAAATTATTTGACATACTGTATAAAATAAGCATGCATTACGCCACTTTTATGACAAAAAAAGTTTTAGATGCAATCATTATTCTTGCTGCCTTTTTTGGGTAACAAATTATTCTCAGTGTTTCCCACACTGAGTCCACAATCATTCAGACAGGATAAGGCAGTATCATTAAAATATTGTGGAAACTCTCTGCTCATTTTTGTAGTTTGGGGACAGTTCACCCCAAAAAATGTAATTCTGTCATAATTTACTCACCTTTTACTTAGTTCAAACCTTTTTTAGTTCGTTTCTTCTATTAAACACAAAAGAAGATATTTTGAAAAATGCTGAAAACCTGTAACTATTGACTTACTTAGTATTTGTTTTTCGATTACATATTTTCAGATGTCTTCAGAATATCGTCATTTGTGTCCAACACAATAAAGAAATTTTTAAACAGTTGGAACCACTTAAGGGGGATTCAATTGTGACTTTTGGGTGAAACTATCCCTTTAATATCAGTAAAAAAAAATTGTGGACACTTTATGGTATTTTTATTTTATTTATTTTTTTAAGTTTTAGCTAAACATACAAAGCGATTTAAAAAAATGCTTAAGAAAAGTCACACCTTTTAGGGCTACATATCCAAACCTCCAATAATGCAGACATGAGGATCCGTTTTCTCAGCCTCAAAAACAAACATTCTTGTGTTCAGAAGCTCGTATGCTAAATCAACAGCGCACATATTCAAAAACCTCCTCAGGTATTCAGTAAAGGCGGGAGTGTGAGAAACACACAGACACAGCTGCGTCCAGTCAGCTTTCTGTGAGCTCCACTGGAGAAACTGAATCTCCTCCTCCATCGCTGCCGATGGTTCCTCGGGTCCGTCCGGTCTCAGTCTGAGGGTCTCTCTGAGCTCTCAGGGGCTGGCTGTAGGGCTGGGTTACACCTCTCTCATTCCTCCCCTCAAGTCTCTGCCACTGTGTTTTTCTTCCCCGTCCTGGGCACAGCACACACGCTCACACACACCTCTCCTTTTTCCCTGAATCCACCATCCTGGGCTGAGAAGCCAGGAGAGAGGGTGGCAAGGTTTGGAGGAACCGTTGGATTTTGGATAGTGAATCTTCACCATGGCTGAGTTCTTCATCGTCCTCAGGAGTTTGGTTCTGCTGCAGGTCCTCTGCTTGGCCTTATCGCAAGTGGTGAGTTTGGCTGTGGTTTGAATACGTTTCTATTGATGCTGGATGATCTAGGAGGAAAACACACACTCAAACAATAACATCTGATGTTTGTTCTAACTTTTTTTTTTTTTAATTAGCTGAAACAACACAATTCTTGCGTTTTGTGGGACAACTTAATTGTTTGCTGTTCAATCCACTTAAATTAGTCAAAACTAATAAGCTAATTCCTTCATGATGTTTGGGACCCAGTGTATGCAGGGTTCCACACAATTCAGTCATGCTATTTCAACACAAATCAATTAAGTTCACATAAATTTAAGTAGGTTGAACATAAAATAATTAAGTTTTCCCCAAATAAAGTCAAGATTTGTGTTGTCTATGCTCATTGTAAATAGGTAGTTTGAACAAGCACTGTAGAAAAGGCTGGGTTCCACACAATTCAGTCATGCTATTTCAACACAAATTATTTAAGTTAACTTAATCGTTTTTACAAATTTAAGTTGGTTGAACATAAAGCAATTAAGTTGTCCTAAAAACTTAAAAATTCAACTCATTTTAAATAAGTAGTTGTGAAATGAGTAGGTGAACAAGAAAAAAAAAAGTAATTTTTTTGAGTGTAACAAATTTTTTGAGTGTTTTTTTTTTTTTTTTTTTTTGATGAATTGTGATGTGATTTATTGTGGATGCAACTACCAGTCAAACCTCCAACAAATCCTTCAAACACTTAGTTGACCAACTTTTGATCCTCAAAACTTTAAGATTTCCAACTTTTTGGGTCTTCTAAAATGCACACAAATGGATTATACTGCTTTCTAAATCATGCAGATACTGGAGGCCTATTTATTATTTATTATTTTTATTTTTTTCGTCTCCATTTAGCATTATTTTTTAACTCTCAATGCTTATACAGTTTGTTTCAGTAACTGAAACGAATAAACAGAGAGCTGCTGAATAAAATATGAAGCCCAAATTGAATATCAGGCAGATAAACAGAGAGAGGGGAGAGACGGTGGAAAAGGAGAGACTACAAAGAAGCCATTGAAAACACACTGCTATTCAATCAGACAGAAGCTGAAGCTGCTGTCAGCCCAATAACACATACTTGTTACATTTAGCTGGACATCCATAGCCCAGCGCTCGCTTGTAGCTCATATGCATAAAATGGATTGTGCAAATTGAAAGCGCACACATTATGGATTAAATTGCATAAAGTAATGCATTAAAAAGGTCAATCTTTGATGCTGAATGGGGGAGGGTCTGAATAAACATTCCCATCCCCTTTTTTTCCACCCCGGATACCCTGATTGCTTTGGCTTTTGATTTATTATTTTTTTAAATAATAAAACTCTACAAAAATAGGGTGTTTTATATGTATTATGAATAATTTTAAGTAATAAATATGCAAACGTGTATGTGAAGAAATTATTTCATTGGTAAAAACTGAAATAAGCAGTACTAAATGTACTTTAAAATTAAAATAACTACAGATTGAATGCAAATATACATATTTTTACATATTAAATAAAATTTAATTTACTAAAGCAAAAATAAATATATAAAAAGTATATAATAAAACCAAATATTACTAGAAAATTTAAAAAATATGAATAAAACATAGAAATACAATATACAGTAAATAATTAGGAATTTAACAGTGTTTTTATACTAGAGAGGTTCGCCTGTTTCACTTTTTTTCTTTAATATATTTTTTAAAGGACATAAATGTTGCTTTTGCTGACTGTTGTAAACAAAACGTCAATTAATTGTTTAATTATATTGCTAAATTATATTATTTCACTATATTTTTACTATTATTTGCTAATTTAATTGTCATACACTTAGCTACAGGTACATAGACAGTACGCTGTAAGAATAAATAAATCAAACAACCAATAAATTAACTAAAAGCATTGATAAAATTAAATAATAATTAAATAAATGTAATAAAAACATTGATAAAATTAAATAATAATTAAATTAATTAAATAAAAGCATTGATACAATTAAAAATTAATTAAATAAATTAAATAAAAGCATTGATAAAATTAATTATTAATTAAATACAATAAATTAAAGTAAAGATAAAAGTCCAGACACGAAAATACCACCACATTTTCTACAGACTTTTTCTCTCCTGATACAGCATATCCAGATTTTTTACATTTTCATTATTTTTCACAACTTTTTTTCTTGTATAGATTGCAATTTAGATTTAATGTGTGCATCCTTCAATAATGACGAAACTAAAGCTCTTTCTGTGTGTTTGATTTTAGACCGGTCCACCCGGAGCTCAAGGCCCCGCTGGTTCCCCTGGTCCTGCTGGAACTCCCGGAGCCGACGGCATTGATGTGAGTATTGAAGCTGAACTACAGGTCGAGCTCCTACAAAGACACTCATTGTGCACCTTGTTTCATGAGCCCTGCCTTCATCTGCACTTCCAAAATCTTGCCAACAGAGGGCGCTTGAAATAAAAATAACCACACAAAAGGGTTCTGTTAGATGTTGCCCCTTTCCCATATTGAGAGAGGGAGAGAGAGAGAGATGGTTATTTGATACAGTTGAGGCCTATGCTGGATTTAGAATAAAGACACTCAGCAGGATAAACAATGAGTTTGACTGATTCATAATAGAAACAGAATCCAAATGGTTCTCTACTCTGTAAAATATTATTGCTGCCTATTTTTGTTGTTGTTGAATCAAAGGAACTTTTCTAGTCAGAATAAACAGCAAAAAATCAGTCACTCGAAAAACGTGGAGGAATATTAAAAAGGCTTTACTGACATGGCAATTCCTTATCTTTTCTACTCATCTCAACTTACATCAAGTCCACCTGAATAAAAAGTTGAAATCATCAACTTTCAGTAAAAAAAATCAGTAAAAGCATTTGTTTTCATGACTTTTTGTAATATAATTTGTTTACAGTCTATGAGATTCAACGAATATTTCAATATATTTAATATTATTTTGATATGTATTTGTAGTCATGAACGTCAGTATACATGATTTAATAAAAATGATCATACACCCAATTCTGACACTCATGGCGAAAGACTATAAAAATGAGTAATAAAAGCTACAGGATGCACTGCAAAAAAGTTTTTTAGTTTAATGAAATTTCAATGAAATGAATGAAAGTTTGAATGAAACTTTTCTAGACAACTTAAATCAGTCAGACTTACTAATACTACCACAATAAACCTTGTATAGCTAATAACATTGAACTGAAACCTGATTAATTTATTAAATTAAGAAAAAGTAACATTAAAAAAAGTTTGTTGTCATGACTTTTTGGTGTACTTACAGTTGAAGTCAGAATTATTAGCATCCGTTTTTTACCCCCAATTTGACTAGATATTTTTTCAAAACTCTTCTATACAGCTTAAAGTGACAAGTAAAGGCTTCACTATGTTAATTAGGTTAACTAGGCAGGGTAGGGTAATTAGGCAAGTTATAGTATAACAATGGTTTGTTCTGTAGACTATTGAAAAAACATAGCTTAAAGGGGCTAATAATTTTGATCTTAAAATGGCTTTAAAAAATTAAATACTGCTTTTATTCTAGCCAAAATAAAACAAATCAGACTTTCTCCAGAAGGAAAAATGTTATCAGACATACTGTGAAAGTTTTCTTGCTCTGTTAAACATCATTTAGGAAATATTTAAAAAAGAAAAAAAAAATGACTCTGACTTCAACTCTATTTCTCATTGTTGACTTTTTAGTAGTCAGCGGAGCTACACTTTATTTAAATGATTTTACATTCTGTTAAATACGTGTCAGTTAACTTTCATTAGAGTATTAGTAGACTAGGATTAATAGATTATGTTGATGTACTTGCTTGCAGTCAGTTAATTATATAGTCAGTGTGTGTGTGTGTGTGTGTAGTTGCAAAGCTGCTTAAAGTCAATAGTTTGTCAGAAAGAGCAAAATTATTAATATTAAAATCTCATATATCATAGTCATTTTTCTACCGCTTAATAATTTGTATTATATATTTTTTACAGGGTGAGAAGGGACCCCCTGGACCTCCTGGACCAAGAGTAAGTAGTGATCAGAATTGGACTTTATTTTTTTTAACTAATCCAGTACTGCATTTCTGAAATAATTCAAATTAGTTTATTTTGTTGCTCAAGAATCTTGTTTTGGTACTGGCAGTGTTGAAAACAATGTTCTGCTGCTTAATGTTTTGTGCAAAGCATGGTACATAATGCTTCGTGAGTAGAACAATAAAAAGAGCATCACAAACAGAAAAGTTCAAATATGGTCAAATATGGTAAATATCCTTGCTGATTAAAGGGTAATGTGTTAATTTAATTTGAATAATTTATGCAATAAAACCAAATTCATCTAATTATTTTGTATACTCTCAGAAAAAAAATAGTTCAATGTTGTACCAAAGAAGGTACATACCTTTAACCTTGTCACTGAGGCAGTACCTTTTTATGGGACAGAATTGTACCTTAACCTCCTGAGACCCCGCCCATTGACTTGTGTCCTCTGTAGTGGACATTGTATTTTAATGAATTTTTTTTTAATTTTTTGAGCTACTCTGTCAAGTCCTGTTGTACTGTTCAGAGGACATCCTGGGCTTTCTAGTGATATGTCATTTGATTGGCTGGCATGCTAGGAACCACTTCTTACACTGCATCCAAAATGGCTGACATACAACATACATTTTATGGGAAGGAGGGAGGTATCAAATTCAGCATTTTAAATGGTTTTTACTATTATCATTACATATACAATTGTTTATTAAAGTGTCAGGAACAACACATTTAGCTTTCAAAGCTGTTACCTAGTTTGTGTTTCAAAATATTATCCTTTTTTAAATGTCCACTATAGTGGACATCAGGACCATCTTAATGTAATTAATATATGTTGCAGCGGGCAGAACTGAAGCAGAGATGATTCTTTATAAGATAGTCGAGAGAGACTCTGATTTAGAGTCTGAAAACAAGACAATTAGAGTATTAGAAACAACTAGAGAATGACAACGAGTTTTAAATCGCTTTTATGTTAAATTTGTTTTAGATTAACATTACTTCTTTTATTTATTTATTTATTTATTTATTTTTGAGTTCTGCCCTCTTTCAGACTAAACTGTTTCAGGGATTTCAATACAAAAGGAAAAAAATGGCTTTTGTTTACTTTTTGTTACATCAATATTGGATTAATATCCCTTTACAGCCATATCCTGTACAGTTTTGTTGTCTGAGTTTGGCTGTCGTTTCAACCTATAATGGTCCTGTGGTCCACTACAGTGGACATGCTGTAAAATAAAAAATAATAACAAAATGTAAAAACTCTAAATTGTAGAATTATTTAATCCAAAGGATGTAGGTAATCACAGAAAAAAATAAAAAAAATTATTTGGGTCTCATGAGGTTGAGACAAAGAAACAAATGTGTACCATTGCAGTTTGTACCTTGAAGGACATGATTTGTACCATGGGAAACCAAAATGTACCTTTATTTTTTGTAAACCTGCAGATACAATATTGTACCTTTATCAAAGGTACAGATCTGATCCACGAAGGTACCACTACAGTGACAAGACACTTTGTACTTTAACAGTGTCAAAAACACTTATCAAAAATCTTTTTAAAATGCCTTAAATGTTGTTTACAATACATATAGATTTGTTTTGTTTTATAGAACTTAATAATTAATGTTTTAATTTCTTTAAACATATATCTTTTTAATGTTAATGTTTTAATATGGAGGCTATTCATAAATAACTTTGCCTTTCCAGTCATATTTATTTTCATAGATATTGTAATAAAGGAGTTTTTCAACACATTTGTATCTTTTATATGAAAACAATTGTGTCCTTATTTCAGTTGTACCATAACAGAACAGTGTAGTAAGCGGTATTTTATGTACCTGACAAGGTACAATTTTTACAAAGGTACAAAACTGTTCCTCAAGCAACATTACTTGTACCAACGTGTACCTTTTTTTTCTGAGAGTGTACCAGTTTTACATTGCACTCTCAGAAATAAGGGTATGCAAGCTGTCACTGGGGCTGTCCCTTTTCAAATGGTACACATTTGTACTTAAAGGGTCAATATTTGTACCTCAAAAGTATATATTATAGTACCTGAAAATTTTTAAGAGGAGAACTTTTGTACTTTTAAGGTACTACTATGTACTCTTGAGGTATTAATATGAACCTTTTAGGTACAAATGTGTACCTTTTAAGTGACAGCTTATGTACCTTTACTTCTGAGAGTGTGTAAATATCTGTTATTTCACTGGTGCTCATAATTCATGGTGTTTTCCATTTATATACGCCTAATTTAGGACCTAAACCTCTGCTCTGACAGTTTATTATTATTTTACAATGAAAATACCATGCTAGAACATTCTTACTTTGTTACGTGAACCACTTTTACAGGGTCAAAAGGGAGAGTCGGGTGAGCCTGGGCCTGATGGACCCCCGGGTGAAGATGGCATTGATGTGAGTTATCATTTCTATGAAATATTATTACACATGTGAATAGCTCATTTGGAAATAAAAAGCAGCTCTGGCAGTGATCTGACTATATTTTTGCCATCGAGCATGACGGGGAGCTTGATCTCATTTTCATTCAATGCAGCTGCTCTGTAATGAACACTGGCATTTGAAAGGCTGTTCTGCTGAAGGTTATTCACACCTACATGCGAAAATGTTGCCATTAGTCTGAGAAACGGAGATGTTTTCTTCTAATGAGCCAGACTTTCTCAGTCACATGCTAGGAAGCAAACATTCCTTATTGGATTTAGCGGTTAATCCGCTCAGGAATGCCAATCTGTGGGTTTCCTCTCAGCGGACTGATAATCTGAGGAAGTCTGTGTACCGATAATATAGATTTTGTTTCTGAAGGGAATATCTACAGATCTTTACATATTACTGCTTATGAATCACAATTAATCCGTTGAATCAACATATTTGTGCTAATATGATCCAGCGAATGATTCTGTATCATGATTATATGATTGCATAAAGAATTGTAGAGTCACTTATTTCAGCTTTTCCTGTAATTCTACCAATTAACATTAGATATAGTCATCATGTGTGTGACACTGAGGGGGTTATCATTTAAATCTTGATGAAATTACTTTATTATGATATTGTGTTTATGTTTTTTGTTATGTGCTTTGTATTTCAATTCAACTTAATTTAATTTCTGTTTATTTCTAGAGCGCCTTTACAATGTAGTTCAGTTGTAGTACAGTTCAGTTCAGTTCAGTGTGGTTTAAAATTCACTGCTGAGAGTTCCAACACTAAAGAGCAACCGATGTGCAGCTCCACAAGTCCCAAACCAAGCAAGCCAATGGCGACATTGACAAGGAACAAACTTCACCAATTGACGAAAGTGAAGGAAAAAAAACCTTGAGAGAAACCTCATTTGGGAACGTCCATTTCTCCTCTGGCCAAAGTTCTTGTGCAGAGCTGCAGTCTATTTGAAATTTAGCTATGTAGTAAATTCTGGAGCAGTTCTTTGATTGTCCACTGTCCCTGTCAAATAATTTAAATAATTATTAATTAAATAAAATTCTTTATAATTTAAAACATATATATATATATATATATATATATATATATATATATATATATATATATATATATATATATATATATTTCCTAATGTCGAATTCTTTTATTATTACAATATATTGTAGTTGATGTCTGATAATTATCCTAAAGGCTTGTTTTACTGTTTTCTCTCCAGGGTTTGATTGGGGCGAAAGGTGAGAGGGGTCCTCGTGGTAATCCTGGACCAAAGGTGAAGAAATACTATTATATTATGGGTGCAAAATTAACACAATTTATATTTATGTGGGTCACCACTTTGGCAAACAGCACACAATGTTAAACCGTTTCTTTCCAGTCATTTCTTATGTTAACAGGAGTATAATGGATGAAAACATTTTAATATTGATCTAATAAACATTCTAATTCCATATTGTGTTTTACTGATCTTCACAGGGTCAGCCAGGGCCTAGAGGACCAGCAGGACGACCTGTAAGCATTGCATCTTTTATAAACAATATTTAATGCTGTAAATGGGACAACTTACCCCAAAACAAAAAGTTGATCATTAATTACTCAGCCTCCTAATGTTCCATAAATATATATAAATTTCAGTTTTCTGCTAAATGTTGTAAACTCATATAGACCTGTATGACTCATATAGTATTTTTCCCTACTCTGGGTATCAACATTTTTCCAAATATTTTCTTTTGTGCTCCAGAAAAAATCTAAATTTGTAAAGATTTGGAAGCTTTTCAGTAAATAGTAAATTAGATATTTTGTGTGAAGTATTCATTCTACTCGCAGTTACTCCACCTATTCAACAGGTGACGCTGTGGTACAACATTTCTTTAGAATGGTTTTTGTGTTTTTTAGTGCTAATGGACTACACTGGAGCTCTGTTTATAATATATGTATTTATTTTGTTTATCTTCTTTACCTTTAGGGACCTGGACTGCCTGGACTTCCTGTAAGCAAAACTATTTTACATGTCAATGACAACTAAATGTCAAATTATAAATTGGGAAATGTATTACATACCAAAATGGAAGTTGTATGGGTTAAAAACTACTGTTGATCCAATAAAAAATAAAATAATAAATAAATAAATAAATAAATAAATAAATAAATAAATAAATAAATAAATAAATAAATAAATAAAATCTATCATGTATTTAATAGCAGTTTTTGTATATACCCTTATCAAATTTGACTTGGTTTTATTAGTTAAATCTTTTTCTTTCTTTCTTTCTGTCTTCCTTACCTCCTTCTTTCCTTCCTTCCTTTCTTTCTTTCTGTCTTCCTTCCCTCCTTCTTTCCTTCCTTCCTTCCTTACTTTCTTTCTTTCTTTCTTTCTTTCTTTCTTTCTTTCTTTCTTTCTTTCTTCCTACCTTCCTTTCTTCCTACCTTCTTTCTTTCTTTCTTTCTTCCTTCCCTCCTTCCTTCATTCATTCCTTCCTCCCTTCCTTCCTTCCTTCCTTCCTTCCTTCCTTCTTTCCTTCCTCTTTCTTTCTTTCTTTCTTCTTTACTACCTTCCTTTCTTCCTACCTTCCTTCCTACCTTTCTTCTTCCTTCCTTGCTTCCTTCCCTCCTTCCTTCCTTCCTTCCTTCCTTCCTTCCTTCCTTCCTTCCTTCCTTCCTCCCTTTCTTTCTTTCTTTCTTTCTTTCTTTCTTTCTTTCTTTCTTTCTTTCTTTCTTTCTTTCTTTCTTTCTTTCTTTCTTTCTTTCTCTTTCTACACAATTATAATTTGTATAACTAATAATTTACTAAAAATAGTACACTATGAATAATTCTGGATTAAATGTGGGTAAAATAAAAATTAAATACATTTGCATTGAAAAAATCCTAATTGGTTGTCCATATTAGACCCTGCATTTGTGATATATGCACTCTAATAAATGCAGACTTGTTTTAACCCAACACTGGGTTAAGTATGGACAAACTCAAGAGTTGGGTTGCAAAATGTGTCAGTGGTTAGAACTGTCAGCTCACAGACAGAGGGTCACTGGTTTGAGTCCGGACTCCATTTCTTTGTGAGTTTATGGATGTTTCCCAGTACTGGGTTGCAGCCGGAAGGCCATTCGCTGTGTAAAACATATGCTGGAATAGTGGGCAGTTCATTCCGCTGTTGCGACCCCTGATAATTATTGAATCAATACCCTAGATTGGATTTGTCCATATCTGACCTGAGGTTGGGTAAAACAACCCAGCATTTTTTAAAGTGTTATTGATCATGTGCTAAAAGACAATGATCAGGCATTCATGATGGCATAAAGAGTTAAAGCCAGAATTATTATAATTATATTATCATTCCTCCCAAATTCTGTTTAACGTAAATATTTTTTTAACATTTCTAAACATAATAGTTTTAATCAAATTTTTAATAACTGCTTTCTTTTATATTTGCCTTGATGACGATATGTTATATTTTACTAAATATTTTGTGAGATGCTAGTATTCAGCTTAAAGTGCAATTTAAAGGCTTAACTAGGTTAATTAGGCGAGTTAGGGTAATTAGCAAATCATTGTATCACAGGGATTTCTTCTTTTGCCAGCTGATAAAAATATTGCTTAAGCGGGCTAATAATATTGACCCTAAAATGGTTTTACAAAAATAAAAACTGCTTTTATTCTAGCCGAAATAAAACAAATAAGACTTTCTACAGAGAAAAAAAAATATAGGAAATACTGTGAAAAATTCCTTGCTCTGTTAAACATTTTTTGGAAAAAAGAAAAAAATAATCACAGTATGGATAATAATATTGGCTTCAACTGTACGGTGTCAGTTTGACTTTAAACTAAATCACAAGTTGATTTTTTTCATCATTTTCTCACATGCAGTTTCAGTGAGAATAATCTGCGCCACATTTACATGCAGTTACAAACCCTACAATTCCTCATGAATCCTAATGGAATCTTTGCCCGCAGAGGTTCCTTCTGTTCTGCTCTTGACAGCACACCCTTATTTATGCATTCGATTAATCAAGAAGTATCTCATTTCACTGTTCATTATCTCATTACAGGGAGCAGCAGGGCCCATTGGGCTTCCTGGACAAATTGGACCTACAGGACCAAAGGTGCGTCTCAATCGAATACATCCTCATAATAAGATGACAGTATACAAATCTGTTCTGCTTAAGAATGCTATTTAATACTTAACCTTTGTTACTAGCTAAAACCACTGTTTCTGCAGTAGCTCAAAAGGGGTTTAAAGGGTCAGTTCATCCCAAAATGAAAATTTACTCACTATTTACTCACCCAAACCTTTTAAAGTTTCTTTATTCTGTTGAACACTAAAAAAAGATGTTTTGAAGAAAGCTGAAAACCTGTAAACCATTGATTTCCATATTAGGGAAAACAAATACTATGGACTTCAATGGTAACCGGTTTCTAGCTTTCTTCAAAGTATCTTGTTTTGTGGTTTTCAAGTCAAGAAATGACTCTGTAAATGTCACGATCATCAGCAATCGTAACTTCAAAGATCGCTGCATCTCACTCACAATAACTTATGGACTACAAATATGCCATTTCTGGACTACATTTTCATACATGCACTCCGCTCACACACACACACACACCCACGTTTTCTCATTCTGACTGATTACACTCGCACCACCTGAGGATTGTGCGAAGACTGATTACACACACTATTTAAGCAGCACACACACTCACTTCTATTGCCGAGTCTTGCTGAGTCTTGTTATCTGTCACTTCTTGTTATCTGTGAAGTGACATTTCAATTCCTAGTCTTGTTTTTCCATGTTTTGACCTTGTTAGCCTTTTTGTCTTAGTCTGTCGCCTGCTTTCTGACCTCTCGTCTGATATCTTTGTCTACGTTTCTGGATTGCCTTTATACATCTGTTTGCACCTGTGGTGACCATTGCTTGCCCGACTTTGAATAATCCTGCAAGTGGATCCTCACTTCAGTTGTCTGTGTCACTACCCGTGTTACAGTAAAGCCATATAATTATGCTGCGAATTACAGCAAGGTTTTTTTGGGGGGGGGCGGGGGTGGGAGGGGGGTTGGGCGGTTAGGGGTTGGAGGGGGGTTGACAACACCAATTAATCTTTGATTCAAGCCTGACAGGTGATGAATGGGGGTCAGCCCCTTAATAGAGAAAAATAGTTTAATAGTTAAAATAATCTGATCTGCATCTTAAATAATGTTAAAGAGGTGTTCAAGAGTGTATTAGAGCTTGGCTGTGTTTATAGGGTACAAAGTAATGTGTTGATGCTTCATTTGTAGAAAATCCCATAATTTTTTTAAATATATCTTACAGCTAAAATGAAATGACTGTCATATTTCTTAGTTCCTTACAGGACCTGCTCTCAATAGGCTCTTATTGGTCGGCTAACGTAATGTGCTGTGGTTCACAGATCAGCTCCACATTACCAGGAAGCATCTCTGTTAGAACATTACTGCATCTCTGGCGACGTCCCTTTTTATAACACCAATAACCCGGATTAATTTTTTTGTAGTCCCTGAACTTCGTTCGCTGTAGACTTTGCTAAGCTAACTCTGTAAAAACCAATGTCTCCATTTGCATTGAACTTTGAGCGTCTTAGATACAGAGATGTTGTTTATGTTCACACAGCTACATTACACATCAACTAAAGTTTAAAATATGAAATCGTAGTGGACCACCCTTTTAATAGTTAAAATAATAGATAATAAAAATATATATTTGACCACCCCATGTCGGTTCATACTGTTGCCAATCAGTCTATGCGAGAAAATATTCATTAAACAGTCTGAAACTGGCAGATCTAGAGCAAAGATAGACAACATAAGTGTTCACAAGTAAAGTAGATGTTTGTTTCTACATACAGCCTAAAAGTAAAGTCAACAGATGCAGTTTAGATGCATAGTTGTATTGTTTGACCTACAGTAACCTCTGAAAAAGCCAATCAGAAGATACGGTAGGTCAGAAACACTAAAAACTCAAATACATTTTATTAATGAATTAGACGTAATTAAAAAACAATTACATAAGTTTGATTCACTGAAGCATGTATTACACAAACATTCCTAAAAAAGTTGACCTTCCCCTTCCTCCCAATTGTCAATGTATAATTCGCCCCTTGCATATAAATGAATGGACTACTGATCTGATGTCTACTTGCTCTCAAATCTCTCCTCACACAGGGTGTCATGGGAAGTCCCGGACCTTCAGGATTACCAGGACCTCCAGGCAAGCCTGTAAGTCACAGTAATGTTTCATTTACTTCACTATGAAATATCGTCTTCTCAAGTTAAATCACAAAATTCAATCCTCTGTATAAATCTGTGGAGCTGATAATAAATCAGTGTCAGGACTGTGTAATATGACATCTCATCTCATAACTGCTGCATTCTGGGTGAACGTTTTATTTCATTTTCTACTCTATTTCATCTAATTTCTTGAGGGCATCAATTTGGGATCTGCTTCAGAACTCTTTTACTTTATAATAAGTGATATTCTGATTCTCTTTTCTTTCTATGCAGTATACAGTATATCTACCTGCATGTAAATGCTCTTTCTAAATGTGAATGTAAATGTTATTATGTCATTTTTAGGGTCCACCAGGGAAGTTTTTGGGTCTAGAGGAAGGCAGCGCCGACTTTCAGGTAAGAACAAACTACAATGTGTCACGGCTTTCGAGCATTTTCTACAAAAAAAAAAAAAAAAAACATTTAAAAAGGCTGAAAATGGATCACTCAGCTTCAGAAATGATTATTAAATTATTGTTAAAATTGGACAAATTGGGCGGTACGGTGGCTCAGTGGTTAGCACTGTTACCTCACAGCAAGAGGCTTGCTGGTTCAAGCCCCGGAGTTTGCATGTTCTTCCTGTGTTTGCATGGGTTTCCTCTGGGTGCTATAGTTTCTCCCACAGTCCAAAGACATGCACTATAGATGAATAGGGTAAACTAAAATGTCCTTAGTGTATGAGTGTTTGCGTGAATGTAAGGGGAATTTGGGTATTACCCAGTGCTGGGTTGTGGCTAAAAGGGCATCCATTGTGTGAAACATATGCTAGATAAGTTGGTGGTTCATGTTCACGGTTCATCCCTGATAAAATAAAGGGACTAATCATAAGGAAATTTAATGAATGAATGAACTGGACAAAAAAACTTTGGAATATTTGTTGTTGAAAATGTTTGACTTCACTATCAGTTATGAATTTATATTAGACAATTTAAGGCAGACATAAGCGCACGCATATGCTCCGGCGCAGCCTTCGCGTGGTTGCATAGACCTCACAGTGGCTGTCGCTGACACTTACGCGCACATCTGTAACTACACGTCACGTAGCGCAAGCTCTGTGATTGGTCAACGTAGTAGCACTGATGAGTAGGAGCGGAGGTGAGAGTTGCATGAGCACGATAGAGCAAGTGTTTCCAAGTGTCGAGTCCCATGAAAGTGCTCCAGATAGAAACTTTTGTTTTGTGTTTACCTTATGATTAAAGTTGTTGCATGTCTGCCAGTTCCCGCCTCAAAATGAGCGAGTTTGAGCCACTCAGAAAAAAAAAAAAAACACCAGCAAAGAAAATTGACACAGAGGAACATAAACACCCACTGCCAGCTAGTGTTTCGGAAGTGTTATTGCAGAGCAACACAAATGCTTACGCCGTGGATCATGCCGATCACTCAACGCAGAAGTAGACTTGCAGGCTTTAGACTGATCTCTAATTAATTTAGACAATTTTAGATTTTCTTAAGAATACAGTTTTATTTATTCATTTTCTTTTTGGGTTAGTCCCTTTATGAATCAGGGGTGGCCACAGCGGAATGAACCGCCAACTTATCCAAAATATGCTTTACACAGCGGATGCCCTTCCAGCTGCAACCCATCTCTGGGAAACATGCATACACACTCATCCACACACATACACTACGGACAATTTAACCTACCCAATTCACCTGTACCTCATGTCTTTGGACTGTGGGGGAAACCGGAGCACCCGGAGGAAACCCACGCGAACGCGGAACATGCAAACTCCACACAGAAACGCCAACTGACCTAGCCAAGGCTCGAACCAGTGACCTTTTTGTTGTAAGGCGAGAGCATTACCTACTGCGCCACCGCATCGCCATACAATTTTAGATTTAAAATTGCTGATTTAGTAAAGATAATATAACTTTTTTTACATAATTGAGAAAAAATGTATTTATTTAAATTCATATATACAATATATTCTAAGAAAACATTTTGAGACATCAAATTACAAATATAAAAATGTAAAAAAAAAGCAAATGATTAGCCTGTTGTGAAATGCATTTTTTTTCTCAAAAAATGTCCTAAATGATGTTTAATGGAGAGAAAACATATTTTAAATATTTTATTTATTCTAAAATTTTACTCTTTCTTTTTTATATAATTAATTTATATTGTCTTTGGCATGATGAGAGTACATTATATTTTTTCTAGTAATTCATTCATTCATTCATTTTCTTTTTGGCTTATAGTCCCTTTATTAATCAGGGATCGCCACAGCAGAATGAACCGCCAACTTATCCAGCCAACCGCCAACTTATGCCCTTCCAACTGCAACCCAACACTGGGAAACACACATGCACTCTTGCATTCACACACATACATTACAGCCAATTTAGTTTATCCAATTCACCCATGGCGCATGTTTTTGGACTCCTGGGGGAAACCGGAGCACCCGGAAGAAACCCACACCAACACGGGGAGAACATGCAAACTCCACACAGAAATGCCAACTAGCCCAGCCAGGACTCAAACCAGCAAGCCTCTTGCTGTGAGGCGTTCGTGCTACCCACTACGCCACCGTGACACGCCTTTCTAGTTATTTTGCATATTAGTATTTGGCTTAAGGTGTTATTTGAAGGCGTAACTCTTAGGTCTCAAACAGAATTCCTGAAGAGCCGCAGCTCTGCACAGTTCTGCTCCAACCCTAATCAAACACGGCCAATCAAGGTGCTCAAAACTACTAGAGACTATTAAGCAGGTGTAAGTTGGAGGTGGTTGGAGCTGAACTATGCAGAGCTGTGGCCCTCCAGGAATTGAGTTTGAGACCATTGGCTTAACTATTAATTAGGCTAACTTGTCAGGTTAGGTTAATTAGTCAAATGTTTTAGTTTTTTTTTGGATATTAAAAATAAATAAAAAGTCTTAAGGTCAATATTATTAATTTCTAGTAACACATTCTCCAGAAGAAAAGCATAATGAGAAATATTGATGGAAAAAAACACTGAGAAATCATTTTAATTTCACAAGAGGGCTAATAGTTATGTCTTCAACTTTAAATCTAAGGTAAAGCTATTTAACATACAGTACAGTATACCTATGTTTAAAATTATTACAACAATTTGATGCACTTATGCTGTATTTAACACAATATATAATCTCGAATTCTTCAGTCCTGCACAGTACTGGGTATTTCTCTGATCTAAAATGCTCTTAATTACACTTCTTATCCGGTCTTTCTAAATGCTGCCCTCTCAGAACTGGCCAGAAAACTTCTCAGTATTTGCTTCTTCTCAGCCGTTGCCCTGTTAGACCTTCCACACCTTCTATTGATCTCGCTGTTCATAGATTTTCTTAATGAGCTTCATTAAACGAGTGTCCTGCTCATTAGCACCTCTACAGAGGAAGAAGGTGCTGTGATCCGCATACAGGCCGCTTGACTACTTGGTCTCCTCCAGCTGGAGCCATGCACTGTCTGGATCAATCCCCATCATCCATTTACTTTAATTAAAGGCTGGTGGTCTGAGATGTAGAAACGGCCTGTTTTCACTCTGCTGGGATGCTTCGAGCTGAACTGATCTGACAGTTTGCTTGTTTAGCCCATAGACTGTAAAATATATGGACGTAGTATCCGTGACGTCACCCATAGGTTTCTAAACAGCGCAAAAGAAGCCACAAGTAGGCGCAGCCAACCGTCGCCATTTTGTTCGCGCGTCATCACACCCACGGCGGGATACCAAACATGGGCAAAGAGGCGGAGAGTGAGCGGAGCTGAAGACGCATGCTGCATTTAGCTTGGACCTGGTTCAGACACCTGGTTTACTTTAGGAGAACACTTAATACTTTATCACTTGTGACTCGTTTTGTATTCTGACCACTTGTGCTTGGTTGTATACTATATCAATAAAGTGTTTAGTCTTTTAAAAACACTGCTGTAATACATTGAGCTACTAAACATTGTTCTTATGGCGTTTCTCAATAGGAGGAAAACGCGAATTACTTCCAAACACTTCAGATATAGTAATAATGCAAGACTATTGATGAAATCCAGCATAACACTGTATGACAACGCTTCAGATGACGGTTCTAGAGCCTACAGCTAATCAATCTGACAGATTCTGGAGTGCCTTACAGCTCTAAATATAAATATAAACGATAAATGATCTTAAATAAAACAAATACATGTATAGAGATGGTATATAAGTATATAACTTTACTCACATGGGAAACGGAGGCCACGTGAACGGTTTGTGAGCACAATTAAGTGCTCTCAGCATGCCATGCCATCCAATAATTGTAGGAAACAAGTCCAAAAGGAAGTCGACTGTGTAAAGCCACATAAAACAACACAGAAATACGATAAATATGCCGAGTTCAGTGGCTAATCTGCCGGATTCAGCTGAGGTGACGTGACGGCGACCAACGAGACCTAGCTGTCACTCAAGTGACCACGCCCTTAATTATGCAAACTTAATATAACTTAATATAAAGGAAACGGATGGGTTATAAAAAAATTCACCCCCCTCACAGTTGTCATGAAGGGTAATATTAGCTGTATTAACCAAAACCTTTTTTTGTACCAGGCTGTAAACACTTTTTTTTCTGCTGTAAAGTTGGCCATTCTAACAGTGGACTCAATTGAAATTTGCTCTGTTTTGGAGCCAGGAGTGGCCAGGACTAGCGGAATTTCGGATGAATTGCAGTTTTAGTTACTTCCGTATTGGCTTCCTGAGGGAGAGCGGGAGGTTGCCGCTTGGTTTAGCCTGAGCGATCTGGAGTGCTGTATTTGTTTTTGGTTAATCACATTTTTTTCTACTGTGTTTTCTAGTGTCCAACCAACTGTCCACCGGGACCAAAGGGTCCTCAGGGCCTGCAGGGAGTCAAGGTATATGTCTGCATTTTATTATTCACCTTTTTTTCTATGTCCTATAATGCTTTCTGTGATTTATGGGTGTAACTTTCATTAGATTGGCCGTCTCATAGGACCCTTCACTTAGCCACACCCAATAACCACTACCCACCAATCGTGGCTTAGCAACTGTAGATACACACAGGAGCTCTGTCAAGCTTTCGAGCGAAGGAAACAAGCCAAAGCGTTGTGCATATGGATGCGTTGTGCAAATCTAATATTTCCTTTTTAAAACCTAAAACCCAAGAGGAGAAATGCCAGCGTTGGATCAAACTCTGTGAGGGGTGCTAAAGGAGTTGAGTTAAGTTGCTTTTGTTTCTATAATCCTGACACAGTCATAGACGGCAATTACTCCACCCTAAAAAGATCTAAACTGTGTTTCCTACAAAATTACAAAGCAGGTTATGTTTCCCAGCTGTTACGAGCACTGCTCCGTTTAAGCCCTCAGCCATAGTAGTCATACTAATAGCAGTCATATTTCCATCGGTTTTAAGCTACGAATAATTGAAATTACATATCAACAGAAAAAAAACGAGATGTGATCACAATCTGAGCACTTGCTTTCAATATACTTCACCCCGCAGCTGTTTTTCAGTCATTTATAACCCTCATGTCCATGTCAGAGCAACAGTTCACCAATGTTTTCATCTGTCTTTTGGAGATTTAGTCATTGGTGACGATGTTATAGCGGGTTAGTGTCTGCTTTGCTTTTGGTGTCGGATTAATATTTGCTGGTAGGGAAAATCTATTTGTTCACTTCTGCTATTTATACTTTGACTTGCATTTCAATTTATTTATTTATTTATTTATTTATTTATTTATTCCACAACTGCAAATTAGAATAGAAACTGGATAAAGAGCACACAAACACACTGACAGATATAGGTTCTGTACATTGTTTTGGGTCAATGATGCTAATATTTGACACAATTCCATACATTTCCCCTGTCTGGCTGCTCTTTCTATGAATGAATTATGTAGAAGCACTGTCCATGCGTGTTTTCTTGTTGGTTAGTAACGGTATATTTCATTGCACAACAAGGCTTTTTGGCTAAAAAAGGGAAATCACTATTAAATTGGTTATTATTAGATTATTTTTAAACTTCACCTCTCCTGCTGTGCATGAGCTAAGCTGTTGAATGGTTAGCACATGAGGCGGCTAGGCTAACCTAGCTTCAATTTTGATTAAATTATTTTCTAATCGGTTGCCTATTATATGGTGAATATACCCCTGCAACGCATACTGCAGTCCTTTTTTTGTCTGGCTTTCTCAGATATCTCACCATTTTGCCAAAAATGACTAATGATATCCCTGGCAATGTCTGACACTGGCGCATAAACATTGTAATAGACGTGCCAGGCATGGAAGCTTGACAGGCATAGCAACAGTAACTAAGGAGGGCAGAAGAGTCAATTGATGTGAATGATAACAACTTAAACTTGCTATTTCTGAATGATTTTTTTCAAAATAATAGTTTTTAGCATAACAAAACTATTAAAGCTGTTCAATTTGGCTGAGGATAAGGACAATGACAGGGTTTGCACATTTATAAAGGGTTTTTAATACAAAAAAACAAATCTGAGAACCAAATGAATGACATACTGCTTTACAGAACAACTCATAGAAATCATAGTTTAAAAGGCTGTAGCCAGGTGCTGAAAAAGATGAAACAATGCAGTCATATTTGTTGTCAAACTGATGTACATGTAAACCAAATTTATTATGGTTATATTTGCATAATGGAAATGATTTTGATGTAATGTTACTTGAAGAACCACACAGGAGTTTTGCATTATGGCTGTTACTATACTTGTACATAAAAATTATGTATTGGTTAGTTAGCATCTGGGACTATTTAAACATGTAATGAAGTGGTGATTAATCATGAAATTATTTTCCTTATAGGGACACAAAGGTCGTTCTGGGGTGTTGGGAGATCCAGGAAGCATCGGAAAAACGGTATGATGAATATCTAAATAATGCTATAAATACAAATATTATAATATTACATAAAAACAACAATACTAATGCTAGTAAAATTATTATTATTATTATTATTATTATGGTTATGTTGATTTTGTTAATAACATTAACAACAATAATTTCATATTTAAAATAATGAAAGTTACATATATACAGATAATATTTGTATTTAGAATAATGACAAATATTTACATTATTAGGTCAATAGTATTAGTACAAAGTTACTATTTTGATTATTATTGCTATTTTTATTATTATTATCAACAACAACAACAACAATAATAATAATAATAATAATAATAATAACAATAATAATAACACAATAATAATAATAATAATAATAATAATAATAACAACAAAAACAACAAAAATAACAATATTAATAATAACAACAACAATTATTATTATTATAATTATTATTAATGTATAACACATTTTATACTGTAAAATTAAAATCTCATTTAACAAGTTTAAATAACTAGTATTTTCCTTTTTATTTGTCTTAGTATTAGTGGTAATGATAATAAAATGAATAATAATTACAAGGTATTTTAGGGTATATTTATGTTTATGCCCTACCTTATACTATTGATGTGTTATTTACTTTTATGTACAGTTCTATTTAAGTAATAGCCACACAGTCAGTACACTTTTCAACCACAAAGGGGCTCTTCTGAGCCCTCTTCTAAATCATAAAATGTCAAATGAAACTGTAAACTTCACAAATCTCATCATCAAAAAATGACATGCAGGGAAAAATACTGTCTGTTTAAAAAAAAAAAAAAAAAACTAAAACAATGTCTATTATTAGGAATCCCAATCATGCGTTGAGCAGCCCCAGTATCTCTCCCAAAACACATCATCCAGAACAGGATTATGTGTTAATGAAGCCCCTCAAGGCATATAACAGCCTCTAATCTGAGTGTGAGTCACAGACAGAACACATTGACCCAGATGAAGGGAAACAGGGGCCCGGCAGGTACTGAGACGCTGCTGCGCTGTGAATTAATCAGACTTAATGAGCCCCACAAGGACATTAGAATGGACTGCAGGGACAGAGCGGATTTACCCCTAATGCAGAGCATGACTGTCCAAGCGCAAGCTTGTAAGTCTTTGGGAAGTCAAAGTGTGGCAAATTCAGGACGCTCATATCTAAAGTGCATAACCAAATAGTAAAACGTAACTGAAGCAACAACTTCAAAGTGACAGACCACATTCATTCAGTCATTCATTTTCTTTTAGGCTTTGTCAATTTATTAATCTGGGGTTGCCACAGCGAAATGAACCGCCAACTTATCCATCATATGTTTTATACAGCGGATGCCCTTCCAGCTGCAATCCATAACTGGGAAACACCCATACACACTCTTTCACACTCATACACTATGGCCAATTTAGCTTATTCAATTCACCTGTACCGCATGGGTAAAACCAGTGCACCCAGAGGAAACCCACGAGAACATGGGGAGAACATGCAAACTTCACATAGAAATGCCAACTGACCCAGTCGAGGCTCGAACCAGCAACCTTCTTGCTGTGAGGCAATTGTGTAACCCACTGTGCCACCATGACAGGCCACATAATATCACAAAATATGTTTATAAAGGAACTTTTTTTAAAAATAGGCTTATTTTACAACTCCACTTGAGTCAAACTGTTATTTTTTTTCAACTTTGAATTCATTGGAGCACTTTTAGCTTAGCTTAGCATGCATAATTGAATCAGATTAGACCATTAGCATCTTGCTCAAAAATGACCTAAGACCTTTGATAATTTTTCTATTTACAGCTTGACTTTCCTGTGGTTCCATTGTTGGGCAGCGACTGAAATAGCGTCTTTAGCTATATTGATAAAAGTTAGCTGATTTTTAGGTGCTGTGTAATATCATTGCACCTGCTGCAGCCAAGGTTCAGCAGCAAAGTTCCTTGATAATTACGCTGAAATGAGAATACAGTTCCTAGCCATATCAACCTAGAAAATAGCAACTTTTCACTCTGTCTTAGACGACAATGTAACTACAGAAGAGTCAAGCTTTAAATAGGAAAATTATGGAAACTTTTAGGTGATTTTTTAGCAAAATGCTAATGGTCTAATCCGATTCAATGATCTATGCTAAGCTAAGCTAAACTTTCCGATATCAAATCGACTGAATCAATTAAAAAATGGTAAAACTCATCTGTTTAATTCTTGGGAAGATGTAATATGAGCCAAGTGGACTGTTCCTTTATTTTTTATCCTTATCAATCTAGAAAATAACAACTTTTTTACTCTGTTTTAGTAGACGATGTAACCACAGAGGAGTCAAAGTTTAAATAGGAAAATTATCGAAACCCTTTGGTGATGTTTTTAGCAAAATGCTAACTGTCTGATCCAATTCAATGACCTATATGCTAAGCTAAGCTAAACTTTCCCTTTTCAACTGAATGGATTCAAAAATGGTAAAACTCATCTGTTTAATTCTTGGAAAGTTGTAATATGAGCCAAGTGGACTGTTCCTTTAGTTCCTAGCCTTATCAACCAAAAAAAAATAACAGCTTTTACTTTGTCTTAGTAGACAATATAACTACAGAAGAGTCCAGCTTTAAATAGGAAAATTATTGAAACTCTTTGGTGATTTTTTAGCAAAATGCTAATAGTCTAATCCGATTCAATGATCTATGCTAAGCTAAGCTAAACTTTAAACTAGCAGTTTCTGAACTTCCTCAAATGCCTTGATAGCAGTTTTAATTTGTTTAGAGAAAGTACATGTCTCGAAATCTCATGTTTTTTGTTTGAGTTGAGTTGAGTTTGTACTATTTTGTCTTTATGTAAAAGAGATCTACCAGATCTAATATACTGAAACACGTGTGATTTCTTCCCCAAATGTATATCAGTAAGCATCATTTCAAAACCTCAAACACCTTGTTCACAATATCTTGAATTTAAATAACATTAATTGAGTTGAGCTTGTAGTGTTTTGTCTTCATGTGAAAGAGGTGCTGGTGCACACGTCTAATATAATGATACACGTTTGATTTCTTCCCTGACGGATGACATTCACAGACACAACTGACATTTTAGGAACTCATATTTGTCTGTGTACTTCTGGCATATGCTTTGACAACTGACAAAGAAAAAAATAGTTTAATACTCACACAAAATGTCATCTGACAGCCTTTTGTTTGTTGAAGGAGTAAATGAGCCATAAGCTGTAAAGGCTCCGCCCTTCTCAGGAAAAGGGGGTGGAGAGCAGCTGGTCATTTGCATTTAAAGAGACACACAAAAACTATTTTGTTACCACTTAAAATATGAACTTATAACATGATAAAATTAATAAATAGGTGACCAATAACCAAATGACAGATTTTGGGGTCCTTTTAGACTTTGATCTTGTAAAAAAGGAAGCAAATCCTAAAATATGCTTTGTGTTTTCCTCTTTAGGGTATAAAAGGTGAAGTTGGCATCTCCGGTGAACAAGGGATCCCAGGCCCTCCAGTAATGTATTTATTTCTGTTCTGGTTTGCCATTGAATTATTTAAGCATCAGTTGCTGTTACATCAGCGCAAGTAATCTGAGCAGATTTTATAAATGTCATGAGCTCACCTGGAAAATAAATAAGCTGCTCTTCTCTACAGGGCCCTCAGGGTCTGAGAGGGTATCCAGGAATGGTGGGGCCAAAAGGCGAGACGGTGAGTCACAGCTCCCAAAATACTACTCATTATCTGTTCATGCCTGCAACACAATTAGGCAAGGCAGGGCAAGGCAAGTTTAGTTATATAGCACATTTCATACTCAATAGTAATTCAAAGTGCTTTACATAAACAGGAATAGAAGAGACAAGTATAAGAAAATAAAAACGAATAGTAAAAACAGATTAAAATGTGTTAAAACAGGTTGTAAAAGAATGAAAAAGAAAAAAAAAGTCATAATGGTGCGATCTGTTGGACGGAGCACATTGCTCATTCAGTACAGATGAGTTTGCAGTGTTGATTTGAACGTACCTAATATTGGAGCACATCTGATCATTTCTGGAAGCTGATTCCAGCAGCGAGGGGCATAGTGGCTGAAGGCGGATTTACCCTGCTTTGACTGAACTATTGCAAATTCTTGTTTATATGATCCTAAAGATCTGAGTGCTCTGTTAGGTTTGTGTTTAGTGAGCATATCTGTAATGTATTGAGGTCCTAGGCCATTTAGTGATTTATAGACCAGTAATAATACTTTAAAATCTATTACTGGGAGCCAGTGTAAAGACCTGAGGACAGATGTGATGTGCTCTGATTTCCTGGTTCTGGTCAGAATCCTGGTTGCAGCGTTCTGGATGAGCTGCAACTGTCTGACTGTCTTTTTGGGAAGGCCCGTGAGGAGGACATTACAGTAATCCACCCTGCTGCTGATAAAAGCATTAACAAGTATAGGTCTTCACTAGATACGAAGCATCTTATTCTTGTAATGTTTTTGAGATGATAGTATGCTGATTTACTAACTGCTTTGAGATGACTGTTGAAACTCATATCTGACTCCAGAATAACACCAAGATTCTTGACCTTATTTTTTGTTGTTTGACCCTTTGAGCCAAGACATGCATTCACCTTGATCTCTGTTCCCAAATGCAATGACTTAAGTTTTCTCTTTATTTAACTGAAGAAAGTTTTGGCACATCCAACTGTTAATTTCATCAATGCGTTGGCTGGGGGTGTCAATATGGCCGCAGTCATTAGGCAGTTAGGCTAAGTATATTTGTGTGTCATCAGCATAGCTGTGGTAGGAGATTTGGTTCTTTCTTATTATTTGGCTCAGTGGGAGCATGTAAAGGTTGAACAGGAGAGGTGCCAGAATTGAACCTTGTGGGACTCCACATGTCATGGGTGTCCATCTCGACCTATAGTACCTATAGCGACACAGTAACCTCTCCCTTCAAGGTAAGATCTGAAGCATTTGAGGACTGAAAACTAAAACTAGACAGACATTCAATTCAAAATATGAATAAATTCTAGAAATGCTTATAAATATATTAAATTAACACAGGGCCATCTGTCGCTCATTCTCAAAATAGAAAACAGGACAGTAATTAATACACCTTCAGCGTATCTATAACTGGACATGGATGGGTTTTGATCCATTTGGTCTGTGGTTATACAATTTTTTATACAGTTTTTGTGTGTGAAATGAGATTTTTAAATTTAGACGTTATCAATTAAACAAGCAACAGCTTAATGTGGATTTAACTCCCCTACAGAATTGTATATGCAGCTTGATTTGCAAAAAACCCCATTACATTCACTTCGATAACATTTGTAGGACAGCAAATCTCCACAGACTTGACTTTGTTTCACAATGTACAAAATTAAAAGTGTTTCACAACTTCTGTGACAGGGACCACAAGGTTATAAAGGAATTTTAGGACCAATCGGCATCCCTGGACGCCCTGTGAGTATTATTAAAAACATTTCATTCTAATAACTGACAAAAACATAAAAAAATAAACATTTACCGCAAAACAGGGTGAAGAAGGACCCCAAGGACCACCTGGAGAGCCTGGTGACAAAGGAGACATGGTATGAATCACTAATATTATATACAACTTTTCATCCAGTCATTAATTTGTCCTTTCATATGTCAGCTTATCAACTTTTTTGTATCAATCTATGTACTTATAGGGAGAGCGTGGTATCCGAGGGCCTCAGGGAGTGGTCGGAAAGAAGGGAGATAATGTAAGTAAAAAAGGAGCAATTTAAAACACATACTTTAACCGTATGCTCTTAATCTTTTGATTAATGTTCTTTGTCAGGGACTTCCAGGAATTGATGGAAAAGATGGCACTCCTGGCATCCCCGGGATAAAGGTACGAATGGCTCTTATTCAGCTCTTAAATCAAAAACCACTGCAGTCATCATTATTCAAGGAGACACAAGACATATGTAAAGGATGAACCAAAGGAGGAAGTTTTATGTGATTGAGAAGGGGGCTCTTTGAGGATTAATAACCAGTTAACAAGTATTGATTTAACTTGTAATATGACAGCATGGATATTTATTTCATTGTAGAACCGATTAACCAGCAAAGTTAAAAAAATAAACACAACACAATGGTTAAGTATGCTGTTTTGCAGTCATCATGCAAAATATGAAACTAGAAAAAGCATTGGCTGGCAAATTTGAATAAAAGTATTTATAATTGATATGGAAATACAATAAAATATGAATTCAGCTATTAAACCTAGCTGTTTTTATTTGCTATATTGAGTTGTTTTTATTAAGTTGTGCTATATTTGCTTATATAAGTTTATATCATATACACTTACCGGCCACTTTAAGAGGTATACCTGTCCAACTACTTGTTAATGCAGATTTCCAATCAGCCATACACATGGCAGCAACTAGACATGGTCAAGACAAACTGCTGCAGTTCAAACCGAGCATCAGGATGAGGAAGAAAGGGGATTTAAGTGATTTTAAATGTGGCATGGTTGTTGGTGCCAGACGGGCTGGTCTGAGTATTTTAGAAACTGCTGATCTACTGGGATTTTTTTACACACAACCATCTCTAAAGTTTACAGAAAATGGTCAGAAAAAGAGAAAATATCCAGTGAGCGACAATTCTGTGGACGCAAATGCCTTGTTGATGCCAGAGGTCAGAGGAGAATGACCAGACTGGTTCAAGCTGAAAGGTTACAGTAACTCAAATAACCACTCGTTACAACCGAGATATGCAGAAGAGAATCTCTGAACACGTCCAACCTTGAGGCGGATGCGCTCCAGCAGCAGAAGACCCCACTGGGTGCCACTCCTATCAGCTAAGAACAGGAAACGTTCGAGGTTACTAAAGTAACCCTTCGTTCCCCGAGGAGGGGAACGGAAGCACTATAAGTGGATTTGATTGTAAAATCCACGCATTGGGAGGTTCGGTTCAGAAGCTACTCGTCTGAAAGAGTATTGAACGGGCCAATTAAGAATGAATTGGCAGCGCAAGCCTGCGCAGGTGAGCGGCATAAGCAATCAACTGAGTATATAAGCTCACCTGGCGCCAGCAGACGCTATCCTTTTTAAGCTGAAGAGACTTTCAACAGCTAAGGGACAGTCATTATGGCGACGGAGTATAGTGCTTCCGTTCCCCTCCTCGGGGAACGAAGGGTTACTTTAGTAACCTCGAACGTTCCCCTTCGGGGGGAACTTCAGCACTATAAGTGAATTTGATTGTAAAATCCACGCATTGGGAGCCCATTGAAAGCGCCATAATGACTGCACCCTACCAACACCCCCGATGAGGAGATAGTCAAGCAAGCGTGACGCACCCACATCATGGGGGGCGCGGTCCTCCAACGTGTCCCTGGCCCTAATTTATCCTACTTCAACAGAAGTTTTACGGATTTAGATATATTTTTTGGGAAGTCGTGAGCATCTAGATAATTCTAGGAAAATACGACAGTACGTTGGGAAGCGTGCAATCCCGATAGGGAGGACGCTGCGGAGGCCATCCGTTACCCAAGGGGGGATAGATGGCAGAATTTACATATGGACTAGCCCTAAAAAGGGGGAGTACGCATAGCAAAAGAGTGGTTAGCGGGGAGGGAAGACACGGGTCCGCCCAGGGGGGGGACTTAACCGTGGCGGAATAAGCATATGGGATCGCCTAGTGGGGATCACGCATAGCAGGCACCTTTACCCAAAACGCGGGCTGACCAGCGGGCAGACCTACAGCGTAGTGGGCCAGCAAGTGACTCCTCCGCTGAGTCAGTGCTGGGGGCCACGGAGGAATCTGCAGGGCTCACCTGACGGGGAACTTTACTGACAGATAAAAAGGCGCACGTATCTCCGTGTTAGGGAAAATGGCGCAGCAAGCGTGTTTCAACACCCTACCGAATTGTTTCCTCAATCACCAAGGGTTACCTAATACCCTTGAGGAAACCGGCTCCACTCGCAGATTGTAAAACCTTGCAAATGTGTTGGGTGTCACCCAGCCCGCAGCTCTACAGATGTCTGTTAGAGGGGCGCCGCGTGCGCGCGCTCGAGAGGATGCGAAGCTCCGAGTGGAGTGCGCACGCGCTCTCGGGGGACGCGGCTCACGGCTCTGATAGTGAAAGAAAGGCATCCACAATCTAGTGGGAACTTATTTCGGTACGGCACTTCCCTGCTGCCGACCGCTATAACAGACGAAGAGCTGCTCAGATGATCTAAACTCTGAGTGCGGTCCGGATAATACGCAAAACGCGAACTGGACAATAAGAAGGGCTGGGTCTGCCTCCTCCGAGGGCAGCGCTTGCAGGCTCACTACCTCGTATTAAACGGAGTGGTAGGAACCTTGGGCACATATCGCGGGCGGGGTCTCAGGACGTGAGAGAAGCCAGCCCAATTACAGGCACGAGTCACTGACCGAAAAATGCCTCCGGGTCCCCGACCCTCTAATCGATATCAACGCGACCAGCAGAGCTGTCTTCAGGGACAGAAAGATACTGAGTCGAGGATCGAAGGGATCTGACGCGGCTTGTGTAGCGAGGGCGAGATCCTAAGAGGGCATGAGAGGGGGCGGGGTGGATTAATTCGCTTAACCCCCAAGAGGAACCGGATGATGAGGTTATGCGTTCCCACGGTGCTGCCAGCCACCGCGTTATGAGAGCGGAGATGGCAGCCACGTAACCTTGAGTGTGGAGGGCGACAGCCTGCTCTCCAACTTCTCTCGGCGTAAAGAAAGCACAACGCTGATCTGGCAAATTACGGGGGTCTTCTCAGCGAGAGACACACCATTCAGTGAATAGACTCCACGTCAGGGCATAGGCGCGCTCGGGGAGGGGGCTCTAGCCCGAGTGACGGTATTAGCCACCGCAATCGGAGGTTACCTAAGTCTTCCTCGCGTCTAAAAATCTCTTCAAAGATCGGCGAGGGTGTCAGGTGGTGCCCTGTCCCTGAGAGAGTAGGTGCTCTCTCGAAGGGACTGCCAGGGGAGGGCTATCGCGAGGGAGAGCTCTGACATCCAGGTCCGGTTGAGCCAGAGGGGCGCAACCAGCAACCTGTTTCTCGTCCTCCCTGACCTTGCACAGTAACTGCGCGAGCAGGCTCACTGGGGGAAACGCGTATTTGCGCGTGCCCCGAGGCCAGCTGTAAGCCAGTGCTTCCGTGCCGAGAGCACTCGGTCAGGGAAAGAACAACTGGCAATGAGCGATCTCGGGGGAAGCAACAGATCGATCTGGGCTTCCCCGAATCGCGCCCATATCAGCTGAACAGACTCGGGGTGGAGTCTCCATTCTCCAGGACGCAAGGCTGCCGTGAGAGCGCATCGGCTGCACGGTTGAGCTTGCCTGAATATGAATGGCGTGCAGCGATTTCAGCCGCGGATGACTCCAGAGGAGCAGACGGCGGGCGAGCTGAGACATGCGGCGAGAGCGCATACCCCCTATACGGCTGATATACGCCACCGCCGCCGTACTGTCCGTCCTGACCAGCACGTGTTGCCGCTCCAGCACCAGAAAAAAACGGTGGAGAGCGAGGAACACTGCCAACAGCTCCAGGCGATATGCCAATGCAACTGGGTACCTTTCCACAGGTCCGCAGCCGCATGCCCGCAACGCACAGCCCCCCAGCCCGTGTTGGAAGTGTCTGCTGAAACGACAACAAGACTGGACGCCTGTTCTAGAGACACCCAGGCCTGTAGGAACGAGGGGTCGCTCCAAGGGCTGAGGGCGCGGCGACACAGCGCAGTAACAGAGACTCGGTGTGCGCGCGCGTGCCATGCGCGTCTGGGGACTCGATCGTGAAGCCAGTGCTGAAGTGGTCTCATATAGAATAATCCGAGCGGCATGAAGCGGCTGCGGATGCCATATGCCCCAGGAGCGGGGGCGGAGCAGCTCTCGTAGGCGGGCGCCTTCGGCGAGGAGCAGGTATGAATGGCACGGCGGGCGGAGCGGGCTACGGACCGCCGATAAGACATCACCCACCAACTGCTCTCTCACCGCCTTGAATTCCTGGGTGAATTCACAGACAGTGTCGCCGAACCTGGCTGGGGATATGGGGAAGTCAAGAAAGCGGACTTTGTCGACTTTGCGCATATCAGCCAGGGGTGGCGCTCCTGGACCACTAATGTGGACATCGTCCTCCCCAACGCACACGCAGCGGACTCAGTAGTCCGAAGAGCTAAGTCGGCGGCGGTGTGAAGCTCGTAAGCCTGGGTTGGACCCACCCTCGTGCTGCTCGGCCAGCGCCTGCGCTTGGTAGCGCTGGTAGGTGGCTATCGCATGCAAGGCGGAAGCAGCCTGGCCCGCAGCTATGTAAGCTCTAGCTCCGAGGGAGGTAGATAACTTACAGGCTTTGGATGGGAGACGAGGCGGACCCCGCCAAGAAGAGGCGCCGCGCGGATTTACCGCCATCGCGCACTCAACCTGAGGAATCGCCACATACCCCCTGGCTGTTTCACCGTCAAGAGTGGTTAGGGTGGAGGAACACGCAGCACGAGCAGAAAAAAGTGCTTTACAAGACCGCGTGAGCCTACTGTGCACCTCCGGGAAGAAGGGAACGCCCCTCTAGTCGGTCCGGCCGCGGAGCTGGGGGATAAACCATCTCCAACCCACGGCCGAAGCAGCCCGGGAAAGCACGGCTAACATGTCCGTTTCAGGATCCGTAGTGACAGCGCTCACCAGCCCGAAGGGGGCGAGCGGGTCTGGATCATCATCGGACAATGAAAGCCCACCCTCCGATGCCGCGGTGGACATCTGGTCTCCGGTGTCATCGGGCGTAAGGGCTACCATCTGTTAGACGGATCGCTTCCCCCGCCCGAAGCTTGGATAGAGCGCTTAGAGGAGCGGGAGGTCCGCGGGCCCGTGGGCGACGGATTATCTCTCGCTGAAACCCTCAGATCTGCCCGAGTGCCCGCTGCAGAGCAGGGGACAACTGGGGTGGTTCACCCTTTTGCAAAGGCTAACCGCGATCTTGCGCAACAGTCATGGCATCGCAATGACGACATGAACTGCCCGCGAGCAGCGCATTAACATGCTGGACCCCCAGACATGCAACGCAGTGCCCGCGCCCATCATCCGAGGACAGGAACCCACCGCATCCAGAAACGCACAGTCGGAGCGCTGTCCTGATAAGGACGTGCTGCACGACTGTGTTGCTCTTTCTGTGAAGTTTGCAACTTTATACGCACCGCTCTGGAGGACCGGACCCAAAGAACGCCAGGCAAGGGAGAAACCCAGCTCGACCGTCTGCCACTGCGTGTACACACTCTGGACCGGGAGAATGCTCTCGTTCGCTCAGAATCGCTGGTCACAGCAGGAGGAACCCTCATCGACTCGATCAGAAAGTCTCTGAAGCGAAAAGGATAGCGTCTGCTGGCGCCAGGTGAGCTTATATACTCAGTTGATTGCTTGTGCCGCTCACCTGCGCAGGCTTGCGCTGCCAATTCATTCTTAATTGGCCCGTTCAATACTCTTTCAGACGAGTAGCTTCTGAACCGAACCTCCCAATGCGTGGATTTTACAATCAAATCCACTTATAGTGCTGGAGTTCCCCCCGAAGGGGAACTGAGGCTACAATTCACATGGGCTCACCAAAATTGGACAATAGAAGATTGGAAAAACGTTGCCTGGTCTGATGAGTCTTGATTCCTGCTGCGACAATCAGTTGATGGGGTCAGAATTTGGCATCAACAATGCAAGCATGGATCCATCCTGCCTTGTATCAACAGTTCAGGCTGGTGGTGGTGGTGTAATGGTGTGGGGGATACCTTTTTGGCACACTTTTTGCCGATTAGTACCAATTTACATTTTATGTCATAAAGCGCGAATCATCTCAGACTGGTTTCTTGAACATGGAAATGAGTTCACTGTACTCAAATGGCCACAGTCACCAGGACATTCGCATCATGGATGTGTGGCCAACACATCTGCAGCAGCAGCGTGATGCTATCATGTCAATATAGAGCAAAATTTTTGAGGAACATTTCCAGTACTTTGTTGAATTTATGCCATGAAGGATTAAGACTGTTCTGAAGGCAAAAAGGGGTCAAACTTAGTACTAGTAAGGTGTACCTAATAAAGTGGCCGGTTAGTGTACTATGAATTCATGAATGGTGCATTTTATTTCTATTTTTTAGGGTGCTGCAGGACAAAACGGAAGACCTGGAGCTCCTGGCAATCAAGGAGATCCTGTAAGTTAAATTTCAAACTTCATTCTCCTTCCCATTTCACATTTACACCAGCATTAGATGTGCAAGGAACCCTTTCCCATCCTTCTCAAACATGTCCAGGGTTTTGCATTTGCTAAACGAGAATGATTAAAGATTTAAAAAAGTAAAAGTTTAGTATATTTTCCGCTTGCAGTCCCAGTGTGACATTCATGCCCTCGCTGTTTTGGAGCTTAAACCACCTTGAAATTGCTCTTGCTGTTAACTATTCATCATCATCAAACTTGACTCTCCTGGTGACTTGGGGTAATGGAGCATGCTGGTTATGATACAAAACATCACAACGTACCTGCGCAAGCCGTAATGCAGGCGCCCTCGCTAACAGGATGAGTTATTGCAGTCTTGTTCTGATGTCAGCAGAGAGTAGAGGACAGACATGAAGCTCTCCATGGAGGTCTGCAGGGGTCACTACATTCATTCTTCATGGCTTTTCTCAAATTTGTTTCAGGGTTTGCCTGGTATGCCTGGAGCCAAAGGTGAAGTGGGGGTTAAGGTGAGATTGTGTAGTTATTTTATGAATGCTTGTATGCTGTTGAAATAAAAAGAATGGGCGTAGAAACAATTTTCACATAACAATTACTAGTAAAGCTCACAATAGAGTGCATTAGAGCTTTAGAGCGCACTTTTTCAACATTACTGGGTTCAGAAAAATATATATTTATTTATTTATTCTTCTTAAAGCCATTTCGTCACCTTAGAATTAGGTTCTATCTGACATTTTTGTCAAAATTGAGTCATTCACATATTGCTATTAATGACTAATTATTTACATTATGTGATGCTTTTTTATAAATTCTTCACATTTTAAAGCTTTTTATTAAAAAAAAAAAAGGTTTTATATACAAATTCTAAAAAGGTTCTTTCTGTGAGCCAATCAGCATTTCGAATGCAAGCACGAGGACCAATCAGGATCAACTTTCTTTGTCATTTCGCTGAAACACAAAATTAGTCAACTAAATAATACAGCACCACAGAAAATTGAGGAGAAACCTGAAACTGAAAACATGTGTGTAAATGTGATGATTTAGAAGCACTTGTTGACATTAAGATGAAATGTTACATTTTTCTTTGTTATTAAAAAAAATAATTTATTAAATGTGAAATATTTTTATTTGTGTATATATAGTCAGTAAAACACTTTTCAGTGTTTATTAAAATCATTTGCTCACTGTTTTCTTTTACAGTTTTTACATTTGATATGAAGTTAATAATTTAATTCATGGGGCATATAGTTTAATAAATATAATTCAATAATTCCTATAAAGCATATAATTCAATAAATATTACTATAATAGTTACAAAAAATTAACATCTGCACTGGGCAAAATATTTAGCACAGCTTTTATGCTAAATTTGACCAAGAAATATTCACCCAATAACATTAAAAAAATGTCATAGAAAGCAAAAATTTCAAGCATCAACATACTGTTACATCACCAATTTTATTTTTTTAAACTAGATTAATAAACATACTGATTGTATTTCTTATAAAGTAAAGCATCAATTAATGATCTGCCAGACAGAACCTTATAATTCCAAGTGGAAAATGACTTTTTAGAATTAGAAGGTTCTATCTGCATTTGCCCTGTTGATTAGTTTTTTTTTAATCCCAAATTGCAAATTTGAGAGATATTTGATAATTTACATGTAGAGTACATTTACTGTAGGGTCTCTGTCATGTTAATTTATAAAAGAGAATTGTTAACTGTTACACACATATTGTTGGCTGTATGGAATGCAAAAACTTTGAAGCTCAATATCTCAAAATCCTTCAAAACACAGATAGAACCTTATAATTTCAAGGAGATGATTTAGAACTAGTTGGATTAATGCAAACAATGGGTCCAACAAAATCATATTCAATAGACAAACAACCTGTCAGTTATTGTTAAAAATCTAAACTCTGGAATAAATGAATGGAGTTTTTTGACTTCCTAACCCCAACTGTTCCCTAAAATAGGATTTTCTTGTTTTAAAATAAAAGTGAAATTTTGGTGTTGAGAACGCCCGATGATACTATATATTATGCACCTCCAACAGTTTATTATCTATTTTGTGTTTAGGGTGAGACCGGACCCCGGGGTTTGATGGGAATGCAAGGATCCCCAGGACCGCAAGTATGTTGGATTATTCAGTTTTGAACATGAACTGAAATGGTTTCTGGATTCTCCTGATGTATGTTTTTCTCTCAGGGAGAACCTGGTCCTCCAGGTGAAGCTGGCATGGAGGGAGTCCCGGGGGCAAAGGTCAGCTGCATTCACCACTAACAAATTCTTTTAGCAAACTCTTATTTTCTTACACTTTTGATCTGTGTCTGATAGGGTGACAGAGGTGAACGAGGACCAGTCGGCCCTGCTGGGGTTATTGGTTTGCCTGTAAGTTTCTTTAATGTTTATTTCAAATACATATATTTCTGCTACAAACAGCCTTAGTCAGGAGTAACAGCGGAAACAAAGTTCACAAATTAAAATGGGTGTTTTAAATGTTAAGCATGATGGAATGTAACATTATCATAAGGATGTTTTCAAAACGAATAAATACAACGCAACTTTAACATTCACATGACCAAATAAAAACGTTATTTTTTTTCATCTATTCATATTGAACGTCTTCATATAGTTTTCATTATAAAAAATGAAATGATTTTCTCATGTTCATATAGTAATTGTGGGTATAGTAAATACTAAATGATTAATTAAATAATTGTTAATATCAAACTGTACAATGCAATGTTTTTACTTGTGTGTAGCATGTTTAGGCAATATAAAAAATAAAATATTAGAAAGCTAATTACAATTCTATATGCCTACATGTGTCCTAGTATATAATCTGTCAAAATCAATCCTTCACTTATTTTGTGTGTTTTATTTTCAGGGCAGTAAAGGAGAAAGGGGGCCCATGGGGGTCCCAGGAGCTCAGGGTCTAACTGGAACTAAGGGTGATAAGGTTTGTAGCACTATTTACAATCTAATAATAACAAAAATGAACTTTTAAAAGGGGTAGTTCACCCAAAAAATTATTTTTACTGACTTTTTACTCTCCCTCAAGTGGTCTTAAACATTTATGAGTTTCTTTCTTCTGTTAAACACAAAAGAGAATATTTTAATGAAAGCTAAAAACCTGCAATCCTTGACATCCAGAGTAGGAAAAGCAAATACTATGGAAATCAGTGGTGACATTCATTTCAGCATTTCAGCATTTTTAAATATATCTTATTTTGTTTAAAAAAACAAACAAACAAACACATAAAGGTTTGAAACAACAAAAGAGTGAATAAATGATGGCAAAATTGTCATTTTTGTGGGTCTAACTAGAAGGATGATAAGGTTTGAGGCATTATTAACCATTTAATATGAAAAAAAAGAACTTTTTAAAGGGATGGTTCACCTAAAAATTACAATTTACTCACTATGTACTCTCCCTCAAGTGGTCCTAAACCTTAATGAGTTTCTTTTTTCTGTTGAGAACAAAAGAGGATATTTTGAAAAAAGCTGAAATCCTGTAACTTTCATAGTAGCTAGGAAAAACAAATGCTATGGATGTCAATGGTGACAGCTTTCCAACATTTTTCAAAATATCTTCTTTTGTTTTCAACAAAAACAACAACAAAAAGAAACCCATAAAGGTTTGAAAAAACAAAATAGTGAGTAAATAATGGCAGAATTGTCAGTTCCAAGGGACCGAAGGGTGATAAGATTTATAGCATTATAAACCACTGAATATGAACAAAGATGAACTTTTTAAAGGGGTCAGTTCACCCAAAAATCACAATTTACTCACTATTTACTCTTCCCCAAGTGGTTCTAAACCGTTATGAGTTTCCTTTTTCTGTTGAACACAAAAGATAATATTTTTTTGAAAGCTAAAAACCTGTAATCATTGAATTTAAAGTAGGAAACAAATTCTATGGAGGTCAATTGTGACAGGTTTCCAACATTTTTCAAAATGTCTTCTTTTTTTTCAACAAAAACAACGGCAAAAAGAAATTAATAAAGGTTTGAAACAAAACAAATAAGTGAGTAAATGATGGCAGAATTGTCATTTGTGTGGCTTTAACTAGACCTAAGATAAGATTTGTATAGTAGCATTATAAACCGTTGAATAGGAACAAAGATTAACATTTTAAAGGTGTAGTTCACCCAAAAAATTATATTTATTCACTATTTACTCTCCCTCTAGTGGTCCTTAACCTTAATCAGTTTCTTTCTCCTGTTGAACACAAAAGAGGATATTTTGAAGAAAGCTGAAAACTTCCATAGTATACAAAACGAACCATGGAAGTCAATGTTGACAGGTTTTCAACATTTTTCAAATGATCTTCTTTTTTGTTTAACAGAAAAAATAAAACTCATAAAGGTTTGAAACAACAGAAGAATGAGTAAATAAATAACAGATTTGTCATTTTTGTGTGAACTACCCCTTTATTCCAGCACAGTTTGACCACACGAGGGCAGTCTTCACTCACAATTAATAACAATTTCCCAGCAGAGGACATCTGCTGTATGCTTTTACACAATGCACGTCCACGTTTCTAAATAATACCCCTCAATTCAATATGAAATATCCTCTTATAGACACTTTAATGTTTGTTGTCCTTTAATCTACAATATCCTTGCCGTTTAATACACTGAATGTCGGCGGTAAAAGCCACTTGATTTAGTGCGCTCAGAGAGTTTTACGTGAAAATAAGATATTACCGACAATAAATTCCCCGCGCGTCAGCTATTAGGCCTGACACTGAGAGATATCTGATGTACACTTGCATCTCCTTACAGGGATTCCAAGGCAAAGTGGGATCAAAAGGAGACGTCGTGAGTACACCGTCCGATAAATACACACTTATTTATGGAGTGAAATAGAAACCATACATCACCGTCCACATCATAAAAGATAACAGCTTGAGGTGACATTGATGGATCTCACCTGCTCCTTTCACAGGGTGATCCCGGTGTGGAGGGATTGGCTGGGGAGAAAGGAGAGAAGGTAAATAACGCTGTCGTCTGATGCTTTTATTTAATATATTGGCTGCAGGAGACTTCTGTTCATCTTCAAATCGCATCTTTCTCCGTCTAACAGGGACAGTCTGGGGAGCCTGGGCCTAAGGGACAGGTAAGGACAGCGTGAATAGCACAGATAATGCAAAGTGAAATGCATTATTTAGTTAGCTTTGCATTTTACTTCATAATGTAGGACATGCCAAACTGTTTTAAAGGTAAATTGAATTTTTATTTTTAAATAGTTTATGCCGGACTAGTTTTATGAGCAAATTAAAAAAAGATAAATAAATAATAAAAAACACACACTTTTTGATGTCAACTTTATGAATAAATAAATAAATAAATAAATAAATAAATAAATAAATAAATAAATAAATAAATAAATAAAATACGAATACAAATAATTAATGTTTTTTTTTTCTGGAATCTCCTATATTGATTTTCTTACATTCATTTATGCAGGCCTAGTTTTGCGACCAGATTTAAAAACAAATAGATAAATAAATAAATAAAAAACACACACACACATTTTGATGTGTCAACTTTGTCAGTATGTGCTGTTATCAAAAACACACATATAAATAAATAAATAAATAAATAAATAAATAAATAAATAAATAAATAAATAAATAAAAATACATAAATAAAAAATAAGACAAATAAAATAAAATAAATGTTTTTCTACTGAAATCTCCTACATTTATTTTCTTACATTCATTTATGCCAGTCTAGTTTTAAGAGCATATGCATAAATAAATAAATAAATAAATAAATAAAACTCACATTTTGATGTGTCAACTTTGTCAGTATGTGCAATTACCAAAAACACACATATAAATAAATAAATAAACAAGACATAAATAAAGAAATAAGACAAATAAAATAAAAGTAAATAAACAATATGTTTTTCTTCTGGAATTTCTTAAATTCAATTGAATTTTTAATTCTAGATATAATTTATGAAAAAATAAATGATAATAGACATGTTTAAAAATAATGAGAAGAGCGCATAAACTACAGAAAAAATTACAACATAAAAAGAATATAAAAATAATGACAAATATGAAAAGAAAAGCAAAATTATCGACAGAACAACAACAACAACAACAATAAAAATAATAATAACAATAATAACAACAACAACAACAACAACAACAATAATAATAATAATAATAATAATAATAAAACAATAATCTGGAAAACATCTTCCTTTTCAATACAGTATTATTAAAACGTAACTTAAAACTTAACTTAAAATTTTAGCATTAAACTAATTTTGTGCTGTTAGACTTATGATCTACTCTTGATACACTGTAAAATGTAATAATAAAACCATTATAAATATATCCAAATTAATTTTACTATTTCACTTAGTGCCCCTAATGAATTTCCACATCTTTAAAATGCTTTTGATTTCAGAATCATCATGTAAAAAAATCAAAAGTCAAGAGAACACCCCAGTATATTTCTGTAACCCCCCATTCTCTATCAACAGCAAGGTGTGACAGGTGATCAAGGGTCCAATGGGCCTACTGGAGATCCCGGTAAACCAGGAGACCAGGGTCCCGCAGGCTTACCTGGCCCACGTGGCCTTGGTGGAGAAAGAGGAATTCCAGGGATGCCAGGAATACAAGGACCAGCTGTGAGTGTTCGGCAAAACATTTCTATCATAGCATTCCCAGTCCCATGATCTATTACCCAACAAACAATTCTGTAACAGTAAACGTGTTATGCCTGCGATAATACAAACATAAAAACTGTTGTAGCAGCCAGACAGGTTATAGAAGCATGTAGTGTTCAGCACAATAAGATAACACCTGCCGAAAATAATGAGAACTCTTAGTGTTGAGAAACACACTTTAACTCAAAGGGATAGTTCCCCCAAAAGTTGTTCCAAGTGTTTAGCTTATTATGCTGTTGAACATTTAAGGTTGTGTTTCACCTTTATTTTCAAGAGTTCACACTTAGCTGATGATTGATTATAAAGCTTGCTTGGCATGCTGTCCCGGGAGAGAGCCCTGAGCTCAGGGGCGGACTGGCCATCTGGCAGACCGGGCACTTTCCCGGTGGGCCGACAAACTTTTTGGGCCGGGCTGATCATCGTCTTATGATCTGATCGGCCCATAAAAGGCTTAGCAGCCTATCGTTGTTTTTTTTTTCTGCCTTATTAATTGACGCTGCTGTGATCTCTGTGACTCTCTGTAAGTAGATGCTTTTTTTCCCGGACAGACAGACCGGGCCGGCCCATGTGACACTCTGCAGCCCATTGGCTCTTTTCGGTATTGACATTGGGCTGGCCCAATCACAAGCTCCTATTTTGGACTCCGTGTGAGCGTGCGTCGTGTGTGTTTGTCAAAATAGTCGAGAGTCAGAGAGAAGAAACGCAAGGGAGTCGCAGAGAAATCGCAGGAAATACACCGGCGTTTCATTTAGCGATTCTGAAAAGTTCTCTGTTCATTCTAGTACACGGCTAAAAGCGCAAATCACGCGACCACACACATGCACACTCTCTGCCGAGAGCTGCAGCCAGTAGTTCAGCGGGTGAGCATAAACTCCAGGTTAGAGTATAGTGCATGTCAGACAGATCAGCTGCTGGATGATCTCATCTGAGCTCATAAGATCCTCGAGCCTGGGGCTTTCTCCCGTTTGCAAGGCGAGAAGGGAGTTTGAGCTCAGGTAGGTCTTGAGAACTCTCCTGCTGTAATAGCTAATGAACAGATAGTGATTGCTCTTAAGATATAACTATTTGCTAGCATGTCTATGGTGCCGATATGGATTAGTCAATTAACTTAAGTTGCATGTTTTCGAATGGTGGGAGGAAACCGGGGAACCCGGAGAAAACCCTCGTGAGCACGGGGAGAACGTGTAATCTCTGCACAGAAACGTCGGCTATCTTGGTGAGGACTAGAACCAGTGACATTCTTGCTGTGAGGCAACAGTGCTAACCACTGGGCCACCGTGCCACCCATCTAGGAAAGGAGGAGTAGGGGTTGAAGGGGGGATTCTTCAAAACAAAGATGGCTGTCTTATGGAACTTTGGGTATTTATGGTGGCTAAGGAATCGTCTGATTGGTGAATCATAAACTGAATAAAGCTGGACCGGCTGCAGCTATCATAAGCAGGTGATCCTCTCGAAATTAGTTTATAAATAAACTTCACAAAGTCGCAAAGAAATGGAAGCTAATATTGTGCTTTATTTCCCATTTCCTAAAATGTCCTTAAATGAGAAAAAAAAATGGAAGGGCAGTGGATCATTTAATCCTTTCAAAGGACGTTTGCTAACAAAATGAAGGAAGACTGATGTATGTTCAATGGAAAAGCAAACAAATAATCTTGAACACTATCAATACTTGCTCAAAGATTTATTGAACATAACATTTCAGTCTTCCGACCTTCATTCAACATATTCCACACAAGAAGGAAACCCAAACAGGTTTTGAATGATTGATGAACTGGCATTTTTTTAGGGGGGAGTGCTGTCCCTGTAAATGTGAATTCAAAATGTTTCCCATTTACTTTTCCAGGGTCGTGATGCTTCAGATCAACACATCATTGACGTGGTTCTGAAGATGCTTCAAGGTGAATAACAATCATTGTTCTTTCCGTAAATGGCCGCAATTCAAATTGGAGGCAATCGGTCTGTCAAAAAAGGGCAGCTGAAATCCATCGAGCTAAGTCTACACAGTACTCTTCAGCCATTGAAATATATTAACGTGCAACTCATGACTCCTCAGGGACAGCTTTCCTGCCAAACTCTGCAGACTGTGTAGTCCGCAGCTATTTATCTGCTGCTCAGAATTGACTTCTGCACAGTCCTGTTTTCTGTGGGATTGTCAGTCTCTGCTCTCTGGCCTTCTATTTTGCAAGAGAGAGATGACCTCAACTGGTCGGTGATAACCTTCACTGGCTCCCACTATTTCACAATGTAATCCCTTAGCCTTTTGGACAACAATTGCAAACATACCTTCGGTTCTACAAACCCACACACTCACCTCAAACGAGAGGAAAGATTTCTTTCCTCCTCATAGGGAGGCAGATTAGATGGGGAGATTTTGTCAATGTGACACATTGAGAACTGGTCAATTGATCAATCACCATCTTCAGATCATCATCATATTTAACACTAAATGCAACCAAAAATTGCAAGTTGGATAGTAAGTACTATTTATGGCTTCAAATTCATTTGGGGGCTCTGTACACTAATAAGAATGGTAAAGACCTAAGTTGCCAATATGATTCATGAGTTCAAGGGAATGAGGTTTACTCACACAGCTCCAGTTAGCTGACCTCTGTTACACTTTTCTCCATAAATCTCACTCCTATTCAGGTCACAGCACAAATGGTATCCTTCTAGTTCTACTCACACCATTACAAGTAGGTATGTATGGGCCTTTCCAGCATGGCTGCTAAGTGCACTAAAAACCTAGGTGCACCTTTTGAGGCCAATGGAGTAAGCCCTCTGCTACACCCCTCTCCAAGCCTTCCGGGTCACGGCACCAATGTACATTCCCCTGTTCTGCTCACATCTTTCCAAGCAGCCATTCAGAATTTACAAATTCTTCCCTTTGGCCACACAGAGTCCTAATAATAATAATAATAATAATAATAATAATAATAATAATAATAATAATAATAATAATAATAATAATAATAATTCCTTACATTTATATAGCGCCTTCTGGGCAGTCAAAGCACTACACAAACATAGGGGGAATCTCCTCATCCACCACCAGAGTGTAGCATCCACCTGGCACCACAACGGCAGCTGATTGGTGGAGAGGAGGCAGAGTGATGAAGCCAGTTAAGATATGGGGATGGTTAGGAGGCCATGATGGACAGAGGCAAATTTGGCCAGGATGCCGGGGTTAAACCCCTACTCTTTTTGAAGGACATCCTGGGGTTTTTTACTACAAAAGAGAGTCAGGACCTTGGTTTAACGTCTTATCCGAAAGACGGCGCTCACTGAGGAGTATAGTGTCCCCGTCGCTATACTGGGACATTAGGACCCACACAGACCTCAGGTTAGGCACCCCCTGTTGGCCTCACTAACACCACTTCCGGCAGCAACCTAGCTTTCCCATATGGTCTCCGATCCAGGTACTGACCGGGTGCAGCCCTGCTTAGCTTCACTGAGCAGAATAGTGTCCCTGTCGCTATAAAGGGGCATTAGGACCCACACAGACCTCAGGTTAGGCGGCCCCTCGCTGGCCTCGCTAACGCCACTTCCGGCAGCAACCTAGCTTTCACATGTGGTCTCTGATCTAGGTACTGACCGGGCGCAGACCTGCTTAGCTTCAGTGGGCGACCATGTAAGAGTTGCAGAGAGCTAACTGGCGGCCATACACTGTCCAGAATCTCTACAGAAGTTGCAATCAATCTAATCTTAACAATTTTAAAAGAACTAATTTTCATGTTTCTGTATTCCTCTGACAGAGAGGTTAGCAGCAGTAGCAATGAGTGCTAAGAGAGCCGTGCTGGGTGGAGCAGGTGTAATGGGACCTCCTGGTCCTCCAGGACCACCAGGGCCTCCTGGACCGCAAGGTCCTCATGGCCTGACAGGTGGCCGTGGCATTCCTGGAATCATTGGTGCCCCAGGCCAGATAGGAAACACTGGGCTAAAAGGTAAATAAACCTTTTAAAACTTCAGAGAACCTAATAACTGTGAATTACATCCCAATGTTTGTAATTTTTTTTCAGGGAAGAGGGGTGCTAAGGGAGAAAGGGGAGATCCTGGGCGACCACATCCTGGACAACCAGGACCACCTGGACTGCCAGGTAAGTTCCATGTCTAAAGTCCATTTGTGGGCACTTTAATGTAGTTTCCGCTGATATAGTTGTCTTTAAATAAATGTTAATAATTCCCTATGGCTTTGTGCAATTATCTAATCTAGTGAGATTAAAATGTCCACAACCAGTTGCAGATTGAAGTGTGATTTACACACCTGTAGTTCATATTAGTGTTTCAGAGTCTTAGAATAGCCTATGTTATCCCTTCTAGTTCTACTTGCATTGCTTTAAGTGGAATTTAAATAGCTGTATCAATAATGGGAGGTGGATGCACACTAGGGCTGCACGATTAATTGAAAAAAGATCGTGATCTCAATTCAACCCTACACACGATCCTTATTCAGCAATTCAGCCAATTGTATTTTCAATTTTGGTCAAGAGAGAAGCGTGGTCAACATGGACACCTCCAAATGGCGTTAAAACAGTTGACAGTAAACTGTTTGTTTACTACCAAGAGACATAGCGTGCGCCCACCAATGACGCCTGCTAAGTGAACAGAACCTGCATAGGCTGTGAATAACAGCAAATAAAGCTGTAAATAATGTTCAGTGTGCTGCACAGAGCGATCGGTTGGAGCCATGCGGAAAGTATGATTTGCATGTATGTGTTTTTTCTCACAGTAACGGCGGCCATGAGCCGCACTCGGAAGTGAAAGTGAAACTGGCGCGCACATTGTTTAATTGAACATATCGTATTTTGAAGTTATGATTACTACAAGCATTTAATATGTTTTTTTCTTTCATAGTGGACACAGAGTGTTGTGTATGTAAGTAAATGGTTACTGGGTCAGTATAACTACTCTAGCCTGTTGAATATAATGCAAGAAGGAATCTGATAATGACAAATGTCTCATTTTACCAGTGAAAACAAATGGTCTAATAATGCTGCCATTGACAAGCATATGACTTAAACATAATAATTCAGCTTCAGAATTATGAATTAGTGTATATTCTAATGACGTCACTTTACTGTGAATTACTAACCAGGACAAATTTAAAGTCTGTTCAAGTCCACCATTCCAAGGCTATACAAAATTTAGCCTTGTAACCAACAGTAAAACTACACATATGGCTAATATTATTCGTGTTGTTTTACCATATGTTTGAGAATTAAGAATAATTATAGCCTACTCATATTAACCTTTATTTTACATGTACAGAATCCTGTGAAAATTGTGATCTTTATTTTAAGCAAAAAAAATTGTGATTCTCATTTTAGCCAGAATCGTGCAGCCCTAATGCACACTGTGATGGTAGGAAGACCATGCTATTGAGTAGCTGGTGGCCAGGAGAGCGAGGTTTACTTACTTGCACAGTGTCTAGTAGTTCAGTTACACCTCAAACCCCTAAACCTCCCTTCCATTTTAGCCAATGTAACACCTCTGGTTCTACCCAGGTACCTCTGGCATCTTGCTATTTTTATCCTGTTTTTTTTCTTTGCAAATGCACTCTCTAACAAAATCACCTCCATTATTCCTGCCAAATGAGATCTATTCAAGCAATTAGTTGGAACTACTGTACCTATTTCTATTGTAATGTCATTTTTTGGTAGCACTTTACACATCCTCAAGGTTATTTAGTTCATTTAACACTTCATCCTGCTTACTCACAGGTCCTCCTGGTCTTGATGGTGTGGCACGTGATGGTAGGCCAGGTGAGCGAGGACCTCAGGGGGCAGCAGGTGAGGCAGGCCGTCCCGGAAAGGCTGGTCCTCCTGGTCTTCCTGGATTTTGTGAAGCAGCTGCTTGTTTGGCAGCCTCTGCCTACACTTCTCCCAGACTACAAGAAGCGGGAACAGTGAAGGGCCCGTCCACTTAAATCAAGCCCCTTTACTGGGGCCTAGGAACATCTGAGAGAAAGTCAGAAAGAAATAAAGAGGGACAGAAGGCACACAAAAAGAGTGGCACACATGCCTTTTCTTCATTGGACAAATTGTGAGGGGGGAGGGAACAGCCGTTGACTGACATTTGATTATTAGGAGTGTACATGAATGAATTGACATGTATGGAAAGCAAGTTTTACAGTAAGTTGGCCATGTTAGCTGCTGCTGCTCTGTCCCACCTCACAGTACAGAGAGATGTGAGTATATTGCCAGTGACATCACACCAACGGACCAGAAGAACTGCAAGAATGACAATCAAACAAAGGTGCTGTTTTTGTTAGTGTTTCATTTTCGTTTTAAATGCATCTGATGATGCCAAGGTTTTTACATGCCAGGAAATTTCCCCATGAACCAATAAAAATGTATGCAAAGCTACTTTAATAATCAAAATCGATACCTCATTTGGACATTACTTCTTAGTTTGTACTGTGCCCGTCTCCGCCATGAAGAAGCGCCCTGATCTGTTCTTCTCATTGAGATGCCGACGTTCTTCCAATAACGTTATCCTTGATTCCATGCTGTAAATCTTTGTAAATGTGTGTTAATTTTGTATGGACAGGGTGGTTTTAGAATATAAAGCAGATCTAGGTTAATGAATTTAATCAGCAGTACTCAAACAATGCTCAGATTTCATCTGGTGAATTAGAAACATGTACACCAATTCCAAGTTACTTTGGGTTGTGTTCTTAGAGAAGAACTGATTATCTTCATTAACAAACTATTTATTGTTCTTTTTTGTCTGTAAACTCAAGTTGTTTTGCCAGGTTGTTCAGGTTTACCCCAATCAATAAAAAAGAACGTTTTGTAAAACTCAATGTTCTTCTGCATCCGAGAAGAATGTCTGTTTAAACTTCTCATAAACATGCTTATCTTTTTAACCTACAAGTTTTTTTTTTATTGTAATAAATATATACACTTTGATGTCAAGCAACATGCTTTATATGCACATGGATGCTATCTGTTCACTTTCTTGGCTAAAAAATTGGGGGTGATGGGGAGCTAAATAAGGCAAGATGCATGTTTTTTCTCAATCAGGAATGCAACAGAAGACCATTAATTTTCAGTGATCAGATATTTTGCAGTATTCCTAAGGACCTTTAGCACTTCAAGGACCACTAGTTTGTGTTAAGATTTCATTTACTAGAGCAGGGGTGTCCAAACTCGGTCCTAGGGGGCCAGTGTTCTGCAGATTTTAGCTTTAACTTGCCTCAACACACCTGCAAGGATGTTTCTAGAAAGTCTAGGAAAGCTGCAGTCACACTAGAGTTTGAGCTTCCAAAATTCTGTTGTAAGGCGCTCGAAAAGGGATGGGATTAAACAAGCTTATTAGACATTTAATGAAGCAGGCGATTGGTCCATGTTCAAAAATTCTGTCCAGAGAGGTCATGTTTAGATCTTCGATTGGTCTCACGCAATCATGTGATGCGATTTTCGCAGGTCAGAGTTCATCAAGCTTGAACTTTGCAACGCAGTGAACTGCGAAACTTGTTGCATGAGCTTGCATTTCCAGTCTGACGCATTTGCGTGCGTATGAATAGTAGTCTATGGGGGGAAAAGTTTAAGAGCTTAATTAGCTAGCCCAGGTGTGTTTGATTATGGTTGGAACTAAACTTTGCAGGACCCTCTGCTAAAAAATCCAGCTTAAACCAGCCTAGGCTGGATTTAGCTGGATTTTTCAGCAGGGCATCGGCCCTCCACACTGTTAGACATTTCAAAGGGTTTTTACAGTAACTTACTGGCAACACTGTTGCCAGTAAGTTACTGTATTTTAGATTTACAGTATACAACTGTAAATCCGTTTACAGCATGTTACCGTAGTGTCTGAAAATGGTTAACTACTGTAAAAACCTAAGTTAACAGTTAGCTACTGTAAACCTTTTAATTTTGTCCTAAATATTTTATAATATAAATTTATTAATATTATTTTAATACTATAGACCTAAAAAAGACACAATTACAAAATATTAACAAAATAAACACTCTTTATTTAAAACATTGGAGATGCTTAAAACAAGCTTAAAAATGTGTAAAAACATTACATTTCAATCATTCAAAATATTTTATTTTAAGAAAAAAAAACATTGAAAATGACAAAGCACATTAACATACATGTACAAAACTAATTTAAGTGTCTGACCTGCATATTGTTGAGAAAAAAAAACCCAATTGTACTAAGTACTACTGACATTAAACCAGACACAATTACAAAATATTCCATTCTTTAAAACATTAATAATGCTTAAAGCATTTAAGGAAAATGTGTGAAAATTACATTAAGCAATAAAATCAACACATTAAAAATAAATAAATCACACAAAGCACTAGAACATACATGTACAATAAAAATTTAAACTTCTGAATTGCATATTGTTGGAAAAATAAATATTTGTAACTATTAGCCGACTCAGAAACAACCCAACTTTAAAATATTACTAGTTCTGGTGTCAAATGCTCAACAAGATCTGAATTCACATGTTCAAATGCAATTCATCTTTATTTCTATTGCACTTTTACAATGTAGATCAATGATGTCAAAGCAGCTTAACATAGAAGTTCTTGTAAATTGAAGCTGCTTCAGTCCAGTTTTCAGAATTGAAGCAGTAAATGTCACTGCTGAAAGTCCAAACACTGAAGAGCAAATCCACCGATCCACCAATCGTAGCCAAGTGATCCAGTGGCGACAGTGGCATGGAACAAACTTCACCAACTGACGAAAGTGTAGAATAAAATCCCTTGAGAGATACCAGGCTCAGTTGGGCACGACCAGTTCTCCTCTAGCCAAACTTGTGCAAGGCCGCAGTCTAGGCACCGGAGGCTTGAAAGTTCACCAGCGGGTGGTCAGGCTGGCCCATTGGATCAATGCGGAAACTCATTGATCACGTGTGTCTTTTAGGATTCACTCCTCCATGACCACCACAGCATCTGGTCAGGATTTGGCCCAGTCCAGGATTATGAAGAACTCTGGATAAGGACAAACAGACTAACATAAGCATAGAAGAAGCTTGTTTAAAAAAAAATAAATCATATACTGGTTAATTATTTTGAAGCATGGCAGCTAGGTTGGGGTAGTTTTCAGCTGGTACTGGGCAACTGGCTCCTGCTCATAACCTGCTCACTACCATGTTTAAAAGATAACTAACCAGAATGTCCTGTTTATTTTTTTCCCTAACAAGGTTTTACAAAAACATTGTAGCATTTGTGATGGGTTGATTCACTGCAGGACAGATTAGACTATTTGTTTTATGTATTCCAAATAAACTAAAACTGACTGAATACTGATAAAACTATTGAGAGTGTCTCACCTAATCCAAGTTCTCAGTTAGCTGGTGAAAGAAGGATAACTCACTGTTGTTCATGGTTGTCATTCTCTTCAGTACTTCTCCTGCTATCTTCTGGCTCACTCTGGTTGTTGCTGTGCATTTTGTTTCATCCTCTGGAATTATTTATACAAAAAATTGTATTATTTTATTTATTACAAAATATTTAGGCAACATGAAATGGGGAAAAAGACATTTAATACATAGACAAATGCATGTATCCCAATACTAATTATTGTATTTTGAAATGTCTGACCCATGACAGACCTCAATCTGCTCAAAAATATTATAAACAAAGATGAAAAAAAAAAACCTACTAAATGGTTTAATAAAAAAGGGAAAACGATTTTTTTATTTAGCTAGCAACTAAACATGTGACACATTTTGTATTAAAAGTAACGTTAATATATTGAGAAACAAATAGATGTACAGTACTTACTGTTGTATGAGGTCCAGTTTGCACAGGCAGGCTCCCAGTATTCTATATTGAGACCATAAAAAAGCCAAAAATACAGATAAGAATACCATGCTACAATCCACAACCTCCACACAACTTTTTTTTATTTGTTTACCTTGGTTGCTTACTGGTCTTGCTTATTTTTTAAGCATAAGGCTGTGCTGATCAAGATGTTCCTCTGAAATGCTGTTTGTTTCTTCAGACAAAACCTGCTGCTGTGCCAGCGCCATATCTAAACAGAAAAAAATATAATGGTAACAATTATGTTAAACCAAATGTCAAGAGTTGTGATAAAAAAATAATTAGCAAACAATAAATAGCAAAAAGGTGGTTATTAGCATAATGCATAGAGGTAAAATTGGTTTTATATTAGCAGATTCAGACTTCCCCCTTAATAATTTAATTTCATAAAATTATTATTTGCAAACTCTAAATAGCGAAATCATTTTAGCAGCTAATGACTATCAAAGTACAACATGCTCACGGTCAAATAAACAGTGTTAATGTTGATTTCAAGTCATACTGGCATGCTAATTCTGATCGAATATTCAAAGTAACATGGTAAACAGTATAGAGTCTTCTAAATGAACGAATGTGCGAATATAAAACCAACTTTACCTCTTTTTATGCATATTGTAACGTTATAGATTTACGTTAGCGTTCTTATAGGTTACGACGCGATGTTATTTTCTCAAGCTAACGTTATAAGTTACTCTAAACCAGAGAAAAATAAGTTCACAACATCTAATATATATAGTATAAATCAATATAAGTTAAACGTTGCACGTTAAAATGAGTTTGAGTCCAATTCAGTATAAACTTAGCTCAGTTTAGCTAACAGTTAACATTACCATTTTAAGATCGCTTCAGCCAATGTTGCCGAGCAAACAAATGCTAATAGAGGTGCTCAAATCAATGTCGAGTGTTGTCAGCACAGACAGACGCGCTTTTACCTGGATTATTTGTTGGTCTTTCATTCATATTCTTCTGGGGGAAAACACTCTCTGCCGGACCGTTGTCTCGTGCTAAGTGTCCTCCAAAACTGTCTGCATACCTCTGGTTCCCTCCTAAACCAAAACCCGCTGCAACACCGGTTCCTATGTAAATAAATAAAAAGATATGACGAGAACAATGGCTAATAGTCATAAACAGTCTTATTTAAAGTAATAGTAGTGTTAATGTAATAAATTAAATAAAGGTAACATCTTAATAGATGATATATTTCTCAAATGGGCGAAATAACGCCAAGCCAGAGAAAATAATAATAGCCAACTTTATACTTTACTTTGTTCTATTCTCGTCCACAAAACATTCTGTAAAATGAAACACTGCCTCAGCTTACCAGAGTAAAGTTTGTTAAATCCAGTATGTTCTTCAGGCACACAAAAAATTGTCCTCCAGAATTGCTCCAGGGTCCTCAGGCAAAATGTGGTGCAGAGTAGTCGAATTGCCGCAAGGTGGCGTTGAAGCAGTTGTGGAAAATACAGTATAATACACGAATTTTTACAAATACAGTACATCGCTGTATATGTTGTTCGACGTCACACTAAATTCCCATAATGCAACGGTAAATACAGTTATTTACCGTAAAAGGAATTTGCAGTATTACACTGGGTGAAATACAGTAAATAACTGTGTAATTTACAGAAATGTCTAACAGTGCAGGAGAGAGTTTGGACAACCCTATACTAGAGTTTTAGTATAGTAATGTTAAAGTCATATACTAGACTCAATGGTGACTATAGAGTAAGATAAGCAAAAATAAAAGAGTTTGATCTTCATTTTGACATAGACTTTACATTTTACAGTCTGAGCTGGATTCTGATTGGGCATCGTTTTATTCCATTTGAAAATCTACAGTGTGTGGCGTTCGTCAGGGTTGCCCGTACACAACAAGATTTCTAATTCCTAAATATTCATTAGGATGTTAGATATTTAAGGTTGTTGTTTCCTGGGTTAAAATGATCTGGAGGTGCATTAAAGAGTTATAGTTCACCCTTAAATGAAAATTCTGTTATTAATCTTCATCAACATTCCTATGTCACCTATGTCTACCATGTCAGATTAGGGTGCCCATTTACTACAAGCAGTACAACACTAGCGTTGTGCTACTGACTGTAATGGCAAATATGTTGTACTGCCTGTATAAAATATGCACGAAAGTTACTTTTTTTATGGTTACAGTTTTACCACTAAAGTCAAATGGAATGTTTGCCAATGTTTTTAGTTCCTTTTCTAGACTTGGAATGCCTTAGAACTTTTGCTGTATATGGAGGATGAGAAAGTCTAAAATATATTGATTTGTGTTCCAAAGATGAACAAAAGATTGGAACAACATTAGGGTTATTAGCTGATGATTGATTACAAAGCTTGTTTGGCATGCTGTCCCGGGAGAGAGCCCTGAGCTCATAAGATCCTCGAGCCCGGGGCTCCCTGCTGTTTGCAAGATGAGAGGGGAGTTTGAGCTCAGGTAGATCTCAAGAACTGTCCTGCTGTAGTAGCTAATGAACAGATAGTGATTGCTCTTAAGAGATAACTACTTACTAGGAGCATGTCTATGGTGTTGATTTGGATTAGTCAATTATATTAAGTTGGATGTTTTTAGACCGGGGAACCCAGGAGTAACCCACGTGAGCACTGGGAGAATGTGTAAACTCCGCACAGAGACATTGGCTGGCTTGGTAAGGACTAGAACCTGTGACATTCTTGCTGTGAGGCAACAGTGCTTACCACTGTGCCACCCATCTAGGAAAGGAGGAGGGGTAGGGGTGAAAGGGGGGATTCTCAAAACGAAGATGGTTGTCATATGGAACTTAGGGTATTTATAGTGGCTAAAGAATCGTCTGACTGCTGTATCGTATATTGAATAATGCTGGACCGGCTGCAGCAATCATAAGCATGTGATCCTCTCGAAATTAGTTTATAAATAAACTTCACATCTGTAAACTCCATACCATTAATGCCATTTCAAGTATTTCAGTTCGTTCATCCATTATGAAAGCAAAATTTCATTATTGTTACAAACTGAAGATTTGGAGTTGAGAGACCAGCAAGAGAACAAGCCAGTAGGACTTTGCTTTCAAAACCTTTATTGGTTCTCTTAAGTTTCTTCAAACAGAATTTGCACACAAATGACTTTATTTATAAAAGCGCTGTGGTGAGATGCATGACGATGGGGGGGAGATTCTTTAAAAATTGGAATGTTAAAAGATTGAAAGCCAATCTGAAATCGGCATGCTCGTAACGTTCATGAAAGCTGCATAATTTGACAATTGTAAATGGCTCTGCGTAAAACTTTTCAGCTATCCTCCTAATACAGATTGAGATTCATTCTCTCCATCCTTGCGCACACTCACACACACACATACAGACCGAGGGAGTGACAATGAGAGGATAAAGTGCAAAGTGTAAAAGCATCAGACTGGCTGACGCAGCAGAGGATCAGAGATGCCGTTTGCTTTAAAGATGACTGAATGTTGGGGATCTGCTGTGTTTTAGGATGACTAGCAAAGCATATTTGAGATATTCTAGAAGCACACGATGGTTCAGCTGCAAGTGGTACAGTATATCAAATGTCAATTCAAGTTTAAGAGTCCAGAGTGGTGGAGGAGGAGATGTCGTCACAGAGCTCATCAAGAGATTGGTGTCGATGAAAAAAAAGTCTTACAAAAATAAAATCTCATTCCATCCCAAATTGCAAATCGCATATAAACCTACCTTTACAAAGCAACCGAGCTTACAACATTGTTCCAAAATATAAAACAACAATAGAAAGGGCTGCCATGCCGATGTCAATTTTTTAAGTACAAAAAGCCATTACATATAAATATGAATATGTACAACACAAGCCCTTTGGGGAGTTCATTTTGAATAATTAACATAATTTATTAGGGCAACTGCATCTATGCCTAATGGTAGTCTTAGCCTATTTTATATGCAGCGGCTCACACTGTAAAAGGACAGGAGTAAGATGGATATTTATGCCACATGTCTTTACCAAAGCACTAAAATACTGAAACTAGCAGCTGCCAAAACAATCCCCTCACGAAAAAATATAGTTAAACGAATATTTTGGATTTAATACAAGCACTACCAACAGCATCACTGGCATGAAGTCAATCTCAGTGGAAAATCATTTTCACTCGTACCTAATTTTATACTAAATTAAAAAGAAAAATCCGTATACACTTAGCCCATGGAGTTCCACTATAATTTATGCCAAAATAATTCCTGCTTTAACAAACGGCATGCTGTAGATGATTTTAACTTGCATTTAACTCAAGGATATTGCTTTAATAGATAACAAATGGCCTTGATGTGACATTGAGAAACTAATATCCTGTGGGGGGTTAGTAAGAAATTAAAAATGCTGAATTCTGAATAAATCTGGAAATTAATAACAACTGTCAAAGCCTTATATGTCCAGGAATCTAGAGGTCTTCAATTTACTGCAACAGTAAAAGCACCATCTCTACTGCAAGTGTAGCATTACTCAGAGGTTAAGGCACTCAGGTTTGGAATGTGGCACTTATTGTAGTGGTGTTAATGCCAGACTATATTAAATTCCCCATTGGTGGAGAACCAGTGTTTTGGCTTTGCGGAACGGAAATGCACATCAATCCTTTGGTTCTCCGTGGAGCCTTAGAGCAGGTGCAGGTAGGTAATTGTGTGAATGTTAATATTTGGGTACCATCCTCCAGCTTTTACTTCTCTTAAAATCTCTTTTAGTACATGGGACCTTTGGGAGGTGGACCCTTGGGATTGTATTCCATAGGCATACTCATACAGTCCGATGGATGACAGCGGCCATCCTTGCCCTTCTGTCCTGATGGTCCTGGAGGTCCAGGAATGCCAGGGACTCCCTGTTGACCAGAAGGACCTGGTGGTCCCATCTTTCCATAACCAGGAGGACCAGGGAGACCTGAGAGGGAAATGAGAAAATAATTACAGTAAGTCAACAGAATAAACATTGGAAAAAATGGCTTTGAAAAGGTCAAACCTGGAGCACCAGGAGGACCACTGTCTCCCATTTCTCCAACACCCTTATCTCCTTTCTCTCCCTTCACTCCAGGACCACCTGGGGACACATTTGAGAGCATCCATGTGGAAGACTGGACAAATGGAAATATGGATCGCTGTGGGATACAGGAGCACATTAGTTCCCCTTACCGGGCGGACCCATGGGTCCCTGCCTTCCTTCACGCCCAATCTGCCCAGGACGGCCTGGCATCCCTGCAGGACCTGGAAGGCCTGGATTTCCATCTTTACCCGGGGGTCCCGGTCGTCCGGGGGATGCAACCATCTCCACAGGCATCTGCATTCGTGACATGTAGTAACCCATGCGCTCTGTAAGAACAAATGGACTCTGAAACAGCACTCTCATTCTCTGTGAAAGAAACCATCTAAAAATAGAGTCCCCGGGCATTTCTGAGCATCCAGGTATGTCTGGGGAATAAAAGTCCTCTCACCGTCAAATATCTTTATGACCTGCTGTCTGATGAAGGATCTTAGCTCATCATAGTTCACAACAGCCTACAAAACATAGACACAATTTTAGGTTCAAATACTGATGTACTGCATGCCTACTGTTCAACAAGTTTATAGTCTACTAAATAAATAAAACAGGTTTTAATAAAAATCAGTACAAATATTTATTACCTATTACCTATTTATTCGTATTACTATATGGGACTTTTAATTTTCAGCCAGGCAGCTCAACTGTCTTACCATTACAAAATTGTCATGTTTAAGATCTGATTGATTTTAAAATCTGTGATCTTCACTGCCTGTTAGATATATGATATGAAGTGTGTCTCAGATCAGACAAGAAGCACTAAATTCAATTCCATTTCCCCCTGCCATGTCTTTAAAATATGACAGCTTATTTAACCCCAGTATTTTCAATGGAATTTCGGATCTAGTCTGTTGCTACTGACAGCGTTTGTGGTTACACAGTCTTTTATCCTGTTTTACGCTTTAACAACTAAATGAATGCTAAAGTCTATTTAACTGAATGTATTGTAGTTACAACATCGATGCTGTAAAACAACCTTGTGAAATTAAAAATAGTGACATTAAGCTTTTACCGTTTATCGTTGGCTTTAAAACTCTAGCTGTGCATAGAATCCATTTTACAAATATAAGCCATCAAATCATGAAGCCATTTTTTTATTTAGTTGAAATAATAATATTAATAATAATAATAATAATATTTTTTGACTACAAAAAAATAGAAATTGCAAGAAAACTATTGTAAGTAAAATTACTGTTCTAAAATATATGCTTGTTTTAATTTCTTCATTTAAAATATAACACTATTACATCCTATTATAGGTAAAAACTGCTAATACAACATTAGCAACTTCACTATTTAATAAATATATATTTAAAACTAAGAGGTTATTAAACAATAATACATGTTTATAAGTTTGTGAAGATGGTGAGTAACCCACCCTGAAATACAGAGTTTGGGTGGAACATTAGTGAATGATGTACTGTGCTTCATCCTAAAACATTAAGTGCATGTTTAACTTTTATTTAAATCACAGTTTTTAATTAAATGTTGGTTTATTAATTATTTCCCAAAAACTGTAAACCCCAGTGTGTAGCGTCAAAAAAAAAAAAAAAAAAAAAAAAAAACTCACATCATTCCCTGGTATTCCTGGTAATCCAGGGGCACCAGCTTGTCCGGGTGAACCAGGGCTTCCCCTCTCACCACGGGGCCCGGCTGGCCCTATGATCCCTTCTGGTCCTTTGGAGCCAAAACCTAAGCCTCCTCCTGGTGGTCCGGGACGTCCACGCTCTCCCGGGGGCCCCCTCTGCCCCTCAGCCCCTGCATCACCCTGAACAGCCAAAAACACAGCTATGACTTACCAGACTGCTGGCTGCAGGACAGTGTTGAACAAGTTAAGGTCTTTGTACACTGAAGTCGGAAATTTTCGTATGTGTTTTTCATATTCATATGTGAAAACATTTGTCAAGTAAACAAACCTTGCACACTGAGTGCGATGCGTATTTATTAATCCATTATGAAAAAACCCAAAACATTTCAGAGTCAGTTCAAGCAGTGATACTTTGTTCTCCTCTCTTCTCCAAACTAGTGGATAGTAGTGCATAGAGAGGAAGGAGAGTTCAGCTCATTATCAAAGAGCTGTGTGGATTATCCCCAAATGCTAAATTTATTTCAGTAAATCAGTGGAATTTGGATACATTTCTTGTGATACTTCACACATTCAAATACGTAAACCATGCGAAACAGAGACTGGCAGTACTTATAGACATAATAATAGATGGGGGCCATGTTTATGTGTCGAAGCAACGGACCGAAAGCGGATTATAATGTTTATGGGGAGTATTTCAAATGTATGCTATGGACCAAGCAAATACGTGGTCCCTCGTGAACTAATACGGAAGTAACTGAAACTGCAATTCATCTAAGTTCCGCTAGGCCTGGCTCCATAATAGAGTAGATTTCTATTGAGCCCACGGTTAAAATGGCCAACTTTACAGGAGAAAAAAGGTGTTTACAGCCTGGTACAAAGAACGATTTTGGTGCATACAGCTAATATTACCCTTCATGACAACTGTGAGGGGGTGAATGTTTTTATAACTCATCCGTTTCGTTTATATTAAGTTATATTAAGTCTGCATAAATAAGGGCGTGGCCACTTGAGTGACAGCTAGGGCTCTCTGGTAGCAGTTACTTCACCTCAGCTGATTCCAGCTGATTAGCCGCTGAACTCAGCATATACATCGTATTTTTGTTTTACTTTATGAGGCTTTACACAGTCAGTTGCCTTTTGGAATTATTTCTCACAATTATCAGATGAGATGGCATGCTGTGTGCACTTAATTGTGCTCACAAACCCATTCTAGTGGCCTCCATTTCCCAGGTGAGTGAAATGATATACTTATATACCATCTCTATAAATGTTTTTGTTTTATTTAAGATCATTTATAATTTTCTTTAGAGCTGTAATGCACTCCAGAATCTGACAGATTGATTAGCTGTAGGCTGTAAAACAGTCATATGAAATGTTGTCAAACAGTGTTAGGCCTGGATTTTATAAATAGTCTTGCATTTACTAACACAGACTATATTTAAAGTATTTGAAAGTAATTAGCATTTTCCTCCAGTAGAAAAACATCATAAGAACAATGTTTAGTGGGTCAATGCATTACAACAGTGTTTTTAAAAGTCTAAACACTCTTTTGGTATAGTACACAATCAAGCCCATGTGGTCAGAACACAAACAAGTGGCAGGTAATGAAGTATTAAGTGTTTCTCCCAAAAAAAAGCTAAATGCTAAAAGGTGTCTGTAGCTCCGCTCACGCTCCGCCTCTTTGCCCTAATTTGGTTACCCCCTGTTGGAGCGATGGCAGACGAACAAAATGGCACCAGTTGGCCACGCTCACTTAGAGCTTTATTTGCACTCTTTAGAAAACTATAGGTACGGTCACGGATACTACGTCCATATCTTTTACAGCCTATGGTATGGACACACACAAACACGCACAGCACAAAGCAGCAGGGGAGAGGTGCGCCAGTCACTGAATCCAGCATATAGGGCTTCCACCTCATTCTGCCTTTATATTATGCACTGTGTTTGTCATAAAGTTATCTATAGCTCAAATGACAGCATTCTGTATTCAGCTTTTCACTTATATGGTGGCTCTAAACTGTCAAAACACCTCTCAAAGCGCTTTTTCAGATGCAAAAAGTGGAAAAAAAAAAATCAAACCCAGTTTGTTTTTTCTTTTTGTTTTGTAAAACGGACAAAAGTTTTAAGTGTTAATACGATTTATTTTTTAACGTGCGGAAATTATGGATGAAAATTTCTGATTCAGTGTGGAATAACCTTAACTTCAAAAAAATCTAATTTAAATCTAACTAATTACACCATTAGAACAGTTCCATCTTTCTTGTACTACTTAAACATTTGCATGAAACCTACTTTCTGTATTATTGTAATTCCAGTTTCAGTTGAACTTTTTAACATTTTGTTTCTGTCCCTATGTTCTGGTCAAGCTCTGTTACATTGATTATACAGAAAAATCTATAAAGATTGATGTAAAAATTGTTCTGTGACTTGTTCCTAGCAATGTCACTTCCTCTGGCAGAAAACCCTGGAAGGCATTGAGGCATTTATTCTTCTCTCATTAATTTGTACATAATGTTTTGAATACACCAATAGAAGGTTTATTATTTGTCAACACTTTTATAAATTAATTAATTAATTCTTTTTTTTCAACCGTTTTTCCAGGGCCAAGTGGAGAGGGCAGCAGTCTTAGGAGAGAACCCCAGACTTCCCTCTCCCCAGACACTTCCACCAGGTCCTTCGGGGGGGATCCCGAGGCGTTCCCAGGACAACCGAGAGACATAGTCCCTCCTGCATGTCCTGGGTCTTCTCCGAGGTCTCCTCCCGGTGGGACATGCCTGGAACACCTCCCTAGGTGTCCAGGAGGCATCCGAAAACAGATGCCCGAGCCACCTTAGCTGACTTTTCTTGATGTGGAGGAGCAGCGGCTCTACTCTGAGCTCCTCCCAGGTGACAGAGCTCCTCACCCTATCTAAAAGGGTTTCGCCCTGCCAACTCATTTCAGCCACTTGTATCCGAGATCTTGTCCTTTCAGTCATGACCCAAAGCTCATGACTTTTTTTGTATTATTTCAGTGAAATAATCACTTACTTAAAAAAACAACAACAATAATATAATAAGACTGCCTTAAATTCTGGTTTAGACATGCCATGTATTTGGTTTGAAGGTGAAGTCTTGAACTAAACTCTGTTAGTGATTTATATATTAATAATTAGTGTATAATTTAGGGTTATTCTATTTTATTCAACACTTTTTAACTTCTTGTAGTGTAGTTTAGAAAAGAGTAGTTTTAATATTACATTTCTAAGTAGTTTAGAAAGCAACATTCATTCCCAACACTGATGTTGTACATAAAGAAGTCTATTGTTTACACACTTTAGGGCTTCTGCTAATGGAATCAGGGAATCGAGGGAAAAGCACTGCTCTTTTCTCATTCACTCCTAACCTTCAAAAACCTGACAGTGCTGTCCTGTCACACTGACAGATAGAGGCTTCGTATGGCTTTCTTACTGAACCTAATGGTGTCACTGTTAGCTGAGAGTGGTGTTCAAACAGGTTACTGTGGCAGACAAGAGGAATAAATACAAAAACAAAGTGCGTTCAGATACACTCTTGCGTTTGCAGACGGAGGCACCAGACAACAGCTTTGAAGTAATAATAAAGATGAAAAACTAACAGAACAGGATGTGTAGATGGGTGGGGAAAACACACTCTCCCACCTAAATAAGACGTATCTGAATGCATGCGAAAAGATGACAGCGTCAATGGTGCAAAGACATTGTAACAGAGATGTGAAAACAATGCACCTTACCTTTACTCCCTGTGGACCAGGCTCTCCTGGCAGGCCCGGGGCTCCCTGCGGTTACAAATAATTAGAGGAGTGAAACTGGGACAAGTAGAGAAGAGTTTTGCAGTAAAGATCATTGTCTAGGTGCACAAGAACATTAACATGTTAATTACAAATTTACACTTTGGTCCTAATTTGAATGAAAGCCTTTTGTTTATTGTATTCCATTCATTTTATTTTCCAAATAGTGCATTCATGCCATGTGTTGTTCTACTTTTTTTGTGCTTTTGCTGCTGCATATTTAAAAGTATGATTACATTTGTGTGTTTAATATCAATTGGACACACTTTGGTTCATATATTGTTATGTTGGAATAATTGCAGAGGATGTAGATTAAAGGTAATAATATTGTAAAGTATGTTCAGTTACTTACTCCCAGGGCCGTTTATATCAAAGATTATTTTTAGCCGCACCATATTGATGCTACATAACATCTCATTTTTATGAGAGGGTCATTAACCCAACACTCAACCCCCAACCTGGAGGACCAGGACATACACACATACACTGCGGACAATTTAGCTTATCCAATTCACCTATAGCGCATGTCTTTGGACTTGTAGGGGAAACCAGAGCACCCTGAGGAAACCCCTGCGAACACGTGGAGAACTTGCAAACTCCACACAGAAAGTATGTTACGTATGTTCAGTTACACATTTTGGTTCATAAAACCTTAATGTTTTATCATGAGTTGTAGGTTTTAAATTTTTTTTTTAAATTTTATTTATTTTATAGTTTATTTTTTTATTTTTTGAGTCACAAAGTTCTGGTAACTGTTGACTTGTATTTTATGAATCATTAAAGACCATGATTTCAGCTTACAATTTTCTTTAGTGTTCTAATGAATAAAAACAAACACCGTCATTTTGGGTGGCTTGAGATTAACTAAATTAAAAAAGTAAAAAAATGAGATTAAGTAACAGCAAATTTATATTTCTTGGTGAACTATGCCTTTAAGCCAGTTCCTAAAATTCTAAACAAAATGGCTGGCATTTAACTGTGTAAATCTGAAGTCTGTCAAGTAAACAGCAAAAGTCAACTGTAACTGATCATTAATTCACATCTGTGCATGTCCAGATAAAAATAATCGTGATTTCTATGAGACAGTCAGTTGTAAAAACACTAACACTCAAAAAAAAAGAACATTCTTAGACCAAGGTGGAGGCTTTTTTTGTAAATTGTGTTAAATTTTTGTCTATCAAGACATACTTACATCTTTACCTGCAGATCCGTCACTTCCTGGTTCACCCTACAGACAAAAAATAATAAAGAGAAATGTCAAACAATTATTTCAGTAAAGCTATACATAATATGGTTCATAATTTTATGGTAAAGCAGCAAAGTTTAGGTACTGACCATCAGTCCTGGGTGACCTGGAAGTCCTGGAGGGCCAGGTAATCCACCCTGTCCTCTCTCTCCTGGCTCACCTTTGTCTCCCTTAGTGCCCTGGCAAAGAATAAGGCATTCAACACAAAAACATTTAACACTTAAAAAAAAAAGTTCTGTATTTTGGAAGAAAATTTTGCTTACAGCTCCAGGTGGCCCAACTGGTCCCGGTGGCCCTACGGGTCCGACAGCACCCTAGAAATGAGCAGTTTAAGCATTACACTGTCACATATCAGTGGAATTGTTTAAGTATTTGCAAAGATATATATATCAAACATGACAGTCAAGACATGTTACAAATATTTCCTTTTTTAAATAGATTATGTTACCAATCATTTATAATAGATCCTGCGACACTGAAGTCTGGAGTAGATTGTTAAGAATTTATAAATTCATTTTTTATTTTTATTTTTTTATAAACATTTCATTATAATAATATTTTTGTGTGTACTGTATTTCTGATCAAATAAATGCAAAAAAAAATTATACATGCACACACACACACATATATATATATATATATGCAAAAATATACAATACTGTATATGTACAAGCAAAAAAAAGTGAAAACTGTAAAACTTCATTTTTACCAAATGTCCTGGAGCTCCAGGTGGTCCCTGAGGTCCAGGGGGACCAAGATCACCCTGAAAATTTAAATATTTTAATTATCCAGACATGTAAAATCACAATGCCTAGTATAATGCAAGTGTGCACAAGGGGCGCCATATAACACTATCTTACTTCCTTCTACTACTATCATGATGTATAAGATGATAGTCAAAGCATGCTGGATATTATTAACATAAGTATGTCTTCAATTCCTCTCAAATTAAACATAACAGTAAAATGTACTGGCAAGAAAGAGCTTACTCTATCGCTCCCTTGAGCATTGAGGTTTGTTATTGACTCAGTAACATGACAACACACACTTGGCATGTACAATGGGATCACATGCTTGCAAAGCATTTGCATCTGTGTTTGCTTACTTACACAAAGCGCGTTTCTAACCTAAGGGTCTAGAAACCTATTTTCAAAGCATTTTTTCATTATCTGAAATCTTTAGAGCATTTGTAGAAAAAAATCTATAGCGCATTTAAAGGCGCAGTGCCTAACAGTAGAAGGCTTACCTCAAGACCAGGCCTTCCTGAGGCTCCGGCTGGTCCCTGTGGTCCTCTTTCTCCCTACAGAAAACAATGAACAAGAGAAACAAAACTGATAAATGTTGCAGGAATTAATAATGAAAAATGAAAAGACATAATTATGTAGAGAAACAAATTTGTGCACTATTAAAGGGACAGTTCACTTCAAAAATTCTGTCATCATTTACTCATCTTCAAAACTGTATGTTTCTTTTTTCTGTTGAACACAAAGGAAGCTATTTTTGAAGAAAGCTTTACCCACTGATTTCCATAGTATTTTTTGTTCCTACTATGGATGTCAATAGCTGCTTTTTTCCAACATTCTTCAGAATATCTTGTTTTCTTTTTGGGTGAACTATCCCTTTGAGACTTTATATAATTTAAAACAAAACCAAAGAATGGTGTGAAGTCAGTTAAAATAAAATCTGGCCAAAACAAAGTTTGTTTGGGTTTTATTTCAGAAGTTTCAAACACATTTGAGCACTCATTGGTTAGCAGTGATGATGCATTAAGTAGGTGTGGCTATGTGGCCCCGCCCTATTTCTAAGCGAAATCAAAAAGAATGAACTGGTGTGACGTCAGTTGAAATAAAATCTGGCCAAAACAAAGTTTGTTTGGGTTTTATTTCAGAAGTTCCAAACACATTTAAGCACTCATTGGTTAGCAGTGATGATGCATAAGGTGGGTGTGGCTATGTGGCCCCACCTTCTTTTACATTTATAACTTGTTATGGTAAATAATGCTGAGTTCAGACTGCATGATTTTAGCCCCGATTTTGACTTGCCGACAGGTTTTGAGAAATCGCAGACAAATGACTGACGCGATCTGAAAGAATCGCAGATGAGCCGCTGATGCCTGTGAGATATTTGTCATGCTAAATATCTGGAGCTGTCGGTGATTCAAATCATGCTGTGTTTAATGAGTTTTGACTGAAAACAACATCGGCGATTGCCTACAGCCAATGAGAGAGCACCATCCACTAGTGTTTGTACCTGCAGGCCAGTGGGTCCCAGGAAATTTATTTGGACCCAAGAAATGAAGGAAAAACTAAAGGTAATTTGGCAGGAGCACCCATGTCTGTTTGACAAGTCATCTGAGCAATACCACAACCAGGTAAAAAAAAAAAAAGCTGAGGAGAAATTGCTAATTCTCTTCAAACTCAGGTGAGCAAATATGTACATTTTCTACCCCATTAGCCCCTTTCACACAGTGATACCGGAAAATATCCGGAAAATTTACGGAACGACTTTACCGGTATGTTCAAAAAAGCGCTGTTCACACAGGCGAGGACGTTACGGAAATTTTCCGGAAAAGAGCATTCACACATCCATCCCAAAATACCGGTAAATTCTGACATCATTCACCACAAATGAGCTTTAAACGGCTGCGCTTGTATTTGTAAACATTTGACTAAATTACAAACTCTTTTGATGATCAATATTGTAAACAACTTTCACAGGATCATATTCGCATGTCGAGATGTTCATAATATGTGCGTGTGCTGCCGCTCACAGGCTGTTTCACAGGCACACGCAAAGCTTGAAGGTAAACAAACAACGGCTTATCATAAGCATCTTATCGATGATTATTTGCACAGTTGGCATTAAGGAGAACATATAAACGTTATCTGACTAACTTCTAGCAGCTAAATGCGTCTGGAAAAATATTCAAAGGCTTTTATTCTCACAAACCGCGCGGACGTAAATGGGTCTGACTGTTGTGATTGGCTAAAGCAGAAGTCTTACGTCAGCACGTTCTAGACGTGCACGCGCTTATTCCGGAAATATTCCTTCTGCGTTCACACAGCGCAGCATTCCGGCAAATTGCCGGTAATGTTACAACTTCTCTTTCCGGAAAATAGCCAGAACGAATTTACCGGTATTTTCAAAAAGGACCTGTTCACACATACAACCTTTCCGGAAAATTGCCGGTAATTTTCCGGAAAGGTCTGTTTGTGTGAAAGGGGCTATTAAAGGCCTCGTTATGTAGTTAATAGCAAAAGATATACTACATATTTTTAGTAGTGAGATGTAGTTTGGACAAGGTTGTCAGCGATTCTTCCTATTGTTAAGTCATGCAATGTGAAAGCCACTGTCGCCGATCCATCTTGCAGTGTAAACACAACAGCAACAAAACACCAGCCCACATAGTCATGCAAAGTGAAAACATCTGTGACACGATTACTTTGAAAATCATGCAGTCTGAACTCGGCATTAGGCTAAAAAACGTCCTTTTACTTAAAAGTAAATCTAGTAATATCTGTAGGCTGAGCTCAAAACTGACTTAAGCAATTTGATCGATGTTATCAATGTGAAAATACAACGAATTCCACTTTCCAGCTTATGCAGGGACTACTTCAGGGTATATACAGAAATCAGAGTGTGACATTTAATACCTTTTTAAGACTCTTTCCATACATTTTAAGACCTCGTTGCCACTTTTGGTTTCAGCTAATAACATTTAACTTACAGTAAACTTACTAAATGCTGATTGTAAGAAACTAATCCTAAATTAGAACGTTATTCATGTACTGAATAAAAATCAGCAGGTGGCGGCTCAAACTGCAGGAATAATGACATTTCCTTGGTTACTGCAGAAAACAAAGCAGTGCAAAGTCAAATCTATCAGGATTTTATTGATTACATGAACTACACAGCATCCTCAATATCGCATATTAAATTCAGGCAAAGTTTAGCATACTGATACAAATGAATACCTTGTATATTAGCATTTAGGGGGCCTTAAAGTTCTCTAAACTGACTTGTCAACATTTAATACTTTTTTGTGGACACCATATACTTGTTGCCTCCGCTCATTAGAAAGCCTTAAATCATCAAAAACATTACTCATATCGGGATCAATGGAAAGATTCATGTTAACTTATTTATTTATGCACTATTCACTTCATAAAAAAGATGAATATAATAAAATATATAAACAATAAAAAAGGTTATGAAGCTCAAAGAGAAGGCTCATACTTTCATTCCAGGGAGACCCGTGTGTCCTTTGATGCCCTTGAAACCCTGCAACAAGAAACAGTGATAAAGTAAGTTTCATCCAATCAGAGAAAATTGGGTTTTTAAGAAGGCAAGCTCCTCCTTGGAGAGGCCTAATTAAAGTTGACTTTGTTCTTTGTTCTAGTCTTTGTTTAATCTGTTGATTTTGGTATTCATGTGGCACTGACGAAATCTACAAAGAACTTGGAAAGGCAAAACAACGAAGGAAAATATGGCAGAGGTAATACCGGGATTCCCCTGAGTCCAGGCTGGCCAGCTGGTCCTGGTTCACCCTGTTTGATTGTGAGAATAAAACGCAGAGAGAAACAGAAAGAAATGTTTGATTATTTAAAGATACAGTAATAACAATTTATACAGCTATTATTAAATTCAGTTTAATTAAATTCATCTTTATTTTTTTATTTTTACAATGTAGAATGTGCCAAAGCAGCTTAACATAGAGGAAGAAAATGGAATTAAAAGCCATAAAAATGTTTCAGATTGTGGAACATCACAGCAAATCAGGATTATATATTATATTCATTTGCTTTTCAGTATAGTCCCTTTATTAATCAGGGGTTGCTACAGCGGAATGAACCGCCAACTTATCCAGCATGTGTTTTACACAGCAGATGCCCTTCCAGCTGCAACCCATCACTGGGAAACACTCTTCTTTCTGAGAATTATTAGCCCCCTTTAATATTTTTTCTTTTTTAAATATTTCCCAAATGATGTTTGACAAAGCAAGTACATTTTCACAGTACATCTGAAAATATTTTTATCTTCTGGAGAAAGTCTTATTTGTTTTATTTTGGCTAAAATATAAGAAGTTAAATTATTAGCCCCTTTAAGCATTTTTTTTTCTCGATAGTCTACAGAACAAACCATCTTCATACAATAACTTGCCTAATCACCCTAACCTGCCTAGTTAGCCTAATTAATCTAGTTAAGCCTTTAAATGTCACTTTAAGCTGTATAGAAGTGTCTTAAAAATATTGTTAAATATTATTTACTGTCATCAAGACAAAGATCAAATAGATCAGCTATTAGAAATGAGTTATTAAAACTATTATGTTTAGAAATGTGTTGAAAAAAATCTTAACAGAAAATTGGATAAAAAAAAATAAATAGGGGAGCTAATAATTCTGACTTCAACTGTATATGGGTCCATGTAAAATGTTTTATTTTTTCAAGATCAAATAATATTTGTGATTGAAAAAGGAATTTGAAATTTTAGTTAATGGCTGTTTGCAATACTATGCACCTTTTGTGTCTATGTTATAAAATGTAAATGTACAAATGGTGAATTAACCATATAATATGTTAAAGATGCCAAAAGGATGACATGTCTCATGTAAAGCTCATGTGCGTCTCATTTCAAAAGGAAAATAAATATTTTAAATATCAAATGAAATGAAATGAAATGAAATTGTTCTGCCAAATTCTGAATAAGTATGCCATTTAGAGCATTTTAATTTTAGGGGAAAAATGTTCAGAATAACAAATGTTTACAACTTTTGTTATTGAAAGTCAGGATTATTCCACTAAATATTGATTTCACAACTCTTCTGAACTGAAACCATCTGTACCGTGTGGTTTCAAATTGGATATAAACATTTATAAACATAAAATAGTGTATCTGTTTGTTATTTATCATATTAAATTTATCATGGGTAGTTTACAGAAAACAAAAAAATATTATTATGAAATAATCCAATAAGTTAATCATACATTTATAAGCATACATAATTAATAAAATATTTGTACATATATATTAAATTGCAATAAAGAATACAATACTGTATTTTCAAAATGTTTTACATCATTCCACATGGAGTAAACTACAAAATATGACTAAGACACCAATTTAACTTGTGACTTTCTCTAAGCGAAGCAATTTTCACATTATGCAACTTATAGTCCTTATAACGAGGGCACTTATTTTCCAGAAAAACTATGGGAGACTGTATGAGAGTGTTTTTCTGACCCTTAAACCTGGTTTTCCATCTTTGCCATCAAGTCCTTCCATTCCAGGTGGTCCCTTTAAACAAGGACAGAATGTAAAACAAAACAGGATGACCATATAAAGTTATAAATGCATACAGAGTCATGATAAGCTGAAAGTTTGGATGTGTTGAAAACCTATTAGCACTCACAGGCATGCCTGGGGACCCTGGTGATCCTGGAGGACCTGTGGGCCCCTGTGGGCCTGCAACTCCAGCAACACCCTGGAGGAACAGAAAAATAAGCATGAGTATTCCCTGAAGAAGTATCAATATCTCACATCCAAAGCATACATTTGAGAGTGTCTGTTTGTGAAAGTGACCGCAAGAGATAATGCAGATGAATATAAATGTTGTGTCAGAATCATCCATCATATTAAATCCTTTGAAGTATTAGCACTTAATGTTATGCTTACGGATATTATGCAAAAACCTATGCTATCTCTCGCTTTAATCACCATATACAGACCCCCAGGACCCTATGTCAATTTTCTAAAAGAGTTTTCTGATTTTATTTCTGACTTACTAGTTAAAAAAACTGATAAAATACTAATTTTAGGAGACTTTAACATCCACATAAATGATGCTAATCATACATTATGGCTCGCGTTTATGGATTCACTACAATCACTTGGAATAAAGCAAAACGTTGTTGGTCCAACCCATCGCTTAAAGCTTACACTGGATCTAATTCTGTCTTCTGGAATTGAGGTCATTGATGTAGACATTATACCACAAAGTGATGATATTACAGACTGCTACCTCTTACTATATAAGCTGTGTTTACCGGAAATAAGCAGATCTGCACCGATATACCACCCTGGAAGAACTATCGTTCCGTCCACCAAAGATGAATTCACAAATAACTTACCTGATCTTTCTCTTTTCCGAAATGCACCCGCAAACGCACGTGACCTTGATGTAGTAACCAACAGTATGGATGCCATCTTTACTAGCACACTAAATACTGTGGCACCCATCAAATTAAAAAAGGCTAGAGAGAATAAAGCTACACCATGGTTTAACAGTCATACTCGCGCTCTCAAAACAGCAAACCGTGCCCTGGAACGTAAATGGAAAAAAAATGGAATTGCGTACTAAGACAGTATGTCCAGCTATAGGAGAGCTCTAAAATCTGCCAGGGCTGAACACCTCCGCAAACTGATAGAAAATAATCATAACAATCCTAGCTTTTTATTTAGCACCATTGCTAAATGAACAAATAATCGGTCTTCTTTGGACTAAAATGTCCCACCACAAATTAGTAGTGATGACTTTTTTCGAGTGATAAAATAGAAGGCTTTAGACAGAAAATAGATGATGTTAAACTTTATGCACCGCCTTACACTTCAGTAAACCAATAAAGATCCAATAAAGATCCAGTAAACATTCCACTGAATCAAAATAACCTACAGTGCTTCGAAATCATAGCACAGGAAGAGCTAGATAAAATTATAAATAGCTCTAAACCAATTACGTGTATGTTAGACCCAATTCCAACAAAATTACTGAAAGAATTGCTATCTGCTATAAGAGAAACTCTTCTTAACGTTGTTGATTCTTCTTTATCTTTAGGCCATGTTCCAAATCCTTACAAGCTAGCTGTTATTAAGAAGCCTATTATTATTATTTGTTTTGACCAATTTCGAATTTTAAGGTCACTCACACAGACCAGTGCATGCGTATTAAACAGAAACTCAATTCGCTTTGTACTTATAAATATTGTTTAAGGCAAATTATTTATTTTTCATTGGATCAAGTGATCAAATTTAGATATGAAACCATTACCCTATTTTTTTTTTTTATTGAATGAATGAACATTGTGTGGGAAGTGTTGTTTTGGTTAATTATTAATTAATTGACTTTCTTCAACAAGACAAATATGCTTTATACCAGGTTATATACATTTTTTCTTATAGAGATAGAAGATAGTGTACAGTATAAGGCAAACTATTTATTTTTTATTTTTATTTATTCATTTATTCATTTATTTATTTATTTATTTATTTATTTATTTATTTATTTATTTATTTATTTATTTATTTATTTATATTTTCAATGATAAAATTTAGATGGGCGACGCAGTGGCGCAGTGGGTAGCACGTTTGCCTCACAGCAAGAAGGTCGCTGGGTCGCTGGTTCGATCCTCGGCTCAGTTGGCGTTTCTGTGTGGAGTTTGCATGTTCTCCCTGTGTTCGCGTTGGTTTCCACCGGGTACTCCGGTTTCCCCCACAGTTCAAAAACATGTGGTTCAGGTTAATTGGGTAGGCTAAATTGTCCGTAGTGTGTGTGTGTGTGTGTTTGTGTGTATGTTTCCCAGAGATGGGTTGCGGCTGGAAGGGCATCCGCTGCGTAAAAACTTGCTGGATAAGTTGGCGGTTCATTCCGCTGTGGCGACCCCAGATTAATAAAGGGACTAAGCCGACAAAAAAATAAATAAATTAATGAAAATTTAGATGTGAACTTACCCTAATTTGTTTTAATTGGATGAATGTAAGCTTTTTTCATTTGGATCAATAAAAATATTTTGAATTAACTTTTGAAAAATACTGTAATTTGTTACAGCAAAATTGTTTAGTTTTTTTTTTTTTAAAGTACTTAAAAAACTTTTAACTTTGTCTAAATCACAAATATTTAATGGGATCAAGACAAAAATTACATTCACACAAAGTCGTTTAATTTAGCTTATATATAAGTTGTTACCTTAGATCAAAGTATAATTTTGCTTTAGATCAGCCTAAAAATTTGTTACAGCTAAATTTACAAATTATGCTCAAATGATCGTTTTGACTGAAAATGAAAATGAAAAATGTCTTTAAGTGCTTTCAGTTTGGCAATACATGTCATACAAGATGGTAACAACAAACAATATTTTTCCATGTTGTCACATGACGAACACTGCTGGTTTAATGAATAAAAAAATTACTTTGAGCAAAAACTAATGTAACTAAGTCTACCTAGGGAGTTAGTTTTTTGCTTTAAGGCAGATTAAATAAAACATGTTATAATGAGAAATTATTTTCAGCATTTTCAGAAAGGAGTCACCTATGTGGCATAAATTCATTTATCAAAGCATCTTGTCCAGGTATTACAATACTGTCACTTGCCTTCTCAGCCTGTGGTCCTGGAGGGCCTGGAGGTCCTGCTTTCCCTGGGAAACCTGGAGGACCCTGGAGAAATGAAGGCTGAAGTAAGAGTTCTGCTTTGCACCATTAACATTAATACAAGATTATTTTGTTAGACTTAATTTTGACTTAATAAACAAGATAATAATTTTTAATTGTCTAGAAAATGCTTTTTGATTTAAAAAAATTAAAGACATTTAGACAAAAACTATAAAAAATAAGAGAGTGAAAATAAAGGAACCATTATAGAAAATCCCCTCATATTGTTGTGTTTATCATCATTAACTAAATGCTGGGTTAAATACAAATTTTCCTCTAGTTTATAGGAATGGATTTCAATACAATGACCTGAAAATCAATTTGAATGACATTATTCTAGCAATTATGTCTTGCTGAAAAAAACTAAACCCATTGACTTTCATAGTATTTCTTATTCCTACAATGCATGTCAATGACTGCTGTTTTAACTCTCTTCAAAGTATCTTGTTTTGTGTTCAACAGAATAAAGAAATGTATGAACGTTTAAAACCACTTAAATGTGAATAAATGTGAGAAAATGTCAAATTTTGTGTAAACGATGCCTTTAAGAGAGCCAGATTTATCAATTAAACTCTGTTTGATCTGGCTGGTTAAAATGAAAAAGGTCTCAAATAGTTTGAGATTCACACAAATATTAGAATAATGACTGATTATGCCCGAAATCCCACCTGTTGTCCTGGAAATCCCGGAGATCCTTGAAAGCCCTGTATAAAAAAAGCTACAGTGAAATTTGAGATCACAGATGATCTACCTGGGAATTGATGTTATAAATATTTATTTTCCAGAAAAAAGTTTATGTTTAGAGCTTTTTCTTGTCTTAGGCTTGTACATTTGAAAACACAAGCAGAACCTGCTCTATATTGTAACTTCAAAGCAAAAGATATGTGATATCGAGGGATTTGCAGAGAAATATGCTTTAACAAGATTCATTTTGTAGCTACCACTGTATATGCGTGACATTATATACCTGATCTCCCTTTGCTCCCCCAGGTCCCGATGCTCCAGCTTCCCCTTTAGGACCCTAGTAGTCAAGGAAAAGGAAGTTATTTAAGGCAAAAATCACATACCTGTTAATTTGTATCACTTCATAAATAGTTTTTTTCAGTCCAATATAAAGAAAATATTTTTTTTTTGTTGCAGTTAATCAATTCGGATCTATTTTAATTACCATAAATCTCCACTTTAGCAACACTTACACCAAATTTTACAGTTGCATTAATATATTAAGATTTTGAAGGTTTCTATATAGAGCAATATGTTCATAGATAATGTGCTTGAGTATATCCAAATTTAATAAAACAAACTTTTCACAATGTTTTCTTTATTGACTCTAATTTCTTTATTGCAGGGGTGTCAAAACTCAGTCCTGAAGGGCTGGTGTCCAGCAAAGCTTAGTTCCAACCTCAATCAGACACACCTAGGTTGGGTGATCAAGCTCTTACTAGGCTTTCTAGAAACATCCTTGCAGGTGTGTTGAGGCAAGTTGGACTGAAAATCTGCAGGACACCGGCCCTCCAGGACCGAGTTCGGACACCCCTGCTGTATTGTGTCTAATATGTCAAAACAAGAATTTTAAATGGACTTCATCCAATATTGTGAAAATGTATGTAAATAAGTGCTTATTTTAATAAATAATGCTCAATTTGCACATTTAAACAACATTTTAGAAATATTTGCATAATCGTTCAAATGGGGAAGTATAATAACTACTAGTAGTTGTTTTTTACACCTTTACAGTAGACTGATGTTTTCTAAATTAAAATGACCTGAAGTTACCTTTAAACCAATTCAGTGTGGAAACTTTGTGAGTAAGGTAATATTAGAAAAGAAAATAACAAATATCTGTGTTCTCCTATCAGTTTTTACACTGACTTGTTATATTTGAAATGAAAGTTATATGAGAGCCATTCCAGCTCTTAATATATTGTTACTGTGCATCATTATCAGCTCTGCAAGACGGTGTGTTTTGAAAGAAGTCAATGATAAAGAAGAAGAAAAGCATCACCAATGTCAGAAAGAAATTGATTTAGACCATGTCAATATGGTTATGTCATTCGCACATTAACATTTCCTGCTTGTTATTAAACTATTTCATAACTGTAACAAGAGGCAATTCAATCTTTTTGAATTTTTGGAAGCTATTGAAATTAAAAATGTAAAACAAGAAATTTGTTGGGATGATTGCTTTTGTTTACATCCCTCAAAATGGTCCATACAGTATATACAGTGGAAGTCAGATAAATTAGCCCCCCTGTTTATTTTCCCCCAATTTCTGTTTAACAGAGAGAAGATGTTTTCGACATGTTTCTACACGTAATAGTTTTAATAACTCATTTATAATATTTTATCTTAGCCATGATGACAGTATTTGACTAGATACTTTTCAAGACACTTCTATACAGCTTAAAGTGACCTTTAAAGGCTTAACTAGGTTAATTAGGCTAACTAGGCAGGTTAGGGTAATTAGGCAAGTTATTGTTTAACGATGGTTTGTTCTGTGGACTATCGAGAAAAAAATAGCTTAAAGGGGCTAATATTTTTGTCCTGAAAATGGTTCTTAAACAATTAAAAACTGCTTTTATTCCAACTGAAATAAAAAAATAAGACTTTCTCTAGAAAAAAAAAACAACATTATCTAACATACTATGAAAACTTTCTTGCTCTGTTAAACATCATTTGGGAGTTATTTTAAAAAGAAAAGAAAATCAAAGGGGGATAATAATTCTGACTTCAACTGTATGTGAAATAATAACAGCAGTAAAAAAGATGTTTACTTACTGCCGGACCGACTGGTCCTTGATAACCTGGAGATCCCGGTGGGCCCTGTATCGAAACAAAGTTTCAAATGATGAAGAATTGCATGTAGACAGAAACCTCCCAAAATAAAGGCAAATAAAGTATTTATGTGGTCTGAAAATCTTTGGCTCTTGAGGTCAGTAAGATGAATTGACTGATTGATTAAATAATTTAAAAAAAAAGTGGTGGCACTGTTGCCTCATTGCAACGTCACTGGTTCGAGTCTCAGCTGGGTCAGTTGGAATTTCTGTGTGGAGTTTGCATGTTCTCCCTGTGTTGGTGTGGGTTCCTCCGGGTGCTCTGGTTTCCCCCACAGTCCAAAGACATGTGCTACAGATGAACTGGGTAAACAAAATCGGCTATAGTGTGTATGTGTGTGAATGTGATTGTGTATCTGCTGCGTAAAACATGATGCAATAGTTGTCGGTTCATTTCTGCTGAGGTGACCTCTGATAAATAAGGGACTAAGCCGAAGAGAAATTAATAAATGAATGAATTCTATTAACAAACCATTAAGAAAGACTTTTAGCCTAATAAATAGCAGTTGGACTAAGCTATTGATTACGATTAGAGATGTAGAATAAGATCCCGAGAATAAGAATAATAAACAGCCAATATCTTAATAACAGGCAGGTAATAAACCACTAGATATTAGTAATGGGAATTAGTACATTAACAAAAGTGTTCATCATTCATTTTCTTGTCGGCTTAGTCCCTTTATTGATCTGGGGTCGCCACAGCGGAATGAACCGCCAACTTATCCAGCAAGTTTTTATGCAGTGGATGCCCTCCCATCTCTGGGAAACATTCACACACTCATACACTACGGACAATTTATCCTACCCAATTAACCTGTACCACATGTCTTTGGACTGTTGGGGAAACCGGGGCACCCGGAGAAAACCCACGCGAACACAGGGAGAACATGCAAACTCCACTCAGAAACGCCAACTGAGCCGAGGCTCAGCACTACCTACTGCGCCACTGCTTCGCCCAACAAAAGTGTTAATGATTAATATATATATATTTACTTTTATTTTAGTTACTTCAGCTTTACACTAAATGATGATGAGAAATATGTTGTTCTTGGGAACCAGCTGAAATAAACAATGTTGCGCTATTTTATTTATTTTATTGTAGCATATTTATGATCAAATTAAATAGGCTCTTAGTGAGCAAAATACTTTCTTCAAACTATATACCCACACTATAACAGCATTTTCAAACATTTAAACATATTTGAATCAAAAAATGAATGTCCTAAAAATTATGGATGAACTAAAAAAGGTCCTTAAATAATCTAGAGCATTGTTCAAACATTGTTCTTACTGATTCTCCTTTCAGCCCCACAGTGCCTGGACTGCCTCGCTCTCCTTTAAGTCCCTGAAAACAAAAACAACAACAACAAAAAAGGGAAAAAACAATGCTAACTTTTAGCAATTACTCAACAATATAAAAGCACAATTAGTGAACAATATGGCAACAGGATGTAACTACTCACAGGGAGACCGGGTGGTCCCATAGTTCCAGGATAGCCAGGACTTCCTGGTGGACCCTTTATAAATCAACAAACACAACTCATTTAAACGGTACTGCAAAATTAGCATATTTCACCCATAAGTACAGTTAACTCACCTGTTCGCCCTTCAGTCCTGGATTCCCATCTGTCCCTCTTTGACCTTGCTGACCCTAAATTTCATAAAAAAACAAGTCATTAGTGACAAAGTACTCCCGAAATAAAAATTTAGTTATTGTTCACTGAATATTTGACAAAAGTAGTAAGTGATTATCAGGCGTCTTGTGGATTTGCTATTTGCAATTTTTGACCAATGTTGTGCAATCTGAACGGAATGACATAAATCAGAAACTTGTGGTGGCTTTTGCACTCTAGCGGTGTTGCCATATCGTCTTATTATAAGCGTCTATAAACTTGTTTTGGGGCTTGGCTTGTAAATCAATCCTGTTTATTAGAGTTTTTTTTTAAGTATCTTGATTTATTTCAGTTTTAATGACCTTGTTATGTTTTTCCCCTCACCAAAATCTGAAAACACAGATGAGTTAAAGTTTTTACGTATTATTTCCAGGAGAGACTGTAAAATATGTAATTAACAACAAGTTGTTCAGTCTGGTTCCATACAAACCATTCAGCCCAGTTTATTAGTAACATTATTGTAATTTGCAACAGACCATTATTAAATTAAATTAAATTAAATTTTTATTTATTTTGATGTATTTTTATTTATTTATTTTTATTCAATGTCATTTATTTATTTTGTTTTATTAATTTATTCTAATTTAATTTGAATTATATTTAATTTTGATGTATTTTTTAATTAATTAATTTATTTAATTTATTTATTTTAAAAATTTTTATTAAATTTAATTCAATTTAAATAATTTAATTTAATATTTTATTCAATTTTATTTTTTTAATTTATGTATTTATTTTAATTTTATTTTATTATATAAATTAATTTTATTAATTTATTACATTTTATTAATTTTTCATTTTATTTTAATAAATTTTTTTATTTGATTTATTTATTCATTTTTATAAAATTTTATTTATTTATTTTATTTTATTTCATAAAAGAAGACTTGAAGAATTTTATAAAAAAAGACTTGTGATCTTCATGGTATAGTTAAACTTTTAAAACATTTTTTTTAACTAATTTAACACAATGTTACTCTCCCAAGGCAGTTCCAAAATAAAGGTATTTTGAAGAATATTGGAAACTAGACATTTGAAACTGTACATTTATAAACTGTACATTTGACATTTGTTGGAAAAATGATTTTTATTATTATTATTACTGTTGTTTCTTTTACTTTTCATTAAAAATTTGGATTGCTTAAGGTGATACATTAACCAAACTTCTTCCCTTTGACATGCTTGAATACTAATTAGCATTTTTGCTGAAGAAGTTTCCTGCTGCTGTCTGGAAAGATAGAGCATCAAAATCTGAAAATAACTTTAACTTCTCACTTAGCTTTCCAGTTGAAGCAAATATGTCCTGAAAATGAACGCAGAGTATTTGCAGTTGAGAAGTCTAATGTTTTTAATGTTGTGCAGAATTTGTAGAAAAGAGGAAGTATGTTTGGGTGCAGCCACCAGAGGACAGCAGAATGATTGACAAGTGATGAATTCCACTAAAACTCCACCTGTTAATATCAGCTGTGTATAAATACTTGAATCAGGGAAATGTAGAATTGTTGCGCACCTCCTGAATGTAATGCCTTTATTGCATTGGTGTGACCCAGAGCACTGCTGGTCAAATTATTCATTTGTTTCCAATAAATTACTAATATTTTTCCCATTGAAGAAAACCCTCTCCTGACCTTTGGTTTTATTGAACATGCATGGAGATGTTTCGATATTTAGACGCATTTATAATAAGAAAGAAAAATACCATGGAAGTCAATGGCTACAAATCACTAACATTCTTCAAAGTATCTTCTTTCGTGATCGACAGAAGAAAAAAAAAAACTAAACAAAACAAATAGGTTTAGAACAAGTGCAGGTTGTGTAAATGATGACAGAATTTTTCATTTTTGGGTGAACTATCCCTAAAGGGAAGACAAAACAATTTATACACCTGCCAGCTTGGGATTTATTTGCTGAGTGTAAAGAAAGGGGAATGAATTAATGAATCCTTCTGTACTGTCATCTGTATTCCAGAAACACAGACGGATGACGCAGAGTTCTTGTTTTTATTGTTTACACCTATCACAGCACCAAACATGGCTATTAGCTATCACATGCATAATGAAAAGTTGCAGACCTGAGTTGAATCTCATATTGGAAAATCAATCAGTAAATGGAAAACATTTGCTTAAATACCACATTCAGAGTTTTGCAGTTGGTTCTTTAAGCAATAAACACAGCGATCGGAGCAGCTCATAATGTTCCTAGACAGACTGATCATTTGCTTTTTCTAAATGCATTGACCTTTGTTTAAATTGATTGCGAATAACTGTACGTGAAGTTACAGCCTAAGGGAGGAAAACATTTTAGTTTTTTATTCTCAGGACAAGGACAAAACATTAAGATTATCCCTTAAGAAAAATAAAAGCACATTAAAATAAGTCAAAGTAATTAATAAAAATAATTTCAAAAGTTAAACGAGACCTATTATGCCACTTTTTACAAGATGTAAAGTAAGTCTCTGATGCCGCTAGAGTGTGTATGTGAAGTTTCAGCTCATAATACCACACAAATAATGTGTTATAACTCTTTGAAACGGCCCCTTTTAGGCTTTGATCCTAATTGTGCTATTTTGGTGACTGTCACTTTAAATTCAAATGAGATTGTGCTATTTTCAAAAGAGGCCGAAGCTACAAATGCCTATGTTTCAGCATAGTGGCAGATTCAAAATCAAGACTAACATCCTATGTTAATGAAGAAGAGATCCTCCCTATTGGTTGGGGCTTTCCCTCTCTGATGACATGTACAATGGGAGAAAGTCAATCAAAGTGTTTCTGCAGGCTGATTTTATAAAGTGTGATTATAAAAAATAAAATTAAATACTTTTTTTTTACCAGAAGCTGGTTATATTTACAGACTGCTGCCACACAACTTTTCAAACCCCTTATGAATGTGATTTTTGCATTATGAGCACCCTTTAAAAGCTATCGACAGCAAGTATGAATGTTCAAGATTGACTTCAAGCATGTTAAATAATTATGTGCATCAGGGGCACCTGCACGATTTTGTTTCAAGGTACACACAAATCCAGGACCGCCCAGCCCCCTTCCCTCAATCATGTCAAGAAACACTGATGCTTGCTGGCAAAGGCTACATTATTTAAGGGCATTCGTTGTGACATATGTTGTTTCCTTTTTCATTTTAATATTTTGCTGAAATCTAAATAAAAGCACATCAGCACCAAGGAAAAATCAGAAGCTCAAGGCATAATTTTTAAAATGATGACATATGAAAAAAATTGCAAATATTTGACAAAAGATTGTGACACAACACAGTTAGTAAAGCATTAGGTAAATCCATACTTTCCACTGACCGAGAATCTTCCACCCACAGAGTTGAGTAGCTTGTGGACGGGCTCAAACAAAAATATAATTTGTATATTTTCCTTGGAAAAAATATATTTTTTAAATTAATTTTGTATATTGTTTGTCTCTTTGTTTACATATATTACTTGGTCAGTTATCTTAGATAAAATAGAAGAACGAATTTGAGGCGCTTCAAAACCCGCAATATACTTTTACAATGCTGAACCACGAACTGAATTGTCAAATAAAATAATAATCTAGCCTAAATAAAATTAAAGTGAAACATTCAGATTCGTCATCAAGACCAAGTTGTGAATTACTTCAGAAGAGCAGCGTGATCTGACAATCATTATCTAAAGGATGATAATGTGTAAAACGGTCATGAATGAGGTTGGTGTCGTGATCTTGTTTAAGTGCGCATGCCTGGGCAACCTGAAAATTTTTTGATTTTGCTTGATTTGAACGTTTAGAAATTCAGAGACATGTTGTTTAATTTTAATGGTGATTCCAAACAAGTAATGTAATAATTGGAGAATTGAATGTTTCCCCATTTAGACAGAATGCTTAAGCATACTGCAAGAGAGGCATTTCAAAGATGTCCGCCGAGTGAAATGACTTGTCCTGTTGCCGAATGACTTGTCTCAACCAACTGTTTTTTTTATAATGTTGACTTCATAGCATTAGTATTATGTTGTCTATAAGTGAATATAAACACGCGGTACCTTTATTTGTTTTATGATAAATAAAATAAAAAGCATTCTAAATGACCATTCAGTTAAAAATGTATTCAGGAGTTTACAAAATTGTGAAGTTTCATTAACTAATTTCCAGAGGATCACATTCTATGATTGATTGCGGCTGGTCCTGCATCAACAATCATCGATAAACCAATCAGATAAATCCAAGCCTCCAATAAATAGCTCAATTTGTCTTATCTCCCTTATCTTCATTTTTGAAGAATCCCCCAATCCATGTCATCTCCCCCTTACCTCCTTTACCAGGGGGAGCTCTCGAGACCTGCCTGATCTCAGACCCCCTTTTAAGCTATATGACCAGGTGGAAGCCTTGAGCTCAGGTATCTCAAAGCTCAGGGTTCTCTCCCAGGACAACAGGCCAAACCCGCAATTAATATCAAGCAATAGCTGTGTGAACTCTTGAAACTAAAATAAGCACATACAATATAATTGCTAAGTTTTTTCTTTTCCAAAGATTTCTTCAAATGTAAAAAGCAGATCTAACCCAGAACTTTTAAGGTGTGCCTAATATACTGTAACTCCCGAATAAGGTACAAGACTTGATAAAAGCAAAAACAAACTAAAAATATTATGAAAGTAGTCGGCTCCAAACTCATACCACTGCTTCAGCCAAAGTAGGGAAACTGTCACAGAGCCAGTCCGTTCAGGAACTTAATAATGCCTCACTTTTAGTTGTCTCTGCACATTAAACAAAAACAGGAGAGCGAGTATTTGACTTCACCTCTAAATAACAAGAGGAAAAAATGCCTCTTTTGGCGGCGTCTTTCTGTTGTTCTCTGCAATATTGCTGACTTACACAATCTCCTCAGTGCCTCAGTTATATATCATTCTATTAGCGGATCAATTCCACCAAAAATTTCAATCTGGAAAAACATCCAGCCTACTGTAAATCTTTATTTTCTGCCTTTCTGTGCTAATAGGAAAAATTTAAAAGAGCTGCAAATAACCCACGCTGAGTTTGTTGTTTCAAACAGATTCGATTCCAGCAAATTAAAGAGAGTCAGATAAAGCTCACGAAGCATAAACCTGGATGGCATTAAAACAAAATCCATTCTGGCTCAGGCTCAATTCATCAGTAAGTTTGAATCTCTGCTAAAACATGCCATTCGAGGCGTTGCGAAATAAGCTGTCAGCACCACATATACGCAATGGCTATGGAGAGATAATTGAACACGCACCACGAGCATACAGTTTTATTACTCTGTCATGACATTTATTACAAGATGGCCGGTTTTCTGAGGTAATTAAACATCTTCTGTATGTGTTTGTGTGTTGTGCTTTGACTTACGGACAAGCCTGGAGGCCCTTGAGGACCAGGGAAACCAATATTGCCCTGTGAAACACAGATGAGAAAAGAACAATATAATGGACAATAACAGCAAACAAATGAAAACAAGTCTATAATCCTTCATCATAATCAGTCTCATCATTTATTATGGCTGTGAAACCTTTTTACTTACTTCTGGAGTAAATGTGAAGTGACAAAATAAAACATAACCGTCCATGAGGTTAAATAATGTGTGGATCACAATCCACTTTTATTGAGTTTCATTGTGTATGTTTGCTTGATGCTTTCAAGACAATAACTAGTACAGATATGTCACAGATATTCGAGTTTGTGGTGGTTTTTGTGGAAATGTTTGGGTTTTTTGATGAATAGAACTTTCTAAATTTTACTGATTTATTTGGAATTTAACTGTGGAATGCATTTTTTATCAACAAAATCATTAATTTAATGATCGATCATGAATAAATACATGTATTCATACATCATGAATCATTTATCATACATAATTTACACTCACCGGCCACTTTAATAGGTACACCTGACCAACAGGTTGTTAATGGAAATTTCTAATCAGTAATTTAGAAACTGCTGATCTACTGGGAATTATATGCACAACCATTTCTAGGATTTAAAGAGAATAATCCAAAAAAGAGACAATATTCATACCGAGTGCCACTGCTGTCAGCTAAGAACAGAAAACTGAGGCTGCAATTCGCACAGGCTCACCAAAATTGGACAATAGAAGATTGGAAAAACGTTGCCTCATCTGATAAGACTTGATTTCTGCTGCGACATTCGGATCAGAATTTGGCATCAACATCAGGAAAGCATTGATCCATCCTGCCTTGTATCAACAGTTCAGGCTGGTGGTAAGGTGTAATGAATATTTTTTTGGCACACTTTGGTTCCATTAGTACCAATTTAGCATCATGTCAACGCCACAGCCTGTCCACCTTGTCAGCACCATGTCCATCCCATTATGACGACAGTGTACCCATCTTCTGATGGCTACTTCCAGCAGGGTATTGCACCATGTCATAAAGCACGAATCATCTCAAGACTGGTTTTTTCACCATGACAATGAGTTCACTGTACTCAAATGGCCTCCACAGTCACCAGATTTCAATCCAATAGAGCACCACTGGGATGTGGTGGAACGAGAGATTCGCATCATGGATGTGCTATCATGTCAATATGGTCCAAAATCTCTGAGGAATATTTTCAGTACCTTGTTGAATATTTCCAACCAAACATTAGTAAGGTGTACCTAATAAAGTTGCCGGTAAGTGTATATAAAATACCTAACCATTCTATATATTAAAAAATCTATAATAAAGGCAAAAAGGCCAAAAAAATCTTTAAAATAATATATATATATAATAATATTATTATATAGCCTAATAGTAAATATATATAGACATTGTTTGTCAAATGATGAATGATGTTTGTCAAATGGTGAATTATATACATACTCACCAACCAAATTTAGTTTCACAAGTGGCTAAATATAATTATATCAATATAAATATATTTATTAAACATGTTTTTAAACACTGATTTGAAAATGAAGTTACTTAATATAAAAAGTGCTGCTATATAACTCCAACATATCCAGTGCACACAGGTTTAAAAGCTCTCAAATCCATTCTGAAATTAGGTAAAGACACTGGTAGGTTTGGGATTTTTTCTGAAGGCCTTCTGTAGTTATAGGCCTGTAGGGGGCGCTCTAACCTCACAGCAAAACAAGCTTGAATCTAAAATAAACTAGATCCCTCAAACAAACGCTGCATTGTGAGACACTGCAGGACATTTTACAGTATGAGCTGAGCATTGGTTTGTCTTTTTAAGCTATGAAAAGACGTCTAGGGGTCACTGAGGCTCAGCTTCTAAGAAAAGAGAGCTAAAAAGAGAATCTTGACAGAAATGACCTTTTAGGAGACAATCTGGGGTATATCAGGGGACATAGAAACTTACCGGGTTTCCAGGAGTACCAGGAGGTCCTCTCTCCCCTCTAGGACCCTAAAATGAATACATACAAAATATACAAAAACCGTGGTTTTGGCATGCAATTAGTGTGATTAAGGCAAAGTACAAAGAGTAATAATGAAAATAAATCAGTATTTTTGGGTTGCTCTGTGATCCTTAACACTAGAACCGCCACATGGTAAATGTTTCCCATTGCTGTTTTTCAAATATACATAACAGACCTTCAATAAATCATTCAAGCCTCCCAGTCTTTGACTAACAATGTCTTACTTTCAATTTACTGATGGTATAAAAGTGATAAGATAAAACTAGATAGGCAAAAATAGGCATTTATACCAATAAGAGCCCGAGCGAATCAAATTTAGCTGTTATAAAATGCTCATACTACATCCATCTGTAAATATCATCAAAGTTTTTTTTTAACTGCACTTTATAACATATACCTGTATCCTGCACTTGCTGATATTGCACTGCTGGTTAGACCTAGACTGCATTTCGTTGCCTTGTACTTGTACATGTGTAATGACAATAATATTGAATCTAATCTAAAATATACGCATGTATATATTCTGAGTATGTGTATTTATTGTGTCATTGTTTTTATATATACTTATTTGTGGATAGACCTGGAATTTATGAATTTCCACCCAGCTGTCTGTCTGTCTGTCTATCTGACTGTCCCCGTCCGTCCGTCCGTCCGTCCATCTATCCATCCATCCATCCATCCATCCATCTTGTCCCGCCCGTCCGTCCGTCCATATATCCTAAACTATCCTATCCTATCCTATCCTATCCTATCCTATCCTATCCTATCCTATCCTATCGGTCTGTCTATCCATCTATCCTAGCCTGTCTGTCTGTCTCATCCTGTCCCTTACTGTCCTGTCCCGTCCCGAACCATCCCGTCCGTTCATTCGTCCGTCCACCTATCCGATCCTATCCTATCCTATCCTATCCTATCCTATCCTATCCTATCCTATCCTATCCTATCCGTCTGTCTATCCATCTATCCTAGCCTGTCTGTCTGTCTCATCCTGTCCCTTACTGTCCTGTCCCATCCCGAACCATCCCGTCCGCTCATTCTTCCGTCCATCTATCTTATCCTATCCTATCTTATCCTATCCTATCCGTCTGTCTATCCATCTATCCTATCCTGTCTGTCTGTCTCATCCTGTCCCATCCCATCCCATCCGTTCATTCGTCCGTCCATCTATCCTATCCTATCCTGTCTGTCTATCCATCTATGCATCCATCCATCCTATCCTGTCTGTCTGTCTATCTATCTATCTCATCCCGTGTGTCTGTCCATCTATCCTATCCTATCCGATCCTATTGTATCTTATCCTGTCTGTCTGTCTGTCTGTCTGTCTGTCCATCCATCCATTCTATCTTGTCTGTCTTTCTGTCTATCCATCCATCCATACATCCATCCTATCCTGTCTGTCTGTCTATTCATCCATCCATTCTATCCTGTCTGTCTTTCTGTCTATCCATCCATCCATCCTATCCTGTCTGTCTGTCTATTCATCCATCCATTCTATCCTGTCTGTCTTTCTGTCTATCCATCCATCCATCCTATCCTGTCTGTCTGTCTGTCTATTCATCCATCCATCCTATCCTGTCTGTCTGTCTGTCTATCTATCTATAGCGTTGTTCTCTTATTCAAACAATAAATAATGACTAAACAAGTGATTAATTAATTAGGTGAGGTTGTGTGCTTGAACTTGTCACTGAATTATAGGCCTTCATCATACGCTGTGATCATGCTAAATAGTTCATTATTGTCTATAGGCCATTTTAGTTATTTAAATGACACGGGATATCTTAATATATGATTAATGACATTGCATTATGATATCACACTACCCAAATATGTATTCACTTTCTTCAAAACCACGTTGTTAATACAGACTGTTATCTGTAAAAAGGACAAAATGTAGACATAATGCTTTCATAATCATTACTACAGACACTTCTTTGTTAACAGTAGCAAAATGCAGTTAAATAATGTTTTTTCAGACATTTCTAAACATAATTTGTGGGTGGGTAAAATGTAGGTTCTCAACAAGCCCTGCTGGTTCTAGTGTTAAACGTCTTAAAATACAGCAGTGTGTGATGGTGGATTATAACTGACATTGGTCCATCGAATTACATTTAAAGAAAATGCTCACCCAATTTAAATGATGAGTTATTATCTTACACACATGTACAGTATACATTCAAACAATGAAACTGGTAAATGAAAAGAGATCTCTCACTGGCTCTCCTTTAACTCCTGGTTGTCCTGGGAATCCAGGTGCCCCCGGTGTGCCAACACACGGACCGCTGTTACCCGTCTAAAAACATTGAGAGAGTTACAATCAATAAAAGCTTGAATCATTTGAAAATACATTTAATTTATGATATAGCAACATCAGGACTTAAGGCATAGTCTGTAAACACCCTCCACTCTCCTCTAACTTAAACTCCTCGCAATAACTGCACTGTTTAACATTTGCACATTTAAAATTTGCACATTCACTGCACCACATTGAACTGTTTACTTATTGAACTGTACATAACCACTGCATATGGACATTTGTAACTATGTACACACCCACTATACATATACACTTGTAATCATGCTTATTTATCTGCATACTACTGACTATTAATAGCAACCTGTACATATTATCATATATTGTAACATATACACTTGTAATCATGTTCATCTATCCCTGTACATATATTCATATATTGTAACATATACACTTGTTATCATGTTTATCTATCTGAACACTACTGTTTATTAATAGCAACCTGCACATATATTCATATATTGTAACATATACACTTGTAATCATGTTTATTTATCTGCACACTACTGATTATTAATAGCAACCTGCACATATATTCATATATTGTAAATCTGTTCATAGCTTATCCAACCTGTATATAATGTTCATAGTACATCCATCTGTAAATATCACCATAGTTTTTCTATAACTGCACTTTATAACTTATTCCTGTATCCTGCACTTGCTGCTATTGCACTGCTGGTTAGACCTAAACTGCATTTCGTTGCCTTGTACTTGTACATGTGTAATGACAATAAAGTTGAATCTAATCTAATCTAATCTATAGCATTCAGCATGCAATTACACAACATTTGAAGATTTTACCATTTAATAGGGCTGAGCGATATGACAAAAATCTCATATCACAATATAAGTCACTCATATCCTGATAACAGTACATATCATGATATATTCAAGTAGTGAATATATCATGAAAAGGACTATTACTTTTGACATTTTAAAGTATATGCTTAAATATGTACTTATTCATATACAGTTATTTTTTTCTCACTTTATGTAGAATTTTTGGGCAAAGTTTTGATTTTAATGTAGAAATTTTAAATAAATATTAATGATATATGAAACACTTTAAAGTAATTATTGCAGGTCCAATATGAAGCAATGATAAATAAAATACAAAATGTAAACACTGGACTTTTCGCCATGCTGGTATTTGTCACAATCACCAGCGATCTAATCCTGGTAAACACACAAATCGCATACTACAAATCCGCCATTATATGGACTACAAGATCCAGTCATGCACTGCACACACACACCGGTTCCTGATCTTGGCTGATTGCTGACACACACAGTTAAAGCTGTTCAGAACTGATGACATGTACTTTAAAAGCAGCACAGACACACACACTAGTTGCTGAATCTTGTTATACTGATTGTGAAGTGACGCTGAAAACAGGGGTGCGGATTCAAACGCAGGTATATTGAGAATTAGAACTGACTTTAGAAATAGTTTTAAAACAAATCTTTGCGCTTAACAAACAAATTGAATTATGTAGGCTAATGGATATCTGTTCATACAACACGTTTCCTTATCCACGAGAGTAAAAGTGAAAATAAAGAATGAGGAGGCTCATCTCTCATTCTCGCCTGTAGATGCTCTGTTAAACTGTTTTCTCTCTAGTGAAGCGTTCAGTTTTTCCACTTAAAAAGTCCATCATATAAATAGCAAATGTGCTATGGTGCGACGCAACTGACTCTTAAAGGGAATGGGAGATGAGACTCTGATTGGTTTATTCTAAAAACACACCTATAACTCATTAAAAGAATAAGCTCAACCTTGTTAGACCATGCACCGCAGCGCAAAGTGGATTTTTCCATCCTTAAAGTACAAAACTAGCAAAACTTAATTCTTTTGCGCCCTGCGCTTTGGACTTTGCACCAAGATCGTTAAAATAGCACCCTAAGAATTTACCAGAAGAAAAAAAAATACAGGAAATACTGTGAAAATTTCCTTGCTTTGTTAAACAAACATCCCTTAAGAAATATTTAAAAAAGAATAAAAAATTTCACAGGAGGACTAATAATTGACTTCAACTCTATATCGTCATATTGCACAGCCCTACCAATTGAAAATCTTAAATGTAGCTAGTAGTAAAGAGTGTCTACGACTGTGGCTTAACTGTTCAACATCATGAGCTGCTTGAGAAGCTTCCCTGACACTGATTTATGTAAGCATAAGAAGAATATCGATCGCTCCACAAACTTACAGGTCCGCTTGGTGTTTCCTCTCTCTGCAGCTCAAAACACTGTGAAGGTGATCAAACACATGGCCTTACAAAACTGTGCGCAGTCTGTTGGCTATATACTGCAGCATGAGCAAAACAACTAGGTATTGTACAACTCGAAATCGAAATATAAACCAGTGTGAACAAATCAATGCTAGAAACATGAACCCACACCCTTATCGGTTTAATCCCACATCATCCATCATTCATCCCTCTCACCCGTTCGCATCCTTCCAAGGGCACAACGCCAGGTTTGCCCTGATCTCCCTTCTCGCCCTTTGCACCAACCGTGCCAGGCACACCTGGTAGACCCTTGGAACAATCGCCACAGCCTTCCTACAGTCAGTCATACCCATGACAGAAACACGCATGTGTATGAGCAGGTGAACAATAAAAACACAAAGCCTGCATGCAGATACAAGTGAACAGGAATGAAGCAAAGACAAACTGAAGAGGATGCATGAAAAAAAAAAAAAAAACACAAGATATTTGAAGACCGTCATGCTATCACATGCCAGTTAGAATTGAAGAATACAAATATCCTGAGCTTAAAGAACGTACAAGGATTTACAGTCAAAATACAAGATTAAAAGCTTTTACAGTTGAGATGAACAATTTATATGTCTCATTTAGTTGGTAAAATATACACTCGCCGGCCACTTTATTAGGTACACCTGTCTAACTGCTTGTTAGTGCAAAATTCTAATCAGCCAATCACATGGCAGAAACTCAATGCATTTAGGCATGTAGACATGGTCAAGACGATCTGCTGCAGTTCAAACCGAGCATCAGAATGGGGAAGAAAGGTGATGGCATGGTTGTTGGTGCCAGATGGGCTGGTCTGAGTATTTCAGAAACAGCTTATCTACAGGGATTTTCACGCACAATCATCTCTAGGGTTTACAGAAATAAGTCAGAAACTTAGAAAATATTAAATGAGCGGCAGTTCTGTGGGTGCAAATGCCTTGTTGATTCCAGAGGTCAGTGGAAAATGGCCAGACTGGTTCGAGCTGGTAGACAGGCAAAAGTAACTCAAATAACTACTCGTTACAAACGAGGAATGAACACACAAAACATCGAACCTTGAGGCGAACGGCCTACAGCAGCAGAAGACCACACTGGGTGCCACTCCAGTCAGCTAAGAAGTTAGAACGGGAAACTGAGGCTACAATTCGAACAGGCTCGCCAAAATTGGACAATAGAAGATTGGAAAAACATTGTCTGGTCTGATGAGTCTCGATTTCTGCTGCGAAATTTGAATGGTAAGGTCAGAATTTAGCATCAACAATGAAAGCATGGATCTATCCTGCCTCGAATCAACGGTTCAGGCTGTCCCTACCACAGTGTACCTATCTTCTAACAGCTACTTCTAGCAGGATAACACGCCATGTCATAAAGCGCAAATCATCTCAGACTGGTTTCTTGAACATGACAATGAGTTCACTGTACTCAATTGGTCAGTCACCAGATCTCAATCCAATAGAGCACCTTTGAGATGTGGTGGAATAAGAGATTCAAATTATTGATGTGCAGCTGACAAATTTGCAGTAACTGCGTGATGCTATCATGTCAATATGGACCAAAATCTCTGAGGAATATTCCCAGTACCTTGCTGATTCTATACATACTAAGAAGGATTAAGGCAGTTCTGAAGGCAAAATGGTGTCCAACCCAATACTAAAAGTGGCCAGTGAGTGCATATATATTGTCCTCTCCAGTCAAAAAAAAAAAAAAAAAAGTCACTTTAAGTCAGTATTTGCCAGGGGTATGAATATAGTTGGGCTTTTCTATACTTTATATTAGACAAAAATGTTGTGAGGAAAACAATACTCATTTAAGTGAAAATACAAACAAAATTAAAATTGATATTCACTGCACTGCTGTTGTGCTGTATTTTTGTTCAAATACATCTTCTTTAATGATCATAGCAGATGTCTTTTAAACACCCAAACACTTTACAATAGTACTTTCAGTTAATAAAATAAATATATAGTAAGTAAATAAATATATAAATAAATACATACATACATATATTGCAATAATACCTTTACCACGCATGCATCAGAACCTATGCATTTACATTAAAAGCTAAAAATGAATGAAAGATGCATGGGTTAAAATGAAGCACTTGATTTTATCAACCCAGGCTCATTCTGAAAATATACCGCTTTATACATTTCTGGAGAGCGCTAAATACGTTCCAGGAGCTACATTTTTTGCAGTTTTTGTTTTCACAATTCCACTAGAGGTCGCTGTGTATGCTTTTGAGGTCTCAGATTTATTTCAAGAGTGCCATTCACGCATACTGTTCTCGTGGAATTCCACCAGAGGCGGAATTGAGAGATTGACCTATCCACCCACTTCCCTTAACCCAACCGACAGTTTTAAACAGCGATTCAGAAAATGAAAAGCCTTTGCCTGATATTTACTACGTTTTCAGATTTTACCACATTCTTCCCCTGCTACTTACTTGTTTAATTTATTTTTTTGGCTTCTATTTTTGTCTAGCCTGCTTTATGCAACCGCTTTTCGCCACACTCAAACCCTGTCAACTCTCATTAGCCCCTTTCACATAGTGATACCGGTAAATATCTGAAAAATTTCTGGAACGACTTTACCGGTATATTCAAAAAAGCGCTGTTCACACAGGCGAGGACGTTACGGAAATTTTCCGGAAAAGAGCATTCACACATCCATTCCAAAATACCGGTAAATTCTGACATCATTCACCACAAATGAGCTTTAAACGGCTGCGCTTGTATTTTTAAACATTTGACTAAATTACAAACTCTGTGGATGATCAATATTGTGAACAACTTTCGCAGGATCACTTTCGCATGTCGAGATGTTCATAATATCTGCGTGTGCAGGCGCTCACAGGCTGTTTCACAGGCACACGCAAAGCTTGAAGGTAAACAAACAACGGTTTATCATAAGCATCTAACCGATGATTATTTACACAGTTGGCATTAAGAAGAACATATAAACGTGATCTGACTAACTTCTAGCTGCTAAATGTGTCTGGAAAAATATTCAAAGATTTTTATTCTCACAAACCGAGCGGATGTAAATGCGTCTGACTGTTGTGATTGGCTAAAGCAGACGTCTCACGTCAGCACGTTCTAGACATGCACGCGCTTATTACGGCAATCTTCCTTCTGCATTCACACAGCGCAGCATTCCGGCAAATTGCCGGTAATGTTACAACTTCTCTTTCCGGAAAATAGCTAGAACGAATTTACCGATATTTTCAAAAAGGACCTGTTCACACATACAACCTTTCCGGAAAATTGCCGCCAATTTTCCGGAAAGGTCTGTATGTGTGAAAGGGGCTATTGTCTCAAGTCCGCCAACGTATATGGCAAGCTACTGAGCAAACTGGTAACAGCAGGAAAGCTGTCCATGCAGTTGTAAGCGGTCAGCTGGTAAACGCGAAAAGAGACTGCGTCATACCGCCCCGTAGCGTTCCCTATAAAGACAAAATGCAGCTATATGCATACATACCTCTGGCTACATAATTATCGATCTCCAGAAATATATATATATATATATATATATATATATTTCAATGTTTTCAGAATGAGCCAATGTTGGATTTTATGCAATTTACAGCAGGGTTTCCCTTGCCTCATCTCTTGCCTATCCTGCAGGACCCCTGCACTAAAAATTCCATCTTTCAAATGAAAAATGCATGTAAACTGCAGTATAGATGTTTTACTCTTTAAAAGTATGTGCAGAATTTGGAGTGGAATTTAAACTAATACTAATGTGAACATTTCTATACAGTACACATTAACAAATAATAGCAGTTTTCATTACAACAACACCAGCGAGAGAGGAAGAGAGACAGCTGTCAAACCCCTGCAGTTCATATTGATCAGTTAGTTAGTTACCTTTCCTGGAGAAGCTGAATCCTGAGGAAGGAGATTCTGCAAGACGGAGAACACAGTCAGACATGGCAACTGCATCAAAAACACTTACCTAATACGCAAAGACTGAACGAGCACTTAACATTAGAGTTCCAGAAGAACGTAACTATGGAGAGACGAAAGCAATGCACTACACTATACTAAAAGTAATTTTTTGAAAAGCACTGCTTCGTAATCTATGATCTCATTATGCCATTAATAACAAAACCCAATTTTAATAAGGGAATAGTTTTGCATGAAATTACCGAGAATAATTTAAAACGATAAATTCTTTCAAATTATGCAGCATCCATTAAACAGTCATTTCAAAACAGTGTACTGACTAATTGCATCAATAAACATGTAAATCAAAACACAATTAGTTACGGTTGAAAATATTATGCTACTTAACAAAAAAGGAATTAGTTTCAGAGCACAAAAGACTTTCAGAAGGACGAAAAAAAACACAGAATTTCCAACATTCCTATGTGCAACACCCACAACGTGCTTGAAATTTACAAGTATCCTACATATGTGGAGAATGTAGCGAATCCCAGAATATGTTGAAGAGTTTTAGGGAATTCCACTTCAGCTCCAACCAATTTATTACATGCACTTGGCCTAGTTTTGGTTATAAAGGACTGAAATAAGAGTTAAACCTGTGAGCTTGAGGATGAGAGTGGCCCTCAGATGCTCTTGAAGGTGAAATGAGCATCTCAGCACTGGCTGCTCTGGGCTCTCCACAGCTCAGTGGAATCACTTTTAAATTACTTTAAATTCAAACTACTTTAATTACGAAAACGACTTAAAAATGGAAATTGATATGCGCTTATACTTTTATAAAACATCTGAATTATTGACGTTATTTTACATTATTTATTTTAATCTATTTAGGCAAACTAGTTTAGTTATATCCAAATTAATCGTAAGGGTTGGGTCTCGAAGTTTGGCGAGCGAGAGTTGAAAGAATGATTTTTAATTGTTTGTTTTTTTTTAGATCTGATTGTGCTCTGGAAGAACTCGGTGGTCAGAGTCTGTGATAGAAGTGAAGCAGAGTGAACCGGGACTGAAGTCCAGCCAAATTTCCACTGCAGGCTCGAAGCCTGGAGCTCTGATTCCAGGATGGGCCTCAGGCCAGCTGAAAAAATATGCGTGCAGAGAGACGGGGCCATTAATTTAGAAATCCTGCTTTCAACCAAAGATCTAATGGCTCCTTTTGTACAGCACATCACTCACAGTAATGGCCACCCAAACCGTTACTCAGCACAATGGCAGTGTTTACCATTATACAAAGCCTGGGAGACGGTGAGTTAACACTGAAAGGGTAATGGGGCCGTTGGCGCCCATAAGGGACATGCTGTTACAGAGCCACCTTGCTTACTGGCTCCTTTTTGTAGCTTGTGAATCACCTCGTCTCCCTGCACCTCTTTAAACCCGCTCCCCTTCTAACACAGAAGTCGACCGACCGGGCTGTTTATATACTGTAATAAAGCTGTTGCACTCCACTAGTTGCTCCCCCGTCTGGTTACTCACTGCTTGGCCCGGTGGACCCGCTTTCCCTGGTAAGCCATCGTTGCCAGGGATACCCTGTAAGAAGGAACTGAGGTTGAATTGGTTTAGCCTGCGGCCACAATCTGGACACCTCCTTCTCCAGCGGGGCAGAGGGAAAGTAGCCAAAGCCCTGGACCCTCTCCTGGTTTGTGTTCCAGCTCGCAGTAGACATTTACATTTCGCTTGCCTTTCTCTGTCTATTATTTTTTACATTTCAGTTCTTCTGTGGCTTGGGAAATCAACACAACACCAGGTTAAAGACCACTCAGTGCTCACGGTGAGATCAAATACAAGTCAATTTGCCACATCGAGGGTCTTAAATTCCATCACAATTCTTCTAGCAAATCTGCATGATGTCGAATGAGCATAAAAATACACGTTTTAACAGTGTTGGGCAAGCTATTTAAAAAATTTTGTGTGCTAAGCTATTAGCTACTCTACTTCAAATGTAGCTTAACTTCACTAAAAGCTACCCTCCGGGAAATGTAGCAAGCTAAGCTAAAAGCTATTCGGCAAAAGTAGTTTAGCTGCAGCTGAGCTATTTTTGCTATTTTTGTTTTATTTTTAAATCAAAGCAACTTAAATTCAAGTCAATCAAGTTAGTGATCAATAAAACTGTTAATGAAACATATGAGGCATACTTGTTAAGTTCAGTTACTTACTGCAAATAATACTGAATTAAACATAAACAGCTGTTTTAAAACACAATTAAAATACTAAAATGCTATAGCAAACAGGGGGTGACACTGAGTAGACTAACTGTTATGACAAAACAGATGAAGAAGCCTGCCATCTTGCCAACGACATCTCGTTGCGAGATTTTTTCTGGTTAAATGGAATCTCGATAACTGCAAGTGACACCTATAACTTACTACAAGTTACACCCCTTCATGTTACACCCCTGTCTTGCAGTAACTTGCACCCCTGTCTTTGGAGCAAAAGGTGGATATAACACGACAAAAAGTTTGTTGTCGACCACCGTAAAACTGGACCCTGCTGAAAAATCCAGCTTGAACCAGCCTAGGCTGGTTGGCTGGTTTTAGCTGGTTGACCAGCCTGGTTTTAGAGGAGTTTTGGCCATTTCCAGGCTGGTTTCCAGGCATTTCCAGCATGGTATTAGCTGGTCAGGCTGGAAAATGACCAGCCAAATCCAGCTAAAACCAGCTTGACCAGCCTGGTTTAAGCTGGATATAGCTGGTTTTGGCTGCACTACCAGCTTGGCTATGCTAATCAAGCTGGTTTTACCTGGTCATCTCCCAGCCTCACCAGCTAAGACCAGGCTGGAAATGGTTGGAAACCAGCTTGGAAGTGGCCAAAACCCCTCTAAAACCAGCCTGGTCGACCAGCTAAAACCAGCCAACCAGCCTAGGCTGGTTTAAGCTGGATTTTTCAGCAGGGGAAGAAGAAATAATGGTCATTCTCGCCATCATATGAATTTACTTTCATCTGCCTTACAGCTCTGTGTATGTTAGTGCTGTCACTAATTGATCGGTGATCGGTAAATGTAGCTTGTGTGAATGTTACTGCGCTACTTGAGAAAAAAAGCTTTCTACTTTCTAAATCAAATAGCTTTTCAGTAGCTACGCTACCGCCACGCTACTGAGAAATGTAGTTAAGATAGTAGCGATGCTACTGCCCAACACTGCATATTAAATATAGCTATCTCACAGTGAGCACTGCATGGTTTTTAAAAAGAAAAAGCAGCATGATCCCCAAACACTTATTTACTTAATGTATTAGTTAATATTTTAATGTACATAATACATTTAATTCATATTATTTTATTGCGCAACTATGCATTAATGCTTTAGATTTGCAAACTACATTAATATCTACATTAACTTTTATAAGCAAAGCACATCCCACGGCGCTAACCAAGAAAAGCCCCTTTAAAGCGTGCACATTTAACAGCAAAGTTTAACAGGGCGCTATTTTACAAACTACTTTACAGTTGCATGACATTACATTACATTGCATTACATTAAATTACATTTATGTATTAACCATTATTTGCTAAATTAACATTGGGGTTTATATGCAAACAAATTATTGGTGCCATTTAAATATGCTTTAGCTGAAGCCCGGATTTACCCATGCAGGCCTTCCCAATACAGAAGCCCCACAAAGAGTGCAGGATGGAGGAGGTACAAAGAGAAAAAGCAGACGTACACACACGCACACACTGATTCCATCGGTTTAATACTCACCTGTGGGCCTGGGATTCCAGTAAAGCCCTGGGGGCCTGGAGGACCTGGAGGGCCCGGTGGTCCAGGAGGCCCCTAAGATTAAGAAAGCACATTTGAATGAGTGGGAGTTAAAAGGCAGTTATCTATTAATAATTAAAATGACCTCTCTGGATTAGTCAAATCTTTAAATTATGGATATTTAGACACCCCTGTTTATTTTTTCCCCAATTTCTGTTAAATAGAGACAAGATTTTTTCCAACACATTTCTAAACATATTCAAGAGTTCACACTTAGCTGATGATTGATTATAAGCAAGTTTGGCATGCTGTCCCGGGAGAGAGCCCTGAGCTCAAAGGTTCTTGAGCCCTGGGCTCCCTCCCGTTTGGAGGAAGAGAGGGGAGCCTTGAGCTCAGGTAGATCTCGACAACTCCCCCTTGATAAGAACTGATGACTAAAAATTGAATGCTATTAAAAGATGTGCTGCATTATGAGATTACCTGTATTGCAAAATTTAGATTTATCAATTTACTTGTTGTGCATGTTTTTGGAATGTGGGAGGAAACCGGAGGACCCGGGGAAAACCCACGCAAGCACGGGAAGAACATGCAAACTACACACAGAAACGACCACCAGCCAGTTAAAGGACTAGAACCGGTGAAGTTCTTGCTGTGAGGCGACAGTGCTAGTCACTGGGAGACCGTGCTGCCCTATGGAGGGAAAGATGAAAAGGTAGGGGTGGAAGGGGGGGATTGTTCAAATCAAAGATGACTGTAGTGAAAAAACCCTGGCTCTTTATAGTGGGTTAGGAATGGCCTGATTGGTGGATCATGCATGCTAGAACCAGCAGTGTTCAATCATAATCACGTGCTCCTCTCGAAATTAGTTTATGAATAAACTTCACATAGTTTTAAAAACTCATTTCTAATAACTGATTTATTTTATCTTTGTCATAATGACAGTAAATAATATTTGACTAGACATTAAATATAGCAAAAAGTGAATCTCAATTAGACCCTGTTAACTGTATGTAATGCAAAACAAAAAAAACTGTACTGATTCTAACTGTTTCTGTTCCCCATTGATTCCCATACAATATTTTGGTAACACTTTATTTTGATGGTCCATTTGAGTATATACACTAACAGTCTACTTATAATCTAATGAGAATTAGTTGGCATGTAGATGCAATGTAACTTCATCAAAATAAAATGTGACCAATATTTTGTTATTCCATAGCAACTGCTTGATTACCCACTTTCTTTCAAATATTTTATTTCACAGCTTTGAAACCTTGAGGGTCACTAAATAATGACATAATGTTCATTTTGGGTGAATCATATCTTTTAGATACTGATAATTTTCTGGTTTATTATTTTCCAACTTGTATATAATTTTTGGGAGGAAAAATGTAAAGAAAATCAGACCTGAGGACCTGGCTGTACCCTGTTTTCACCACCTGGGACTCCCTTTAAAAAAATGCAATTAAAATCAGTTCTGTAAATGACGTTAGTTGTGTATATATAGTATGTATAATGTCCTAATGTCCTCACGATTAACAGCAATAAAATAAACATTGGCTTACAGGTCCGCCAGTTCCAGGAAACATATTATGCAAACAGTTGCACTCTCCTGGTTCACCCTATGACACACACAAAAAATCATTAAATCATAATTTGTACATTTTTTAGCACCATGACACAACTAGACCAAGGTGATGATATGTGGGTGGATTCTGAAAGGTTGTTAGAATGTTGCTGTATGGTTTACAGATTATTTAGGGTGGCTATAGCATTGTGAGATGTTTGTTTATAGAAGACAATACGAAAGTCAAAAATTTGAATAAATTACATTGATTATAAAATGTTTCTATATGTTATACAATTTATGCGATCATTTAAAAACATAACAATAATGACGCTGTTCATTTATTTTAATTCTTATTTTAGTTAAATGTATGTCTATAATGTGTAATTAAAAAAAAGTTTCGGTCCCACTTTATATTAAGTGTCCGTAACTACTATGTACTTACATCAAAAAAATAAATAAAATGTACTTACTGTGTTTATAATGTATTTGAGAACACCTGTGGTGCTTTTGGGTTGGGATAGAGGTTGGGTTATGGACAGGTTTGCTGGTATGGGTAGGTTTAAGGGTAGGTTAAGGTGTAAGGGATGGTCAACAGTGTATTTACAAATGTAATTACAAAAGTTAATTACAGATGTAATTACATACATGTATTTAATCAAGCATATGTACACAGTAAATACATGTATTTGCATAATAAGTACATTGTAACAAACTATTTATTCCTATGTAAGTACATATTAGTTAGGGCCACTTAATATAAAGTGGGACCAAAGTTTCTTTATTTACATTATTAAGAGTGACATTTCCATTATTGCAACTCTCACATGGTCACCCACTTAAGCTAAGCAGGGCTACGACTGGTCAGTACCTGGATTAGGGATCACATGGGAAGGTTGCTGTCGGAAGTGATGTTAGTGAGACCAGCAGGGGGCGCTCAACCTGCGGTCTGTGTGGGTCCTAACACCCCAGTATATTGATGGGGACTCTATACTGATCAGTGAACACCATCTTTCGGATGAGATGTTAAACCAAGGTCCTGACTCTGTGGTCATAAAAAATCCCAGGATGTCCTTCAAAAAAGAATAGGGGTTTAACCCCGGTATACTGGCCAAGTTTGTCCACTGGCCTCTGTCCATCAATGCCTCCTAACCATCCCCATATCATAATTGGCTTCATCACTCTGTCTCCTTTCCACCAATCAGCTGATGTGTAGGGTGCAGTGTGCCTCAATATGGCTGCCATCATGTCATCCAGGTGGATGCTACACACAGGTGGTGGATAAGAGGATTCACCCCAAAAATGTGTAAAGCGCTTTTGAGTGTCCAGAAAAGCGCTATATAAATGTGAGGAATTATTATTTTTGTTATTATTATTATTATTATTATTATTATTGCAGCACTAATATGCAAGCTCCTCTCCCACGCATACAAGCTCAAAAAAGACTTGCTTGCTGCTTGTTCAAACTACTTACGTAAAATGAGTTAAAACAACAGAATTAGCTTAATTTTTGTTGGGACAACATGAATGAATTGTGTGGAACCCAGCATTTTTTACAGTGTGAAAGCTCACGTTTCAAAATGTCACAACATGACAAACTGTCGAAATCACAAAAGGTTCTGCTGTAAAATTGTATCCTGGCACTCAACAGGAATGACAGAGCACTTCATCACACTTAGGAGGAATGTGCATCATTTGATATCAGCTGCCACTTTCCTCTGTGTTTAGACAAATTAGTCTGGGAGACAACAGAGGACATTAAAGAATGAAGCATTTCCAGAGCTCTGCTTTCGAGGTCTCTCTCTGTCTCATCGAACTCACGCTCGCTTCCTCTCCCTTTGATTCTCTGTGATGTTGTCAGATTTAAGATCACAGCTGTTATATTCACCAATTATAGCCCTGGTTTAGCTCAGGGCATTTTTTTTTACTTCTTCTGTGCTGTCAAACTCTTCTGTCAGACATGTGCGTCTGTTTGTGTCTCTAGGGTGGACACATCATGGTGCGTACAGACGGTCGCTTTTACCAATACTCCTCCCATCCATTGTTTCCTGCACACACACTCACACAGCTTTGGGGGACCTCAAAATTCCCTCTTCAGCTCACTGATCCAGACACTTACCTTGTCACCCTTGGGCCCCTTGACTCCCTGTAAGACAGACAAGGAGAAACACAAATGCTCAGTTATGACAATAACCAGATTTGCATCCTAATGTCAAGAGAATCTTTAAAAGTTTGCAAAAAAATGCTAAAATGCAAATTAGGTACATTTTCATGAAGTTTTTTGAACAGCTGAAGATAAGATTAGTTAAACAATAAATATATATACAGTTTAAATCAGAACTATTAAATCCCCTTTTAATTTGTTTTTCTTTATTAATGTTTGCCAAATGATGTTTAACAGAGCAAGGAAATCTTTACTGTATGTCTGATAATATTTTTTCTTCTGGAGAAAGTCTTATTTATTTTATTTCGGCTAGAATAAAAGCAGTTTTACATTTTTTAAAAAACATTTTAAGGTCAATATTATTAGCCTCTTTAAGCTATATTTTTTCTCGATTATCTACAAAACAAATCTTCGTTATACAATAACTTGCCTTGTTACCCTAACCTGCTTTTACCTAATTAACCTAGTTAAGCCTTTAAATGTCACTTTAAGCTGTATAGAAGTGTCTTGAAAAATATCTAGTCAAATATTATTTACTGTCATCATGGCAAAGATAAAATAAATCCATTATTAGAAATGAGTTATTAAAACTATAATGTTTAGAAATGTGTTGAAAAAACTTTTCTCTGTTAAACAGAAATTGGGGAAAAAATAAACAAGGGGGGCTAATAATTCAGGGGGTTTAATAATTCTAAGTTCAGCTGCACCTGTTTTGGCCTAAAATTGACAGAAAATCATTTTAATATCTAAATAAATTATATTCTAAATTTAAAGTCGATATCGCCAAAAATTAGCTTCCAGTAAGATTTGATCGCAGTACTAAACATGACCACCAGTTGATATTCAGTTTCTATTAGTGGCCATACAAGGCCTCCCCTATGTTTTGAAGAATACGAACTGTATTTTTTCATAGTTTTGACAATATTTAAAAAGTAGACATACAATTCTAAAATGGTATAGGAAGTTCGGTGGTATTTGTGGAGTTTGGAGGTACCCCTCGCCATAACGTGGTCCACCTTTCGAGGTCTTGCAGTTTTGTGGATTTTTTTGTGTGCAATTTGACATGTTTTTTTTTTTTATTTATTTTACAGCGCATCGTGTTCGGTATCCTGACTGGCTGTAGACAATTGTCAATCAATCACCTCCATGCCATGTCTCCTGTACAGTACAAAATGCCAAATTGACAAATCTTTGATCCCAAGCAAGTGTGACTCTGAAGTGCTGTAAAGTATTTTTGCAAGTTTTCTCCCCAAAAAACCCCATAATGTCTAAGAAACATTCTGCACATTTAAAGGCTTGTTGGTTTTCTGTACATGGTAAAGGAAGGTAAAAGTTACGCGAGTGTTTAAAAAAGAGAGAAAAGTATGGAAATGCAGAAAAATCGGAGAAAATAGTGTAGTGAGGAGTTTTACAATCCTCAAACATCTATAATACATGCAAAAATAAAGCGGACTACTTTACAGATTTCACCTATTGCAGGTTATTTTTAGAACGCACTTTAACTCTTGCGAGTAATAAGGGACCACTCTGTAGTGATTTCTATCACTAGTTCCTGATACTTTAAAATGCATTAAAACAGGATGGTATTCCATCAGTGGTTAAATATGGTAATTTAATATTCACTGGAATCAAATTTAATTGGCAGATGCATTTCCATCCAGCATTATTCACATTAACTGTAATAATTGTGGTTTAATGTTCGTTATAAAACCTTCTAAATTAAAATAACATTTAGAAACCAGACAACGTGTTTGATTAACAGTTCAGTTTAGTTCATGGTAACTGAACATTTCCTTACCCTAACCACCGTTTACAGTATTTGTCGTTTTTACTTTCTAATATTTCTTTAATTTGATCCATTTTTAAAAAATGACAGCAATAAAATATTGTTTATTTGTAAGTCTCTGTGAATGTCTTATGATGTATCTGTCACTACTTGTGTATGTTAACAAATAAATACAAATTAATAATAATTCCTAAAATTGTATTATAGTTCCTAAAAATTTGGGTCGCGGCTTGATGACCATGTAAAAATGTGGGTCCCATGGCCAAACCAGTTGAGAACCCCTGCTGTAGACAATCGAAAGAAAATATTACTTAAGGGGACTACTAATGTTGACCCTAAAATGGTTTTATTCTAGCTGAAATAAAACACATAAGACTTTCTCCAGATGAAAAAATGTTATAGGAAATACTGTAAAAAAAACATTTGGAAAATATTTGAAAAAATTTCACAGGAGGGAGAGTTATTTTGGATATTGTAATAAAGAAACCTCAAAGACCCCTTAGTGGAAACAGCTGACTGGACATGTTGGTTTAATGTTGTCTACATCAGAATTTATTTGTTAATTGTGTTCCCATCCATTATCATTATTGATCAGCAAAAACCACCTTAAGCAAGCATAAACACTTTTTTGAGTTAAAAGCTTATTTATTTGTAATTTTATTTAGTGTTTCCATTATTTGTTCTTGAATGGATACCTTAAAACACTCATTAAACCAAATGTGATGGAAATATAGCTACTGCAGGACTCTCCTGGGTCCGTCAGATGAGGATCAGTGACAGGTGATGTGATTTAGGCTGACAATTTGTTGCTGTTAGGGTTTGGATTTGACCTGAGTCTGTTTCTGGCATCGCTCTTCAAGCTCTCAGCGACAAAGCCCCAGGTAATTAACATCTGATGTGAGAATAGTCAACACTAACTTTGCTTTTTTAATGAGACAAGCTCTGGCAAGACTGCCTTTATCTCCTCGAGTTTGTTTGATGCTGTCTCTTGATGCCAGAGCAATGAATAGAGGACAATATGCCCGTGTGAGTTTGGTAATGACAGCGTGTGTCAAAATAAGCTGCTGGAGAAGTCTAAATAAATAACTTACGGGAGCCCCATCTTGTCCTGGTATTCCAGGGAATCCGGCTGTACCATCCCGACCCTGTAACACAGAATATATAAATCATTTATTAGAACAAGAAAAAAGTTAGACTGTGTGTTCTGTAAAAATTCTGACTGCCTTACATTTAAGTTGAAATTAAATAAACTTTTTTAGTTATCTTAACTAATATATACACTGACTAAAACATTAAGTTAAACTTTGTACAACAAAAAACTAAATTAGCTGAAACCTGATAACCTTAATAAAATAAGTTAAAGTAACATACTGTACAAACATTTGCTGTCATGACATTTTTTGTCATTTAATTTTACAGTGTCTTAGATACATACTATACAAAAATAACACAAAATTGAGTTTTTTTTTTAAGTGGATAACACTTTGGAAATGCTTTTAATGCCACAAAACATATTTATGAAGTTATATTAAAATCTTATTTAACATATTTTTTTGAGAAAGAGTTTTGTTGTTAAAGATGGTAAATAAATGTACATTATAACATTACATTACATTGATACATTATTTTTAAAGTTCATGTAAGAAAATCTAATTCACTTTGTTAGTAACATTGATAGTTTGATTGAATTCCATTGAATTCTTTCATTGATTTCATCAACTTAATAATTTTTGGTCATATGCTAATTTAATAATACATAAATACAATTTATCACCAACAAATAAATAAATAAATAAATAAATAAAAGAGAACACAAAATAATTGCTTCCCTGGCTTTGTGTGTGTAAATATATGTTTTTGTCCATCTTTTATCTCAGATTCTTACCGGTGGTCCGACTGGTCCTGTTACCATTGGCCCCTGTGGCCCCGGTGGTCCTATCTCTCCCTTTGGACCCTATAAATATAAAGCAATAAAACAGAACAGCAATTAGGTCAGATCCAATGTCTGTTATTGATCACTACGTTATTGTGTTGGTGATCTACCCTTAGTCCTGATGGTCCCATTGGCCCTATGAGTCCTGAACGTCCTTCTGGACCCTGAAGAATGCACATTTTGAATTTATATTTGTGATGCATACTCTGCTGGTCAAAAGACTAAAGAGTTAGTAAGACGCTTTTCAGCAATTATGCATTACATCTACCAAAAGATTTTATACATTTTAAAACTTTCTACGAACTATCTATTTATCAAACAACAATTTCTTGAGTATTATACCACCATATCACAATTCCTTTTGAAGCATCTGACAAAAATAAATTGGCTTTGTCAACATTATATATATATATATATATATATATATATATATATATATATATATATATATATATATATATATATATATATATATAACTTTCCTTTTAAAATATATTAAAGGGCCCCTATTAGGAGTTTTTGAAAATGACCTTCCATGAATTGAGTCACACAGCTCTAAGTGAAGTGAAATATCCAGCTAAGGCTTAAATCTGAAAGTTCACAGAGTTTAAAACTATTGATTCATTTATAAAAGAGTCGACTCAAAGTGCTTCAAATGAATCATCTTTAGCCGTTTCGGGGTGATGTTGATACAGAACCAAAGCCCCACCCAATTTTTGCACGCACAAACTCGGGAAATTGAAACCTGCAGCCCCGCCCACAAACATTTCAGCAGATCCTGTTTGAATCAAGTCATGAAGACTTGTGCTGTGCTCAGTTGGATATTATTTGAAGTGTGAGGGGAAAGTAAGTGTTATTTTCTCTACCCAAAGATAAAACTTTGAAGAGTCAGTGGTTGAGGTTTATTTTTGCAAAAATACCTCAGCATTATAGCCCAGCCTTGTGCTGTGTCATTGAAATTACGTGAGTTTTCTGGGATAAATAAATAAACGGGAGGGTGGCGGGAGATGGGTCTGAAATATGGGAGACTCCCTGGAAAACAGGAGTGTTGGCAGGTATGCTCACACATACACTCTGCACTCTGACTACTTCGATATTGTTGATAAGCCGCCCTGGGCATTTCTCTCTGTCTCGCGCTGAACGCTGTCAACAAATCGCAACAGGCTGTCATCGGTCCAACCAGCGCAGATTAGCATTGCGCTAAGGAGGGGTTTGGGAACAAATGAATCACTGAACGAATCATATGGGAGTTGCTGGGATAATTAGGTAAAAATAAATGCATATTATAAGACAATGAAAGTGTTTTTGACCTTGCATGCATATCAGCCTGTTGTTAAAGACCCTTCAAACCAAAATATGACCCTTTTTAATGTCTAATAGGGGCTCTTTAAATAAATACACAACCTTGGTGAGTTTTAGAGAACTCCTCTTTTTGTATTGGCCTTAATTTTTATGCATCACATAAATGTAGACACGTAATAACAAAGACAATTCAAAGAGTCAAACCCATGTGCAAACATTCAAGACCAAACAACTTTTCATGCACTTACAGCAGCTCCAGGAAAGCCTCTAGGTCCCTGCTCGCCCTGAATGAAAACATCAAAACATTACAAACAGCATGAACATCTTCAAACAGCAGACCTTCACACATCAAGAGTTTTTCGGACTGATTTCAGTAGCTTTTTCAACTCACCTGTGGTCCTGGAAGGCCAATACCTGCAGGCCCAGAATCCCCCTAATGAAATAAAAAAAACACCATCACTCTATAGTCACTCTTATAACTTCAGCACACAAATGTGTCTGTAATGTGAAGGACATTGTAAATTGAAGTACTGATCCAAATGCAGGATTTATTATGGAGAATGGTCAGGCAGGCAATGGTCAACAGGGTCAAACAGGTACATGCAGGCAAATCCAATAGAGTAGTCAAATAACAGTCGGTACAGCAGGAATGAATCAAAATGATAAAAAAAGGCAATGGTCAAAACACAGCTAGGCTAAACAAGGAAAAATGCGCTGTAATGCTTACAGATACCGTTAAACAAGACTCTCAGCTGGATGTGAGTGTGCGTGCTGTATTTGAAGTCCATCTAATCAGTTCATGAGCAGCTCATCATTCAGTAATCAACTGAGTGAGGAACAGGTGCGTGTGAGCGGTGCATGACTGGATACGTGGTTCATGCAATGGCAGATTTGTATTCCGTTAGCGATCTGAAGCCTCTAGATCGCTGATAATCATAAAAAGGACTGACATATGTGTTAGTAACTTTACCTGACTTCCTTTGAGTCCTGGAGGTCCCTGAACACCAGGTGGGCCTGGTCGACCCTACAGAAGTAAATAAAGGAAGAGTTTAGATTTTGCAAGATGTATAAGCAAGTTTTTTTTGTTTTTGTTCATAGACTGAGTCATTGGACCAATCAGCGCAGGTTAGCATCTTGTTAAGAAGAGGTTTGGGAACAAATGAATCTTTGAACGAATCATATGGAGTCGTTGGGATAATTAGGTAAAAATAAATGCATATTATAAGACAATGAAGGTGTTTTTTGACCTTGCATGCATATCAGCCTGTTGATTAAGACCACCAAAACCAAAATATGACCTTTTTTATAAACCTATTTGATAATATAGGCTCTTCAACAGTTAAAGTAATTATATGTAAACATAGTTAACCTGTAGTAATATAGGTGATGTCACTGTATATAGATGAAGTTTATTTGTGTATTAAATGTATGTGTTGTCCTAAAAGTCTTCGATGATAAAATAAGTGTAACACTCACAACAAAACTACTAATTAATTTAGAAAGACAGCAAAAAATGTGCACCTGTTTCCCTTCTCGGCCCTCGCCTGGCAAACCCGGCTCTCCTCTCTCTCCCTTAGGTCCCGGTAAGCCAACAACATCTCCATTTCCTTCAGGGAGTGACGGACAGCTGTCGCAAGCATCTCCCTGGTCATACGGACACAGATGCGTTTAGAAAAAACAGATTTCTAGATGACAAAGCATGCTTAAATAGTGATGTCTTTCTTGCATGTATAATACTTTTCTAAAGGCGTAATCTATTACATCAACTTGATGAATGATTATTAAAATTGCCACTGACGGCACATAATTTACTGCAATGTAATTAATATGAGCCCCGCATGATCAATGTTATGTGACAATGACCTTTTCTCCTTTTAGTCCATTAAGACCGTTCCTGCCTGGCTCTCCTTGAGGTCCTGCGACTCCAGGTGTACCAGGTGTACCTGAGTCTCCTTGTAAACCCTGATCACCCTACAGACATAGATATGATATTTAATGCAGAGAAAAGGTTGAGGTACTGTTAACATTTTATTTGCACATATTAATAACTTACTTTCTCTCCTTTGAATCCTTGAAGACCTGGTGGCCCCTGTTGAGACAAACATTCTTAAGGTAAGTTTACATTTTAATATTACATTTGTTTAAGGTTCCTTAAATTAAAGATGTAGATCTACATATAAGCAGAGTACAGTGTTAATGTTACTATTAATAATGTTTAAAGTGGCCAATATTAATAAATATTTTTAATAATAGTAAATTTACCACGTTTTTAAACTGTGCAGAGGTGTAGCTGTTTCACTCGGCCTACTACGCTACTGTATTTCAATACTGGTCCTTATGGCGGTACTTGGAGGAACAATTTTTTTCTGAGGTGGTACTTGATGAAAAAAGTTTGAGAATTACTGATGTAGATGGATTGTTGACGTGACATTGGATTATTGTAGACACACATGAAACAAATTTATAAAATTAATTTTGTCATCATTTAAAATGCAATGAATAGTTAAAAATGTCTTTGTCTTTCATGGACCTCTTGTTATTTTAACTGACGTGTTATACATTTAAAATGATTTATTTTTGTGGCAAATCTATGGTATGATTGTTTCAATGAACTACAGCTCTTATAAATTAAAAATATCTTAAAACTCATTAATAAATACCTCACGCCAGATTTTACAAGTGTTTATTGATTAACCAACAACTATTCCAGCATATGTTTTACACTGCAGATGCCCTTTCAGTACTGGGAAATACCCATACACACACACACACACACGGCCAATTTAGTTTATCCAATTCACTTTTAGTGGATGTCTTTGGACAGTGGGGGAAACTGCAGCACCCGGAGGAAACTCACGCCAACATGTGGAAAACATGCAAACTCCACACAGAAATGCCAACAGGCCTAGCTGGTACCCGAACCAGCATCCTCCTTGCTGTAAGGCGACAATGCTTACCACTGAGCCACCATGCCACCCACAAGAGGCTATTTTAGTAAATAATAATAACATAGGAACTTGATACTTTTGTAACTGAAAACCATGTAATCTATTAACCATGGCACTACCTTACATGCCCTTTTTAAGTCTGCAACTCCACTGAAAACTTTAATTTGTTGAAAGGCCCCATTCAAGATCAAGTGACTGAAGTCCCCTGCGATGCGCATGAGATGCACCTGTTCATTTTTGTCTCAGACTTTTTGGAACCACTTCACGATTGTTAAGTTTGTTGTCCTTTGGTGTGACATCCCATATATTGAAAATTAGCCATAAAGAAAAAATATATATCATAATTTCATATAAAATAAACAGCAATATAAGTGTCCAATAATTACAATGCATCCCTCTCATGCTATTTCTATATTTTTTAAGAGTTTTTTTTCTATATTTTCATTCTGTCACACCATGACAAACAATTATGGTCAAAATTATTAGACCTCCTGTGATTTTTTTTTTCTTTTTCAAATATTTCCCAAATGATGTTTAACAGAGCAAGGAATTATTCACAGTATTTCCTATAATATTTTTTCCCCAGGAGAGAGTCTAATTTGTTCTATTTCAGCTAAAATAAAAGTTGTTTTCAATTTTTATTAAAACATTTTAAGGGCAATGTTATTAGCTACCCTAAGCAATATTTTATTATTCAATTTTTCTATCAATGACTTGTCTAATTACCCTAACTTGCCTTATTAACCTGATTAACCTAGTAAAGCCTTCAAATTGCACTTTAAGCTACTTTCTTGAAAATATCTAGTAACATATCATTTACTGTCATCATGGCAAGCTAAAAATAAATCAGTTATTAAAAATTTGTTGTTAAAACTTTTATGTTTAGAAATGTGTTGAAAAATAATAATTTCCATTACACAGAAATTGAGGGAAAATATACAAAATTATAAGAGGGCTAATAATTCTGACTTCAACTGTATTTAAGATATAATTCAGTAAACATATAAATAAAAAAATAAATAAAAAAACAGTGAAAGAATTTATCAAGTTAGTTGCCCCTTATATTTTCTCAAACATCAAACTGCAAACTACATAAACATAAAAAAAATCTTAAAAATAGTGTTTCACAAAAAAAAAACATTTTTACTTCTTATTTGTCAACTACGTGCATTTTTCAGTAGATATTAATAAGAGCATCTACCAATTTAATTATAAGTGGACAATGCTAAATATGATAAAAGTATGTAAAATGTATTTAAATTAGCTGTTCTCTATTGATTACTTAAAGATATGTGCAAAACAAAGCTTATAGGATGAATTTCAGGCATTCCAAGTCTCCCGGAAGTTCTGGGAGTCTCCCGCAAAATTCATAGAGACTCCCGGATGCCCGCAAACCAGTAATAATCTCTCGGAAATCACACGTCCCTCCCGGTCCTCATATATGTCAAACACCTCCCCCCACCACCCCACCCTTTACAAACATCTCCCCCCCCAACAATTAATTCAACCAAGGCTCATTCTTAAAATGTACAACTATACACATTTCTGGAGAGCGCCAAATATGTCAAGTTTTTGTTTCTGCGAATCCACCAGTGGCCACTGTGTACGCTTTTTCTCTCTTAAGAGTGCCATTCGAGCCTGCTGTTCTCAAGTAAATCCACAGAGGCCACTGTCGACTGACTGACTGACTGACCGACTGACCCACACTCCTCCTTCCCTAAACCCAACCAATAGTGTTTTCAAAAGCACAGATTGACCCACCCACTTCCCTAAACCCAACCGACAGGTTTCAAATGCAATCCAGAAAAAGCCCTCGCCTGTTTTTAACCATGTGTTCAGATTTTACCACTTTCTCAGGTTATTTACTTGTTTATTTTATTTTTTGGCTTTTGTGTTACCCGCTTTCTGAAACCGTTCTTCGCCGGACTCAAACCCTGTCCTTCATGGTCAACTCCTCTTTGTATTTCAAGTCGTTATATACATAGCGATCTAACTAGACAAACTTGTAACAGTGTGAAAGCCGTTCATATGAAAGTAAGCGGTCAGCTGGAAAGCACGAAAAGAAAAGGCGTCATACCGCCATGTAGCGTTCCGTTTAATAAATATGGACTTCTGGCTACATAATTTGCGATCTCCTGAAATGTATATAGGGCTACGTTTTCAGAATGAGTCTATGTTGATTTTATTCAGTTGCTTTCCCGCTCCCTAGTAAGTCATCTAACATGGGTCCGCTCATTGAGCAGCACTTGTGCACTGCATTGAAAGTAATGAACTGTGACTAAATTAGAGGAAAGGGCTACGATGAGATCTGCTCACAAGTGGTCAAAAGAGAAGTACTTTAACATGTGTTAACAACGGATGGAAAGAGTACCATAGAGTCACCCTAAAACAGTTAGGTTTACCTGTTTGCCCTCAGCTCCTTCTCCTGGTGGGCCTGCGGGTCCTGGAGGTCCACGTTCTCCTGTCAATTTTATTGTAGGTGGGCCACTTCCCACTTCAGAGGGAGAGGACTGGCATGCCCCACACGAGTCCCCCTTAAAAATAAGTCACATTGTGTGTTTTAAGGAAGCACATCCATGTAAAGCAGAAAAAAACTAAAATCGACTTACCTTTTCACCTTTTAGACCAGGTGTCCCTATACCAGGTAGGCCAGTGTCACCCTGTTGGAGAGCATAAGATTATCATTGAAAATGCTGTTACTTTATTTATAATAAGGTATATTATGTGGTTTAAGTGGAGGCTAATTTTCAACGAAGGCTTAAAAAAGATAATTATCTCAAAGTTCTGACTCACAACCACAACTTACAATCCAGAGGTTTATACATCAGAATTCTGATCTTTTCCACAATTCAAAGTGTATTTCTCACAATTTAGATAACCAATACATCTAAACTATGTGATAACTTTGAAATGCAAGAACAAAACAGTGTTTTTATACTGTATTTTGCAATTACAAGTTAACACCTCATTAACTTTCACCTCAGAAGTTATCATTCTTCAGAACTCATTATCACATACTAATACTCATAATTAAACGAAGAACAAGTTTAAATGATTACATCTACAGTATGAATTATGCCATTTTTAACATTAAAATTTATTTAATCAGCTTAAGTAAATACATTTTTTTATTTTAGGTCATAATTTTTACTTATCTCATAATGATGACTTTAAAACTCATAATTTTGTCAGTCAACATCAATTGAGTAGGTCAATTTTCTACTTAATTGTATGTAAAATTTATAAATTATGTCAGATTTTTGACATTTTGTGCCTGTTGTTTTATTTATAGATTTTGCTTCTTTTGACTTTTTCTTAATAGACTTCTATAAAATTTTGAATGGACATCTTGCAATTGTGACAATTTTTCTCTTCAGAATTGCAACCTCATTTTCTGCAACTGCATGTTTCTAAGCTGTATTGCAATTCTTAAGTTATATAATAATAATAATAATAATAATATATTCTGACTAGTTCTTGAATCTGATTGGCTGATAGCTATGAGATATTCTGCAAGTAACAGCATTCGTCCAGTCTCTTAACCCTTCACCCTTGAGTATTACTCTGCCCAGATACAGCGACAAGCAGAGGACACTTTGACAAATATTCTTGCTGTTGGACAACATAATGTACTTTTGAGGCTTTTTCAGTCAAGAATGTGGTTGTTTAGATGCAGTTTGTTTATAAGGATAGTGCCTATTTTAAATATTTATAATTTCTGAGAGACAGCCTGTAGCCTGTCATTGAGCAGACCAAAGATGTTGTCCATCTACAAGATGACAACAAAGAACACATAATAAGCGACTAGAAGAGAAGAACACTGTAATTTCTTCTTACACCTGATCAAATCATTATTAAACAGGTAAGTGATATTCTAAGTTGATCTCTCTGTATGTTGTAGTGCTGTTTTTATACCATATAAGTGTAGTGTATTGATTGTGGGATGGGACTCGCATATTAGGAATGTGTGTATTTTGTGTTGGCCACCCTTTGTATAACCCTAAGTTTTGGTTGGCACAGCAGACTAGTTCAGTAAACAGAAATGTGTTTTTCCTTATCACAAACACAACAGCCATCTAGAAGTGATTGCGCTGCTTTTTTTCAGCGTTAATTATTGTGATATCCCAATTGCAACAGAGAAATATTGGGAAATCTCTGTAGAATGATGGCATTACATGCTGTTCAGCCTTATAATCTTAAAATCTCAGCAAAATCACCTGTTTTGTCATCATTTTAGACATTACGCTAAAGAATCATTCAAATGCTAGCTCTAAAGTGACGTTGGTGAAGTAGCAATGGTTTCTGGTCTTCTGTTCTAGCTGCAGTTCTGATGTCAGCTGCAGATGTGAAGGAATGGCAGAAGAAAGTAATTCCTCTAACAAAAGGGTTTTTAGACTCTTCGTGTTTGATTTTCTTTTTATATACATGATTGTGCCATCGAACTCGTAGCAGTGCGATGTGGCTTTATATTATCACTGGTGGGACACTAAGGCACACAACGCACACCTTATATATATATATATATATATATATATATATATATATAGCATTTGAGAGATAAATAAGTCTTGCATGTTTATACGTTAAAAACTGTAAGATGCAAAGAGTTCTGGGAAGAAAAGTCAGATTTTCAGTCCAGCCAGTGCAGAATTATTGGAAATGATCAAAAGAGCATCATGTTCAAAAAGTTCAGAATCAATATCAACCTATCAATGGTAACTACACTAACTTCTATGACATTTTAAATTGCATTTCGCTCTCCGATTGTCCTCTTTTTCTGTGTCTTCTGGTGATGTGAGGTTACTCTCAAAATACATTACAATTACTGCAAAATAAGAAACTCAGAGTTGAGCTAAATCACCTTGGCTCCTTTATTTCCATCTTTCCCACTTGGCCCTCTTGGACCAGGTTTGCCCTAAAAAACATCAACATCTGCATATTAATCTAATCCTGAGGTCAGTCATAAATCACAGAAAAGAATAAAAAATAATTAATAAAAAGAAAAGGTAACATACAGTTTTACCCTCATTTCCTCTGCTGCCAGCATTGCCCTGCAAATAAGAGAAGAGAATGTATTGCAAAAATTAGTGAATTAGATAAATTAAATATTAATTTCTTTATTAATTAATCATTTCTGTCACTTTATTGATTCTGAAATGACTGCATTTTCTTTTACAATGCACTGCTTATAAAACTTGTTTGGCTTCAAATAATTAACATAAGTCACTTATTTGTAAACACTTTATATAAATATTTATTTTATTTTATTTTTTATTTGCACAGTCAAAGCAGTCAACAATGCTTTGTTTGTTCATTGTGCATAAACAGTCTACACTCATTGGTCAGATTATTAGGTACACCTTACTAGTACAGAGTTGGACCCCCTTTTGCCTTCAGAACTAACTTAATTCTTCATGATATAAATTTAACAAGATACTGGAAATATTCCAAAGAGATTTTGGTCCATATTGACATGATAGCATCATGAGTTGTTGCAGACTTGTCGGCTGCACATCCATGATCCAAATCTCCCGTTCCACCACATCCCAAAGGTGCTCTATTGGATTGAGGTTCTGGTGACTGTGGAGGCCATTTAAGTAGAGTGAACTCATTGTCATGTTCAAGAAACCAGTCTGAGATGATATACACTTTATGACATGGCACGTTATCCTGCTGGAAGTAGCCATCAGAAGATGAGTACACTGTGGTCATTAAGGAGTTGATATGGTCAGCAACAATACTCAGGTAGGCTGTGGCTGTGACACAAATGCTCAATTGGTACTAATGGGCCCAAAAGTGCCAAGAAAATATCCCCCACACCATTACACCATCACCAGCTTGAACCGTTGATCCAAGGCCGGATGGATCCATGCTTTCATGTTGTTGACACCAAATTCTGACCCTACCATCCGAATGTTGCTGCAGAAATCGAGACTAGACCAGGCAATGTTTTTCCAATCTTCTATTGTCCAATTTTGGCAGAAGTGGCACCCGTTGTGTGCTGCTGTAGCCCATCCGCCTCAAGGTTGGACATGTTGTGCATTCAGAGATGCTATTCTGCATACCTCGGTTGTAACGAGTGGTTATTTGAGTTAGAGTTGCCTTTCTATCAGCTCGAACCAGTCTGGCCATTCTCCTCTTACCTCTGGCATCAACAAGGCATTTGCATACTGCTGCCCTATGTGCGGATATAACTGAGGACGCGCGGGTGCTGAGGGAGGGAGGTGTCACGGACGCTGCCCTCTTTATTCTGCCGTCCTATGCCGGGATATAACTGAGGATGCGCGGGTGCTGAGGAAGGTAGGGAGGTGTCGCGGACACTACCCTCTCTATTCTGCCGCCCTATGCGCGGATATAACTGAGGATGCATGGCTGCTGAGGGAGTGAGGTGTCGCGGACGCTGCCCTCTCTATTCTACCACCTTATGCGCGGATATAACTGAGGATGCGCGGGTGCTGATGGAGGTGTCATTGAAGCAGCCCTCTCTATTCTGTCGCCTATGCGTGAATATATCTGAGGACGCGGGTGGTGAGGGAGGTGTCACGGACATAACTGCGGACGCGGGTACACGGGTGGTAAGGGAGGTGTCGCAGACGCCGCCCTCTCTATACTGCCGCCCTAAGCGGCCGCATAGGTCGCCTCTATGGACGCGCCGGCCTTGTATATATATATATATATATATATATATATATATATATATATATATATATATATAGAGAGAGAGAGAGAGAGAGAGAGAGAGAGAGAGAGAAAGTTTTATTTTTCTAAACCACAAAAAAAACCCGGTGTGTTTGAGCACACTTGGTGAATAAAGCCCATCCTGATTCTGATACTGATACAAACACTGCATACATGCACAATGGAACAAAAAGTATTCGCATACATAAGCCAAACATATAAGCATACCAAATATTATTATAAAAAAGCAACTGACACTGGTGAAAAAAGACTAGTTAAACTTTTCCTAAAACTAAACTTTCGCAGTTATTTCAACCATCAGGTTTCCTAGGTCATAGTTAATGGATATCTGAAGTCAGTTTTTCACAGGTGCCCCAGAGAGCTGTAGTTCATCACATTAAGCACAGAGATGTTCCACTAAATCTTTTTGTTTTTTTATATGTTTTTTTTATTACCTAACGCAATAGCATCCAAACATTTAAATGTGTCTAACTACTTTTTTGGAGTCATTGAATATGCTTACGCTGTCTATAATAGTGTTAAAATCCATCAAAATGGAAGAAATGCAGATACCTTTTCTCCTTTAAGTCCACCAAAGCCAATCTGTCCTGGTTCTCCCTGTAGACATCAATATCAAGTAAAAAGAAGTTATAAAATAATAAAAGGTACACAAAGAATGACAGTTTGGTACACATATTAGCTAAGTTAAAGCTCTGTACATTTTCAGAACAGAAAAGAGGAAAATAAACAGACAATTATTTCAAATTATAATCAATTAAAGAAATTGTGGTTCTGTCAATTATAAATTCCAAGAACAATCTACAAATATACATCTCAGCTAATGCTATAAACTAAACAGAGAGTCATATCATTTGCATTTTATTATGATATTAAAGATTTAAGTCCAAATTACTACATTTAACAGCAATTTTACTTTAGATATAATATTCCACACTGAACCAAACATGTTAAATAAACATAAGTCACATAAAGTCTAAATCGCAATCTACATTTTCTAAATACCTTTCCAAAAAACATTTATTAAAAATGATAGTTTTAAATTTCATTTCAATTTGAAAGATGAGACTTTGTTTCCTATCATAATGATCAAATTTGTAAAATAATTGAATGGGAGGAGTGCCATATAATAAAAAAAGCAAATATTAAAAGATCAATATTAAGATGTAAGACTCAATTTCTATTGATTCAAATAAAAATATATAAAACTGGAACTTTTAAATAAAATTCCCAGCGAATGACGGTTAAAACAACACTGTATTTATCATGTACACTAAGGTCAAAATGACATTTACCCAAACCAAAAAATGACATTTAAATTTACACCCATAATCAGTGCACATTTTCTTGTTCAACAAACATAAAAATGAAAGCCTTGGCTTATTAATTCCCCAATCTGTCATTACAAACAATTTCTAAAAGCATCTGTGCCTGAGGCTTATTTCTGAGCCAAATGCGTGGTTATACAGATCAGTCTTACAGTATCTGCGATTATGCATGAGCCAATATATGCATCCCTGCACGCTCACAGACGCAGCTGCTGAAGTGGAAATCAAGAACTGTTTGCGCTGTAATTTTCTGCACTTCAGAACTTGTGGGAAAAAGTGATGTGGATGTTTTTTTTTTTAATGATGTGTGCTGGATGTCAATGAGAAATCAGTCCATCACATTCACCTGCTCTCCTTTCTGCCCAACACCAGGATCTCCCTTCTCTCCCTTTTGAGTCTGCTTCAAAATGCCTGCTGGATTTAGTCCATTGGATGGACAGCCGGAACATGGTTCACCCTAAGACAAAAAAATTATATGAGAAGACTTTTAAAAGCACGACTTTGAGAGAACTTGCAAAATTAAGTTGCAATTTAAGTAAAGTAGTCTTTTTGACCAAAACGTGGGACGACTGACCTTTTCACCTTTGGCTCCATCGACCCCTGCCTCCCCCTAAGAAATAAACACCATGCATGAGAGAGATAGGGAAAATCCCTCAAACAGTAAATTTCATTTTTATTTCCTTGACCCTCTTGAAATGAACACTGAGATGTGTTGTAATTGTCACAATACACAGGAAGTTGCTATCATCAAAACTGTGTGTGTGTGAACCTTTATCATCTACTTTGTATTGGTATAAATAAAAATGATCCATTCAAACGATTCATTCAAAACAGCTGATTTAACTTGCTCTATATTAACGTCATCAATACATTAATCAATATCACATGTTCAGATGCTGATAGTTGAGAAAATGCACCCCTGATTGTGCACATGTTAATCAATGTTAAAATATCTTTATGAACATATGATTTATTATGAACTCCAGCAATTTGATTTGTTTGGAAACAGTCCAAATAAGATTGAGATTAGCCTAAATATAACTTCACAATACACAACTAAAATTAAGACACATCGCAGCAAATCATGAAACTGAAATCTGTTTTGTTTCTTTTAAGTTTGGAGTGCAAATTTGTGTAGATAATTTTGTAGAATGTAAACTTGTCAAGTTAGGTTTACCACAGACCTACATTTTTCTTATGAAATTGAATGTAAATGTTAGCACATTTTAAATGTGTGAAAAAGTTGCATCTTATACTGTAAATATTTAAAGATTCATGAAACATTCTCCAGATTAAAAACAATCCTCCAGATTACCAGCAGGGCTAATGGTTAAAATAGATAGGGCAAGAGACCTTCTGCACTGAGTCTGCATTCAGACCCGAGGATTGAGGGAGAAGTCCTCATTTAGTGTTTATAAAAACATGATTATCTTTACAATTGTATAAATTGTGATTATCTATATATGAAATTACAAATGACAAATGTAGCAGGGCATTAAATTACTGTTTATTTCTTTGCATTTTAACTTTGTAAACTATAAAATCATGTGTCTCCTCACAACTTGTGTATCATGTTGTGAGCTAACTGACAACAGTTGTTCGCTCCCCTCCTTTTCCCCTGCTCTGCTGGCCATGCCCACTCCTGCCTCAGATCGCGGAGCTCCACGGCCACTATGATGCTTTTTTGGAAAAAATTCTGAGGTAAACTTAAACGGAAAGTGGGAGGGGTGTCATGGCCCTTTAAGTGACTGGCTTAATAATAAAAAAAAAAAAAAACTCAGACCCACTTTAGGTTTTTATTTTCGTTTAAAAAATGTTTCTCCTTTGCAGCTCAAAAATGTTTAGCTTATAGTATACTTCTATCAGTATTGGATTATGGAGATATACTTTAGCATCTCTGAATGTTTAAAAAAAAAACTCCATATTGGTTATCATAGTGCCCTTGATTTGTCATTGGTTCAAGTGCACGCACACATCACTGTAATTTGTATAAACTTCATGCCCTGGCGTACGTGCATTTCTTGTGTATATTGTGCATATTCATTAGGGGGAGGAGGCAGGGAGGGGTTTTGCGCTCATGCACTTGCGCTCAGTTTCACGTTAAGTCGGATGTACAAAGAGAATATGCATGGGGTTCCACATACTCAGTGTTTCATACATCTAAAATTTTACTGCGTACGCACATTTACAGCTTTGTGTGTACGCAATGTTTTAGTATGTATTTAAAGCAAGTCTTCTTACATGAGGCCCCAGATCAGCAGATATACTCTTAAGTATAGAGTCCCAAAGTGTAGGTTAAACCGTTACAAGAAATCCTTTGTACCTGTGTCAGTGGGTTTACTTAATAAGAGTATATCTTAATTGGCACCATCAATTTTGTAATTGTTGTATTTTCTACTGTTTTTTATTGCTTGTTTTAGTGAGTGTCTGCAGCAATATGGCGATGCCCAAAACAAATCTCCTGTCAAGGACAATAAAGTTTTACTACTTACTACTACTACTAAGATGCTATTTTTTTACATAGAGTTAGGTCGATCTGCATGCTCTAAGTATGCTTCAAATGTATTGAATGAGCTTCAAAGTATACTACATTTCAAATCCGTACCATCTATCACTATTGTTAAAAATATTTTAAAGACTGTAAATTAACAACAGTGCACATGTTTTAATAATTAATTATGGTTTATATTACTTTTATATTGTGACATGCATTATTATTATTTTTTTTTGTTATAGCTTTGTTCTATGCTGCCTGTCTTGACCAGGACTCCCTGGTAGAAGATATATTGTATCCTAGTTAAATAATTAAATCAAAACTAAAAAAGACATTATTGTACCCCATAATTTTTGGAGAAGAACAATTGGCAAAAAATGTACATGTCTATTGCACTCATACTACTATAAGTGACTGTGATTGTGCATGATATCAAATAAGTATATACTCAAAGGCTGTGCATTCTATGTGTTGAGAATAAGGGTACACTGTATAAAATTATTTGACAAAAAGTCCTGACTACAAATGTTTTTGTTAATTTAACTAATTTTAATATGTTAATCAGGTGTCAGCTACTGTACTGTTTTTAAGTTAAACAAAATTGAACTTGATATATTTGGTCAGTTTGATTGATTTATACATTGAATACACAAACTAGTAAATCAAGATTTAAACGTTTAGCAACGCTTGTACTTTCAAGCCTAGAACTGATGAAATCTTCATTTTAATCTTGTGTATACATATATTCATATAATACATTCATTATACAATTTCTGTGCTGTAAGAATCGGAAAGTCAGCCACAAACACAAACCTTCTCTCCTGTTCTGCCATCCACTCCTGGAAGGCCCTGTGAAAAAAGAGACATATAACATTTCTGTCTTCCCAAACATGACACTAATGTCATCCCATCTGACCGCAACTTCCCCAATGTAAATGTCCCCCATTTGCACTCTGTCACTTTCTGCATCCCACGCTCTGACTCCCCGTCTTATAACTAGGAATGAGGAATAGATTGTGAGCATATTGGAAATCCTTACAGTCAAATGCGAAAGCTTTCCAGTATGCTAAATCCTTTTTATTCTTGTCAGAATTTATACATCTCACTCTTGAGGAAGAGAGAGGTGAAATTTTAATGGGCTAAAAATTGGAAAGACCTTTACCGTAAAATGAAATGTGACGTAGAAAGTGCGGTTTAAAGTTTGAAAACTTATAGATTTTGCGGATAGTAGGAGATATCTGAAACTCCCTGAAGTTATAATGAAGCATGATTGAATATCCGTTCTCACTGCGAGCGGGTAGTGGATCGGCGAAAACATTACTCATTCAACACAACAACAGACACAAAATAAAAAGACCTCGCTGACTGCTGGCTTGTTTCATCGAGCTTGGCAAACACAAATATGGCAGGCCCACTGAGGTGAACGGCATCATCAGTCGATCTTTTTTTGCAGTGATAATGTGACTACCAGGCACAGATTTGAGTATTGGAAGTTAAAAGACGTTTCAGGATGCAACGCAGAGACATTTAATCAAACATGCTGAACTCTTTTAGCTTTATTCTGGTAAAAATGAGCAGCTTTTGGGAGTTATTTTAGGGATAAACTCACAGGTGGACCCTGTTCTGATTTGCCTGGAACACCCGGTTCCCCTTTAGCCCCCTGTTTGCTCTGCGAGCCCAAGGTGTTTCCAGATTCTGAAGAGATCACTTGACATGGTTCACACGGTTCTCCCTAAAAAAAAATAAAAAGAAGGAAGAACATTCTGTCATCATATACTCTCTTTTATAATTTATCAATGACTCACAATTATCATCTCTTACTAAAAGTATGACAATGCAAATTTATTGATTTATTGATTTATTTTATTATTTATTTATTAATTTAATTTAATTTAATTTAATTTTTCTTTTCGGTATAGTCCCTTTATTAATCCGGGGTCACCACAGCGGAATGAACCGCCAACTTACCCAGCACATGTTTTAAGCAGCGGATGCCCTTCCAGCTGCAACCCATCTCTGGGAAACATCCACACACACTCATTCACACTCATACACTACGGACAATTTAGCCAACCCAATTCACCTGTACCGCATGTCTTTGGACTGTGGGGGAAACCAAAGCACCCGGAGGAAACCCACGCGAACGCAGGGAGAACATGCAAACTCCACGCAGAAACTCCAACTGACCCAGCTGAGGCTCGAACCAGCAACCTTCTTGCTGTGGGGCGACAGCACTACCTACTGCGCCACTGCGTTGCCTTAATTAATTAATTAATTAATTTATTTATTTATTATTTAACCCCCCTCTTCTCTAACATGTTAGTAGTGTGTTAAGTCATAGAAACCTGTTAGTGTGCAAACATGTTAGCAGCATGTTGAATCATGATAACAACACAATAAAATATGCCAGCAGTGTGTAAACTGTGATTAATGGTCTTTCTTTCATCTCTGACACTTTAAACAACCAGTTTTGCACATTTGCACATTACACTTTCTTACAATCTCTCCAAATCTATAAAAAATCACACATTGTGCTTCACACAGGTGAGTGGGTTTGACAAACCACCTGTAGAAACCATTCTCTATTTAAAAAAAAACCCTGTCCTTGATCTAGCACTTGGTTCTCTGAGTACGAACAGTAAGGGCGTACTCACATTAGGTACAGTTGCCTTGAACCATCCCTAAGCGTGATTGTACCTCTTCCAACTTGGCTGGGGCCGGCCAACTGAACCGCACCTGAGCCCGATTCAGAGCACTCACACTTCTCAAATGAAAAGGGAAACGTGCCTGGGCATGGTTTAGATAGCAAAGTGTGAGTGCGCCCATAGTTTCTTTGTAAAATTAGCACTTGTTGTGTGTTTTGCCTCATATTGTTGACTTGCTGAATGCCTCCTTGTACATCGCTTTGAAAAAATGTCTCTGCTAAATGCAAATGTATTTAAAGCTACAATGGAAATTTCCATACAGAAATTTGAAAAAAAAATCCAATAAATTTAAACAGTAAATGTTAAACAAATATTTAAATATGCAAGCAAGCAAGTTAAAGATTGGCTTGAGAAAGCCTAGCGTGAATGTTTGACACAGGTTTGTTAAAAGGTCAAAACCATGTTTCTGCCAATGCTAGAATGTTTTTAGCATATTTTAATGTAATGCTAACACATTGCTGGGACAATATTAACACTTACACATTTAAATACATTGATATAATGATTTCACACACTGCTGACATGTTTTATTGTGATGTTGTCATGATTCAACGTGCTGCTAACATGTTTTGCACACTAGCAGGTTTCTATGATTTAACACACTGCTAATTTGTTTTTAGCATTGTTTAACACAATGCTAACACATTTCGATAAATAATTATACATTTAAATGCATTGATAATGATTGAACACACTGCTGACATGTTTTATTGTCTTGTTGTCATAATTCAACATGCTGCTAACATGTTTTGCACATTAGGTTTCTATGAATGCACACACCGCTAATTTGTTTTTAGCATATTTTAACACAAAGCTAACACATTTCAAGGATAAACACTTGCACATTTAAATACATTGATAGAATGATTTAACCCACTGCTGACATGTTTTTTGTGTTGCTATCATGATTCAACATGCTGCTAACATGTTTTGCACACTAGCAGGTTTCTATGATTTAACACACCGCTAATTTGTTTTTAGCATATTTTAACACATTGCTAACACATTTCAAGACTAGGATAAACACTTGCACATTTAAATACATTGATAGAATGATTTAACTCACTGCTGACATGTTTTTTGTGTTGCTATCATGATTCAACATGCTGCTAACATGTTTTGCACACTAGCAGGTTTCTATGATTTAACACACCGCTAATTTGTTTTTAGCATAATTTAACACAACGCTAATACATTTTAAGACATTGCTAGGACAATTTTAACACTTACATATTTAAATACATTGATAGAACAATTTAACACACCCCTGACATATTTTTATCATGATTAAACATGCTGCTAACATGTTTTACACACTAGCAGTTTTCTATAAATTAACACACAGCTAATGTGTTTTAGCACAACACAATTTTAACCATGCATGCTAACATGTTTCCATCATGATTTAACAAATTGTTTGCATAATTTAACAAATTATTTGCATGATTCTGATTTAACACGCTGCTAGCATGTAATATAGGTAATGGGCTAGCATAAGTTAGTATGTTAAAATGTTTCTGGAATGAATTAGCAGACACATGCTGACATTCTTTGCACATTAGCATGCTTCTAAGATAAGCGCACATATTGGCAGGTTTCCATTAAGACTTAATACATTCCTAGCATTTTTCAGGTATGATGTAACACTGCTAGCATGAATAAAAGTTGCAAAGGGCTATTTCTAGCCTGACTCTAGCACTTCACCGAAGCCTGACTGCATTTCTAGCCACACTTTTAACATAATTTCACAGCTTTACAGAATTATTAAGACACACTGCTAACCTGTATTAGTATGTTGCTAGCAAATGTTATCATATCCAATTGCATAGCTCTAATTTAGCATATACAAAACATGTTTATTGCATGATTTAGCACAAAAGTGTTTTGGGTGAACTGTTCTTTCTCTCAGATCTGAACGGATAATTACCATATCAGCAATTTAGTTGCAAAATCTAAAATTCAGACTCCTTTAGCTTACCTTCTCGCCTTTAGGTCCCCAAGGGCCTCTCGGACCCTGTCAGCAAAACAAAACACATCATTGAGTATGCATGAAGATTAGAAGCGCAGAAGCTCATTGAGTTTCAAATGCAAATTATGTGCTGATAGCTCCAGTGGTAATAAAACTAATTATGGCGCTGATGATAGTAAACACATTTTGTCCCTTACAGTGACAGAACAATCAGGATAGTGATGGAAAATCAGGATAATTAGCATGTTCTGTATTAGTAATGCAGCACACGTTGCTGTTTCACATTGACACATCTCTATAGGTCAAAATGAGAAAAAACTAACGGGTTCTCCAGGCTTTCCGTCTTCTCCAGGTGTCCCAGAATCCCCCTAGACATGTAGAGGATATTTTGTTATCGCTACACATAACACTGCATATAAAAACACATGGGTATTAAAGTGGTAAACATACTTTCTCTCCTTTAGAACCTGAAGATCCACCAGGGGGCCCCTGTGAGATAAAAACAACTGGTTAGTAAAGAAGTATATATAGACCTTTTTGAGGGACAGCAACAATGGTTCCTGTTTTGCTTTTTTCATTTTTATAGCTTCCGAAAATCCAAAAGGGTCCACATAATGATAAATAATGTTATGATAGCTGTTTTAATGTTGAGTTATGGTTGAATTTCCTCTTTATACAGTTAAATATGAAACAGTTTGAAAGAGTTTGACAACAAGCAGGAAATGTTAACCCCATCACCACTTTGAAATGGTCTATACAGAGTTGGGGGCATGCACATTGTACTCTATAGCAAATAACATTATTTACTTCAAAATTAATACCAGAAAGTGTTATAATTTGACAATACCTACTGTAGCCCTAAATTGTTAATTAATTTTATTTTATTTTATTCTATACATTTTTTTGCTTTATGGTTTGCCTCTATCATTCAAACTACTAGCTTTGACCTGTTTTCAGTAAGATTTTTTGGTCGCACTTTATATTAAGTGTCCTTAACTACTATGTACTTACATCAAAAAATAAATACCATGTACTTACTGTGTTTATAATGCATTTGAGAACACTTTTGGTGCTTTTGAGTTGGGATAGAGGTTGGGTTATGGACAGGTTTGGTGGTATGGGTAGGTTTAAGGATAGGTTAAGGTGTAAGGGATGGTCAACAGTGTATTTACAAATGTAGTTACAAAAGTTAACTACAGACGTAATTACATGTATTTAATTAAGCATAAGTACATATACATGTATTTACATAATGAGTACATTGTAACAAACAATTAGTTCCTATGTAAGTACATATTAATTAAGGCCACTTAATAGAAAGTGGGACCGATTTTTTTTATACAAAGAGTGAAATTTTAAATATCTAAACAAATTTGTTATGCTAAATGACAATGAAACATTATTACATCCATACATTTACATGTTATTTACTTACTTATTGTCACATGCTGCTTATATTAATTTATTTAAAGCAGTGGTTCCCAAACTGTGGTACCTGTAACACTAGTGGTACGTGGGCTTCCTTCTAGTGGTACATAGAGGATTCAAATATGTCATATGTACATGTGATGACATACAGCCTATATTTATGAGGTCCAAGCAACATCTCCAGGTTTTAAAGAATAGGCTACTATGAAGTTAACACTTTACATTTAAGTAGAGGAGCCTACCATTTTTAACTTTTAAAATTTCAATTTAAAAATTGACGTTTTATTTTGTTTGTTTGATTTATACAACATAAGCAGAGTACAGCGTTAATGGTCAAACTATTTATTTTAATGTTTAAAGTGGCTGATAATGATAGTTTTTAAAAACCTTTTAAAGTTATTGCATTTTTGATGCGTTCTCTGGTGTACTGTTTTTGAGTTTATTTTCTCGTAAATAGAGGTGACTTCTAAAAATAATGTTGAATTTCAGAAATAGCAGAGCTGCAGCTAAAAAAGACACCTTAAGAAAAACTGTAACTGATTTGTCATCTTTGATTTATTCTTCCTGTGTAAATAAGTATATTTTCTCTCATTTGTCCTGGTTTATTATTAATAATAACAATAGAATGTTTTTAAACTGTACAGAGCTGTAGCTTGTTTACTGGGCCTACTATACTACTGTGTTTCAATATTGCTCTCATTATGGTGGTACCTAGAGAGACAATTTTTTCTGAGGTGGTACTTGGTGAAAAAAGTTTGATATCCACTGATTTAAAGCATTACGGCAGACATTTTACTCTTATTTTAAATGCTTTATGTTCATGAAACCACAAGTGCACTGAAATGGGACGTCTTATACTTTGACATACTTCAATACTGCAGAAATTCTATGTTGGTATGCATTTTTTTTTACACTTCTAGCCCAATCATTTTTTGATTGTTTTTAGATCTTTGCCAATTTAGTGGAAGCTAAATAAACCAAGACAAATGAGAGAAAATATACTTGTTTACACAGGAAGAATAAATCAAAGATGACAAATCAGTTACAGTTTTTCTTAAGGTGTCTTCTGCTATTTCTGAAATTCAACATTATTTTTAGAGGTCACCTCTATTTACGAGAAAATAAACTCAAAAACAGTACACCAGAGAACGCATAAAAAATGCAATAACTTTAAAAGGTTTTTAAACCTCAATGGAGGACAAATCAGTGCCAGGCAATTGTTTTTCAGTAGAACTGGGTCCAGACGGTCTTTTTAAAGTCATTATAACCGAATGAAACTATGAGAAGAATCATAAGATAACACTTTGCAGCAGCAAAAACAAACAAACAAACAAACAAATAATAAAAAAGGCACAAGACTGAACTTGAGGAATGTACTTAGGGAGAGAACTAAAACATCAAAAAGCACTGTGAATGGCAAACATAATAAAATGACATATTTCTATACTCTAAATTCATTTAAAGTGCTTGCTTTTATTTGGCAGTTGAAGACATTCATGGTGCTTCATTGGAGAGGATCACTGGAAACAGATCTACAACCCCAGATTTTGGTGTATTTTCCTCACTACAATTCTCTCATTTGTGGAATTTTTTGAAAAGCATTAGGGAGAACGGATCAATCATAACTTGTAAATATTTTCGATACTGCTAAGTATCAAAAGAAATGATCCTTAAATTGAAATATTTTGATCTTTTCTGTTTGTTTTTTCTTAATGAGTGGTCATGGATTTTAGAATATCTTAATAATATTAATAATGATAGCACCACATAATATATACATACTTTATTTACTTAAATAAGAACATGAATGGGATCTATAATATTGTATTTTATATAATATTCAGCACAGGTTTTAAACTCGAGCACGGTGGTGCGGTCATCATGATTGAAAGAAAAAGAAGCATAATTTGGTGTTAAATTACTCCAGTTAATAATGAAGAGGCTTCATGTGACACTTGTCACAAAACAGTATGCCGCTGATCAGTCAAAGAAAAACAGGTTCAAAAGGAGTCAACAGTCAATTTAAAACCTTAAAGGGGAGAAATGTTGATTTTTTAAGGTTTGTTTAGGTGTGTTGTTTTAAGGTGTGTTATTTTTTTGTTACAGTATATATGGTATATATAGCAAATTTTGTTTAATAATGTTCTCTTATTTTAATAAATGTAAAAAGGAATTATGTCTGTTGTATTTTATTTATTATAATTATACTGAAGGTGATTTAAAAAAAACATTATGAAATCACTATAAAATATTTCATTGAAGTATCGGTATCGGCGATACCTGTCTTAAAATACATGGTATCAGATCGAAAAGAAAATAATAGGTATCGGTCATCCTTAGTTTTTGTACTTGAATCCTAGTTTAAATAAGCAGAATTCATAATCAAATATTTAATTAACTATTACATTTACATTTTACATTTACATTTAGTCATTTAGCAGACGCTTTTATCCAAAGCGACTTACAAGTGAGGACAAGGAAGCAATTTACACAACTAAGAGCAACAATGAATAAGTGCTATAGGCAAGTTACAGGTCTGTAAAGTCTAAGAAGGGAAGTATTAGTAGTATTAGTATTTATTTTTTTTTTGGGTACAGTTAGTGTGATATTCAGAGAGGCAATTGCAGATTAGGAAGTGTAGTGGAGACTAAATAGTTGAGTTTTTAGTCGTTTCTTGAAAGTAGCGAGTGACTCTGCTGTTCTGATGCAGTTAGGGAGTTCATTCCACCAACTGGGCAGATTGAGCGTGAGCGTTCGCGAAAGTGATTTCTTCCCTCTTTGGGATGGAACCACGAGGCGACGTTCATTCACAGAACGCAAGTTTCTGGAGGGCACATACATCTGCAGAAGCGAGAGCAGATAAGAAGGAGCAAGGCCAGAAGTCACTTTGTAGGCAAACATCAGAGCTTTGAATTTGATGCGAACAGCAACTGGCAGCCAGTGCAAACGGACTAGCAGCGGAGTGACATGTGCTCGTTTAGGTTCATTGAAGACCACTCGTGCTGCTGCATTCTGGAGCAGTTGAAGAGGCTTTATAGAGTTAGCTGAAAGCCCAGCTAGTAGAGAGTTGCAGTAATCCAGTTTGGAGAGAACAAGAGCTTGAACAAGGAGTTGAGCTGCATGTTCAGATAAGAAGGGTCGGATCTTTCTGATGTTATAGAGTGCGAATCTGCATGATCGAGCAGTTCTAGAAATGTCGTCTATTACACCTCAGAGCAATTACACCTCTATTACACTATTACACCTATTACAGAACTATTACACCTCAGAGCAATGTTTTGTCTATTTTTTTTTACATTTTGTGGCAAGAAGCCATGTAATAAGTAGGACAAAGTACATCCAGGTGGTTGTTTTCACCGAATAAAGCCCTTCAGTCTTAGCCCTTCACTGGCAACCAAAATTGCCACTTAATTTTACAGCAATTTTTTTTTTTTTATTTACAGTGAATGCTATTCTGTGGTATGCTCATCCAGGTACCAGGTACCAGGTATCATCTTGGCCATCAGTGACTGTTTGGTGCCATCTTCTAAATAAATAATATGGAAGTTAGTGTATGCTTCATTCAACTGTACTCGTTTCTTTAAGCTTTGTCTTTAATTAAAGAATTAATAAACTATTAATAAGCAGGATAAGCAGGATAAAGTACATCCAGGCGGTTGTTTTCGCTGAATAAACCTCTTCAACTTCACTTCACGTCGGGTTGCCGTTAAGCCTGTAAAGATTTATTGTGTGATAACAACTGCTTGAATGTACTCTAATCTCATACATGTACTTATCTTTTTTTAGAGTGTGTAAAACATGAATATTCTTACAGGTAGTCCCGGTTTCCCAACACCAGGTAGTCCTGGAAATCCTGGCTGGCCTGGTTCTCCTGCGAGCCCCTCTGGACCGACCACACCAGGAGCGCCCTGTGAAATAACCAAATCTGAGAAACTAGCTGTGCATACCAAGCAGTAAAGAAAATGATACCACAAAACTATAGAGTTCCTTTATAGTAACCCCATATAGAAGACCCATCTGTTTTTACCTTTTGTCCTTTAGGGCCCACCACACAAATAGGATTAGCTCGACCCTGTGACAGCAAAGACCAACAAAAGATCATTAGCTTATAGTTCATCTCAAACGCCGGCATTAGCGGTTATCACACTACTTACATGACAACCTTCCAAACCAGTCAGTTCACCGATGACTCAAGGCTTAGACAGATAAACAGTTTTAAAAGCAAATCCCAAATATGCATTAGCGACTCGGCCATATTCGCCATCCCCTTAGCATGCTTTGTATATACGGAATAGAAAAGATTAAGCGTAATGCGAGCTGACTATCCATTTAAAAGAATCAATGAGGCTGCATTGATTTGTGGCTCTTTGTTGGCTTATGTAATCTATGTAGCATTAAGAAGATTTAACACCCAAAGAGATATCTAATGAGAAAAAAAAGGCAGCAGCGAGTTTATGGGTAAGAGTCTAATGCGTAATGTTTTTCTCAGCAGAGAGCTGTGAATGTATGGCGCCACTTTAAACAATATAAAAGGAAAGAGACGCTTGGCTCCTTTTAAAAATGAAAATATGTGAGCAGAGGCATATTATGCATGTGATAGATTGCATGAGTCTTGAATATATCCCGTAGCTGCACGATTTTGGATGAATTAAGAATCACTTTTTTTTTCACCACACTATTGAACAGATAGCTAAATAGAATAAGAAGTAATTTCCAAAAGGTTATGACAAATCTTTTAGGAAAAAATATAGGAAAAATAATAACTGAAATTATTTCGGTAATCACAATTGTTTAAACAATTATTACCAAATTATTTTGGAAATATATAGTATTTTATCCCATGTAATTATTGCACTTATACATTTTAAAGATCATGAAATTTCACAATTCTTAATTACGAAGCATACTGTAAAACCCAACAGTTAACTTTATCATATGGAATGAGTGTAGTTAACTCAAAATTGAGTGAAAGTTAATTCTACTCATTTAAAAAAGAGTTTTGAACTCAGTGTTGAAGGTAATGAGTTAATTAAATACCTCATTACTTCAACTTAAATGGAGTAAGTTCACAGTACTCATAAAGATTAGTCTTTAAACCTTAATGATTTGTTGCAATCGGTTTCCTCAAATGGTTTGAGAACTTGTAGGGTTTTACAGTGCAGAATGGGACGAAGTAGAATACAAATTAACAAAAAGTTCCATCCAAAAATATGAATCTAGATAAAATTCATGCAGAAGGGTGAAAGGATTTGGGAGTGAATATTTCAGAGGAAAAGCTGAAACGATGCGTTATTGGGAGTGAACAGAACAACCTCCTGTACTCGCTTAAGCTTAATTCAGTTTAAGGTCATCCAAGGATAGACTTTCCCAGATATACACAAATGTAAGTGACACATGTAAGCAATGTCTTTCTGTTAAAGCAGATTTGGCTCACATGTTTTGAGCATGCCCCAGACTGCTTGATTATTGGACAACTATATTTAAAATTCTGTCCGAGGCATATAAAAAAGTCATTATAGGCCTAGTTTTGAAATGGCAGTTTTTGGAGTACTTGAACAAGATACAGTCATGTCCAATGATTATTAAGACGCTTATTCCTTCCCTTGTCTTATGGCTCGGAGAAGAATAATGCTTGATTGGAAATCAAGTAAACGACCTTCAGTTTCACTATGGTTTAGTAATATGATGCTGTTTTTAAGATTGGAAAAAATGAAACACTCTCTTAAAGAATCCACTTAATGTTTTTATACAGTATGGAATCCAACGATCTCACACTTAAAAAAAGGTGTAAAACTTTCCCCAAACTAAAACTAACAGGGAAATTAAAAAGTTTATGCTTAAAAGGATAATGCAATCAAACTCAATGGGCAAACTATGATGTTAAATACTACCTCACTGTACAATCATAACTCTGGGACAATGTAAATATTTAATTTATACAATTTTCTTTTTTCTTTTTTTTATTTTGAAGGGGAGGGGGGTTGTTTATGGGAAAAAAAAGTTACAAAAAATGTCTTGTCTATTCTTTTTATGTATTATTTCACCTTGTTAAAAAAATTTACTTGTAAAAAACAACAAAAAACAACTATGTCTTACAATTATGGAAAGAAGAAAAATACAACAAAATAAAAGATTAAAACTCAAACAAATATTCACTGTAAGAATTCAAGTCTGTGTTGGGAACGGGAAAACTTTGATAACAGTGTAATACATATGCCACACCTATATGTGTATATATGGATATGATAAAATCAACTCTGGAATATATAAGCATGTCTGATGGAAGAACTATAGACATTGCATTTATGAGACATTTACAATGCATTTAAAAGACATCTACCCCCGGTTTCACAAACAAGGTTTAAGGCTAGTCAAGATTAAATTGCATGTTTGAACTGTCTCAACTCAAAATACCTTGCAGTGAGATATCAGTAATCATGTCAGTGTAATTTTTATTGTCTCCAGGTGCACACCAGTAATATTTTTCCAAGGCCATTTTTATAAATGTGTCTTAAATAGCCTAATTTAACTAAGGCCTAGTCCTGGCTTAATCTAAGCCCTGTTTGTAAAACTGGGCCCTAGAGTTTTACTATTTTTGAATCCGTTCAGTCTCTTTCCAGTCTGGTGGGAGCAGTTTTAGCTTAGCATAAATCATTGAATTGGATTAGACCATTAGCTATCATTTTTGCTATTTAAAGCTTAAGTTAAAACCTACGGAAAATGAAAAGTTGCTTTTTTCTAGGTTGATATGCCTAGGAACTACTATCAATCTGGCATACTAATCAATGAATGGTCTTCAATGAAAATGAGCTAAGCTAAAATGTTATTTAAAGGTCTCGTGAAGTGCTTTGAAATTTGCATTTTTATTCGATGTTTGATGTAATCGAAACACAATGAGAGGGTGGAACATAGAGTAGCCCCTCCCCTTTAAAAAAACAAAAACAGTGTTTTGTTTTATCATCGCTCTGCCAGCGAGAGTTGTTGAGCTCAAGTGCATCAAATGAAAAGCAAATGAAAAGCATCTCCAAGTGGGCGGGGCATGTCAAATACTAGAGACCATTCGATTGGTTATGATGTGATGAGAAACTATAGTGTGAGGTGATGTGAGTAAACCCATTGGTCCATTTGAGTGGAAGTGACAAACTACAAGCTTTACATGTTTCATTTGCACACTGACAATTTATATACTTCTCTTACATATAGAACACGCTTTGTGAAGAGAAGCTATAAATTTAGCATGTTCAACTTTCACATCAAATGTTAGTCACTTACATCTCTTCCCGGACTACCAGCCAGACCTGGGGCTCCGACTTCTCCCTTCTGCCCTTTTACCCCCTGAAGAAGTGAATGAGAGTGACAGACAGTAAAGGAGAAAAGCTGCAAGCTGTAATACACTTATTAACAGTCATACCAACATGGTGCCATCTTTCTTTACCTTCACTCCTACAGCTTCCCCCCAGTTGGCAGCCAGACCCTGAAAAATAAGAGAATGAGAAATGGGCGAATCAATAGCCAGAAATAGTATCAAGATATCCCCTCTGCTTCATTCAGGCCTGTTGAACAGAAATTCGATCGTGCCAGGCTCTGTTTCTAAGATAAAGATGGCGCAAACACTTACCGACTCTCCCTTCTCTCCTTTCTCCCCTTTAGCACCTTCCAAGCACTAAAACACACAAGGATACATCATGTCATCATGATGTACATCATGAGTGTAACAAGTTTCCTGTAACTTGTTACACTCATGTCATACTCAAGCAACTCATACACTTTTAGTGGAGTCCAAATCATCGGATACCACAGTAATAATATGGCATTGATCAGTGCTTAATTTGTGAATTGCGAGGTCCCGGAACAGATCGTGGTAACAGATCCGGTGTGTTACCCGAGGATGTAGAGGTGCCATGCACGAAAGTGGAGTGGGGGAGGGAGGTGTGAGATGGCGTTGGATGGCGGAGGGGTGTCGCGGACAAAAGTGAAGAGCGGGGGGTTTGTAGCAGACGAAAGTGAAGAGGGTTGGGGAGTCGCGGAAGAAAATGAAAGTGAACAGCGGAGGAGGGCGGTTGAGTAGGGGGATCAGTAAAATGAGGTGCCGGATCAGATTTCAAAGGTGCCGCATCCGGATCCGGCTTTTTCCGGCACAAATTAAGCCCTGGCATTAATGATGAGTTTTAAATGCTAAACTCTAACAATGATTTATACAAAAACAACACCAAGACCTATGAAACTCACTCAAAATTGTTATGCAGAGACCGTCTAGTTAAAATGTGTTATAAAATAATTCTATAAATATTATAATGTCTATATATAAAAATATATACTAACCGGCCACTTTATTAGGTACACCTGTCCAACTGCTTTTATGCTCAATGCATTTAGGCATGTAGACATGGTTAAGACGATCTGTTGCAGTTCAAACCGAGCATCAGAATGGGGAAGAAAGGTGATTTAAGTGACTTTAGCGTGGTTGCTAGAGCCAGAAGAAACTGGTCAGAGTATTTCAGAAACTGCTGATCTAGGGTTTTCAGAGAATGCCATAAATTGTGAATCATCTCAGACTGGTTTCTTGAACATGACAATGAGTTCACTGTACTCAAATGGCCTCCACAATCACCAGATATCAATCCAATAGAGCATCTCGGTGGAACGGGAGATTCGCATCATTGATGTGCAGCCGACAAATCTGCAACAACTGCGTGATGCTATCATGTCAATATGGACCACCTTGTTACATCTATGTCATGAAGGATTAAGGCAGTTCTAAAGGCAAAAGGGGGTCTGACCCAGTACTAGTAAGGTGTACCTAAAAAAGTATTTTTAAATATTTGATTATTATTTGATTTATACTTGATTTATTAATGAAAATATTATTTTATTTTACTATAATTACTACTACTACTACAACTACTACTACTAATAATAATAATAATTAAATAAATAATAATAATAATAATAATAATAATAATAATAATATGGGTTTTATTTAAATAATAAACAAAAATGTATATAAACAATAAAAATTTATATAAAAAATAGTTAAAAGAATTGCTTTATTTTTAAATATAATAACTATCACTAAAATTCTAAATAAATAATGTGTTCAATATATTAGGAATATATTATATTAATATTATCAACACATGCATTTAATAGTTTTGAATACTGTCAGCTTTACATGCAAAAACATATTGACTCACTCGTCCAGGAACTCCAGCACCTGTGCAGTCCAAACCCTGTAAGATTTACACAGCCAATTTAAAATACAAACACCATACACATAAACATTCCCAACAATACTGCATATCAAGCGTTTCTTGTTTTTATATGCCCCATATTAAACCCTATCCTAAAGACTCCTAATACTGTCTTTATGCGGTGCTATTCATTAATGTTATTAATATATTAAGAGTTAATGCCAGTAATAATGAAAGTTTTGAGTAGTCGGCCAAGCTGGATCACTGGCACAGAAGCTCGCTTCTAATGAGGCATTTGTAAAATATGCCAAAATAAACAGCACTGCAGTCATTTATTCCCAGCAAGCCTGGACGCAGAGAAGAATTTAGCACACAAACTCTCGCTTCGGTATTATTCGGTGGTTGACATTTCTTACCCGATCTCCTTTTTCTCCCTTGAGTCCAGACTGACCCTCCTGGATAACCTGCAACACAATTTAATGAATACAGTTTACTCTATGCATATAAAGCAATATCATATTGAAGAAAACCAGCCTGGGCTAAGCTAGAAAATTCAATCAATAATACAAAAATACATACAGCTGAAGTCTGAATTATTAACCCTCCTGAATTATTAGCCCCCTCTATATTTCCCCCCCAAATTTCTGTTTGACTGAAAAATTTTTTCAACACATTTCCTAACAGAATAGTTTTAATAACTAATTTCTAATAACTGATTTCTTTATTTTTGCCATAATGAGAGCACATGATATTTGACAAAATATTTTTCAAGAAAATAGTTTTCAGCTTAAAGTGACATTTAAAGACCTTATCAGGTTAATTAGGTTAGCTAGGCAGGTTAGGTTGCTTTCATTTGATTGTAGAATGAAAAAGTGGCGACTGACGTAACATGCTTTTTCCGCACAGAGTTGACTTTTTTTTCAACTGGACCAGGGGAGGCCAAGCTGGAGCACTTACTCTGGTCCCCCAGGCTCTGCAAAGGTTGGGGAAATTCGAAACTGAACCAAAACTAATGGTTACAATTGACTTAAAAATGGCAATTAAAATTCAGGAACTGCAACCAGCCGAACCTAGGAAGTTTAAAAAAACAACCGTGAGCGCACCGCACACAACAGCAAAAATGCAAGGAGCAACAGTCCGTTAAAATGCGAGACACGCAGGGCACATAAATAGCGTGCAAAATGCTTGCGGATTTTAGTAAACAATTCAAAGGATGCACCTCTTAAAGCAAAAAGTGTGTTCAGTATGATCTTCCCCTATATAGGCAAGTCATCATATAACGATGGTTTGTTCTGAAGGCAATTTAAAAAAAATAAATAAATAATGTGACTTTAAAGTGGTTTAAAACAAATTAAACCTGCTTTTGATCAAGATCTTTTATTACGCTGGACTAAAAATCGATTCTGTTGGAGACGTCCAATTGATTAATATGTACCGAAAAAGTACATAGATAGAGAAAGAGAGAGGGGGGGGCGGGGGGGTAGTCCTAGAGTAAAATGAGAAAATATGATACACCGGTGTTTTGGAATATGGTAAAAACTGTATCTGATTGGGCAGTTCATAGATTTGGCAATCACCATACTGGTCGATCTGTCTCTGTGGGATAGCAGCTTAATTACAATAAGTGAGATCCGAGACATGACTTGCCACAGATAATCTGTTGCAGAATGTGGGTTAAAGTCCCTGGCGTCTGGCTGAGATCAAGACCTTTTATTGCGTTTGGATAACTAAAGCGATCTACTCCCAGGAGAGGGTAGAATTCAGGGGCTGTGCAATTTACTGCCAGAATGAAGTTGAAATTGGAGGGCACGTAATTAGCGTTGTAAAGCTTAACTTTTTGATTTTAGGTGAAAAATGTTATCTGTTGGAGACATGGGGTGTCATCACCAGAATGGGGAAGTTCCAGAGTAAAATGAGAAAATATGATACTCCTGTTTTCATCTGTTTTGATATTATTTGTTTCTATTTTATTTATACGTGTCTCTTTAATTCCTGTTTCTGTAAAGCACTTTGAATTGCCACTGAGTGTGAAATATGTAATGTAAATAAACTTGCCCTGCCTTGCTTTTATTCGAGCAGAAATAAAAAATTAAGACTTTACCCAGAAAAAAAAATATTATAGGAAATACAGTGAAAAATGTCTTGATTAAAAAAACTCACAAGAGGGCTGATAATCTTGACTTCAACTGTAAATACATAAATTCTGTGCAAAAATTTCTATTTTATACATGCAACCAGCATGTGATGTAGTAAAAGCACTGATCAAATGTTGATACTGCACAAAAATAAATACATGAAAAACTCACAATCCACCCTTTTCCGGTTTGGGGGACCCCCATTCAAAAGAACTAAAACAAATCACTTCAGACAATAATATCGCACAACAAACAATCCATATACTTTATGAAAACTGAGGGGTAAGTTTGGCTTTGTGGTTTATTTTGATTGGTCATGAAAATAACATATTCATTTTTTAACACGACATTATCACCATACCATATCTGCAGCCCATTTTTTTTGTTTTGTTCCACAATATTATTATCCCTGCAGTACAGTTATATTAAACACATCTGTTTTATTGCTGCAGAAAGTCTTGTTTGTAGTTTTTGAGACTATTCGTGATCTGCTAAACATGTATATTAAAATATTTTAATGTATGATGGATGAACTTTAAGGAAACCTCAATTTACCTGGTTTGTTTAAAGATATAGTTCACCTAAATTGTTTAACTTACTCACTTTTTACTCTCCCTCAAGTGGTTCCAAACCTTTATCAGTTTCTTTCTTCTGTTGATCACAAAAGAAGATATTTTGAAGAAAGCTGAAAACCTGTAACCACTGACTTCCATAGTAAAACAACAAGTACAATGGAGGTCAATGGTTACAGCTTTTCAAAATTTTTTCAAAATAACTTTGTTCATCTTTAACAGAAACAGACAAATCTAGGTGAACCATCTCTTTAAAACTCTTCATTGATTGTTTACAGTTTGACAGAAGTTATCTTGCAAAGCATCATGGGGCATCGGAAAAAGGTGGATGTAAATCTGCAAGTGCATTGATCTAATAAAGTTCCCGGCCAACCATTAAACATTCATACTCTACAGGTCTCATGAATCGATGCTGCATTTTCCACAACTGCAAATGCATCTTTTTTTTTTTCAAGGGCGTGAAAACACTCATGCGTACTCATGCATGCAGATCCTGCTGCATATCCATACACAGCCATTATACATGCTGCACACATGACAGACTGAATGGGAATACCCACACTCGATTCCTCACTGAGCAGTACACAGCCTGCACACTGGAAAATAGAGAAAACCATGTAGTTTTAATCCATCGACTCGCCTTTTAAAGGGATAGTGCACCCAAAATGTAAAATTCTGTCATTGTTTATTCACTGTTTATGTGTTCCAACCCTGTTTGACTTTCTTTCTTCTGTTGAACACACAAACACACTAACAATATATTGAAAAAAGCTGGAAATCTACAAAAAAATGTCATGAAAGTCAATGGTAACATGATATTCAGCTTTCATCAAAATATATTCATTAGTGTTCAATAAGTAAAGTAAAACTATTGGTCAAAAACATTTTTGTTAACTGAAATCAAATAAAGAAAAAAAAACAATAAATAAAAAATTAAAACTAAAACAATTACTAAAACAATAACTGAAATAATATACTAATTAGCAAACATTCATTCAGTTTCCTTCGGCTTAGTCTGTTTCTTCATCAGGGGTCGTCACAGCGGAAAGAACTGACAACTTATCCAGCATATGTTTTACACAGCGGATGCCCTTCCAGCTGCAACTCAGTACTGGGAAACATCTATACACACACGCTTTCACACACAAACACTATGGCCAATTTAGTTTATTCAATTCACCTACAGCGCATGTCATTGGACTGTGGGGGGCAACCGAAGCACCCTGTGAAAACCCACTCGAACACGGGGAGAACATGCAAACTCCACATAGAAATGCAAACTGGGCCAGATGGAGCTCAAACTAGGGACCTTCTGGCTGTGAGGCGATCATGCTACCCACTGCACCACCATGACGCCCACAAAATATATATTAAAGTAAGCTGGAAATATAGATATGTTTTTTTTTTCCAATGGTTACATGGTTTTAAGCTTTCCTTAAATATATATTCTTTAGTGTTCAACAAGGGTATATCAGTAAATAAGAACTAAATCTTTTGGTCAAAAACCTTTTTTCATTCATTTTCTTGTCGGCTTAGTCCCTTTAATAATCCGAGGTCGCCACAGCGGAATGAACCGCCAACTTATCCAGCAAGTTTTTACGCAGCGGATGCCCTTCCAGCCGCAACCCATCTCTGGGAAACATCCACACACACATTCACACACACACTCATACACTACGGACAATTTAGCCTACCCAATTCACCTGTACTGCATTTCTTTGGACTGTGGGGGAAACCAGAGCACCCGTAGGAAACCCATGCAAAGGCAGGGAGAACATGCAAACTCCACACAGAAACGCCAACTGAGCCGAGGTTCGAACCAGGTACCTTATTGCTGTGAGGCATCAGCACTACCTACTGCGTCACTGCCTCGCCCCAAAAACCTTTTTTGTTAACTGAAATAAAATTAAAAATATCACTACAAACGATAAAACTGATGAAACCAATAACGAACAAGTAACTGAAACAATAACAATATTAATAACAATAAAATTAATATTAATATTAATAACAATAAAATAATTAGCAAATAATAAAAAAATGTTGCAATTTAGAGAAACACCTGTACATTTTACAAACATATTTCCTTTATTTGCCAAAATTGGAAATTTTAGGCATGTTTAACTTTGAAGCTTAGCACTGTCGCCTAACAGCAAGAAGGACGCTGGTTTGAGGCCTGGCTGGGCCAGTTGGCATTTCTGTGTGTTCTATGTTCTCCCCATGTTCATGTGGGATTTCCTCCGGGTGCTCCGGTTTCCCCCACAGTCCAAAGACATGCGGTGAATTGGGTAAACAAAATTTGTCATAGGGCAGCATGGTGGCGCAGTGGGTAGCACAATAGCCTCACAGCAAGAAGATCGCTGGTTCAGGCCCCGGCTAGATCAGTTGGCATTTCTGTGTGGAGTTTGCATCTCCCTGTGTTCGCATGGGTTGCCTTCAATCCTAATCAAACACAGCTAATACAATTTGGTGAAGTTTATTTTGTAAACTAATTTCGAGAGGATCACGATTGATTGAGGCTGGTCCTGCATTAGCTAATGCAGAATTTTACAATCAGATAATTCCTAACTCACTATAAATTACCAGAGCATCTTACCTTAGCCATCTTCATCTTGATAAATCCCCCCCTTCCACCCCTATTCCTCCTTTTTTTTCTTGACAGGGCGGCACGGCAATGGTTAGCAATGTTGCCTCACAACAAGAATGTCACCGTTTCAAGCCTTTACCTGGCCAGTTGGCATTTCTGTGTAGAGTTTGCATCTCCCCGTGTTCGCATGGGTTTCCTCCGGGTGCTCCGGTTCCCCAAACAAGTCCAAAAACATGTGGTACAGGTGAATTGGGTAAGCTAAACTGTCCGTAGTGTATGTGTGTAAATGAGTGTGTATGAGGGTTTTTCCCAATGAAGGGTTGCAGCTGGAAGGGCATCCGCTGCGTAAAACATAGGCAGGATAAGTTGGTGGTTCATTCCGCTGTGGCGACCCCAGATTAATAAAGGGACTGAGCCAAAAAGAAAATGAATGAATGAAATTTGCCATAATGTATGAGTGTGTATATAAATGAGAGAGTGCGTAAAACATAAGCTGAAAAAGTTGGTGTTTCACTCTGCTGTGCCGACCTCTGATTAATCAGAGACTATAAGCCAAAGGAAAATGAATGAATGAATAAATAATAAGAGGTTTTGCACAATACTTAATGACAGCTGATACACTAAACTTTGCTTTGGTATACAATGGACAGGACATGTTAAGTTTGTTAAACTATAATCACCAAAAATTCATCAAAAAATTAGAGCTGAAACTAAATATACAGCCAAGTCTGAAATTATTCTGGCAAATTCTGACTTAAAGTTTTTGTTCCAATGTAAATAAAATCGGATCACCAAAATGATCCCTTTGGCACATCATCTTATCTTTTGGGGAAAAAAAACTTGCTGGTTGAATAAAAGTATAACTTAAAGTCAGAATTTGCCAGGGGTATGAACCATTTTCGGGCTTGACTGTATAGAAAACTAACTAGAAATGTGTTCACTCAATTTAAATAAAAAAAAAACAAAAAAAAATATTTATGAAACAAACAAAAACTAAACTAATATAGAGAGCAAATTGCAAAAATAGTATTGAAATAAAAACAAATTTAAAAATGCTAAACTATAATGACTTTGGTGTACAACAGAAGAAAGAAACTTGTAAAGGTTTATAAAGGTCTACCCCTTTGCGGTGGGATTTTTGTACGTGGCCTCTGCAATAAACCTACATTGCCTTACGTGCAGTTGAACATATTAACCTGTGGGTGGCAGTGCAACACAAAGTTAACAGACAAAATAGGTTACGCGTGCACGAGGACCACGACTGCGTGTCATTTTGGTTTTTCTCACAGGAGACAAAGATCAATAAGGAACAGAAGACTCCTTATGGCGATGCTCACCAACACCAGCTGAAGAGCTATAAGGGAGGAGGGGACACGCAAAGTGAAATATTTATTAAAAGCTGTTCGTTTATAGCGAAAAAGCACAATTAAAACAGAATCTACCACCCGTCGAGTTCTGCTTAGCCAACAGGCGGTTAACGCGCATTGATGTGGTGAGCACAGACTGTTAAAAATGGTGGTGAGGTTCTGAGAGACAGAGAGGAAGGGGCCTTTTCTCTGCAGCAGCTCTGGCTGATTCATTCTTTCCAGAGGTGCACACTGAAAAAAAGCAACATGATGAAAATCAACTCTTTCATGCACTCGCTCGGCTCGCATCAGTGAGCAGATTTCATATAGTTCCACTGCTGGAGTAGGTATCGCTTTAAAGATTTCATGTGTCTAACCAAACTCACTGGAATGTTCTGGGTTCAATAGAAACTGAGAACAAATGACAGCATTTGTGGTGTGATATTGATCATCACAACGTCTAATTTAATTTTTTTTAAAGATGAGAAACCGCATGCAGAAACAGCGTTTTTATTTTATTTCACACACAGTTTGGAGATTCTGGGTTTGTTTTACAGCACTGCAAAAAAAAAAAAAAACATTACATCACCTTAGAATTATAAGGTTCTATCTGACATTTTTGTCAAAATTGAGTTATTGACACATTCTTATTAAATGACTTTTTTTTTTTACATGTTTTTTATAAGTTGTTTACATTTTAAGACTTTTTATTAAAAAAATGTTACACACATACTGTTTGCTATGGAATGCAAAACTTTGAAGCTCAATATCTCAAAATCATTCAGAACGCAGATAGAACCTTATAATTCCAAGGTGACGATTGGTTGACTTTACTTAAATAAAGTGAATAAACCTGTTGCTTTACAGCATAGGTCTAATACTCAATTCCTGGATGGCTGCCGCTCTGTAGAGTATTGCATCAACCCTAATCAAACACAGTTGATTCAACTTGAAGTGTATTTATAAACTAATTTCAAGAGGATCACGATTGATTGAGGCTGGTCCTGCATTAGTTAATGCAGAATTCAACAATCAGACAATTCCTAACTCACTATAAATAACCAGAGCATCTTTCCTTACTGTAAGTAAGTATTACTGGCAATTTTGGTTACACTGTAAATTACAATTACAATTGTGCAGTAAAACTACAGCCATCTTCATCTTGAAAAATCTCCTCTCTTCTCAACTCCTCTCCTTTTTTTTCCTTGACAGAACAGCACGGCAGCCCAGTGGTTCGCACTGTTGCCTCACAACAAGAATGTCACTGGTTCAAGCCTATATCTGGCCAGGTGACATTTCTGAGTGGAGTTTACATGTTCTCCCCCACGCTTGCGTGAGTTTCCCCCAGGCTCTTTGGTTTCCTCCCACAGGTGTTTTAGAATGAAAACGATCCCCTTCCCACAACTCTTTGCTACACCACACCCCTGAAAACGCACATCACCGCACACACTGCAGCAAATCTACCCAGAGGAGAGCTGTGCTCGTCAGACTGTACATCAAGGATTTACCGCTGGATCTAATCTCACTATATTTGTTCAACTTGATATTTAATTCATCTTGTTGTCTTTATCTGACAACATATTCCCTCACTTTGGTCTTTGAATCTATTACTTGCTTTCAGATAACGTGTTTTGGCTGAGCACAAAGATAAGTTAATGATTAA